TCCCAAATGAGCCAATATTATTTTGCTTGAGTGCGGAATATAAATATTTGAAAATTTAGGAGAATTCATGTTAAAAGATATAATGCGATTAACAAGTATGGTTGTGAATAAGGTCAATTTCTGACAACTAGTCACGAACCATTCAGTCTTGAACAAACTAAATAAATGTGCTTGGGACAACCTCAAGCTTTGGATCCCTCAAGTTCATTAATCCCAGTCAATAAGAAACAGCTTGAACTATATATAGAGGTCATTCATCTTGATTGATGTGATGTGGCCCCGATGTCCACAAGTAACTTAAATCGAGATAATTGGCTTAATTCACTATCATCACCTAGACTTCAATCGGTCTTTGTATGCTTATGTTCTTTGTGTATGTAATTGCAATTGCTTTGAAGTCAAGTCAGCAAGTAAATATTCCCTCTCAAAAGTCTAGGATATGGACTGAGTAATCTTCAAGAAATAACATCTTTTGAAAAGGCTTATGCAACATGCAAAATCCATTGCTGTGGCATTTTTGAGGTACTTTATTTAAGCATGGTTGAGTTAAAGTTTGGTTTGGTTTGGTTTGTGCAGCATACAGGAGAGAGAGAGAGAGAGAGAGAGAGAGAGAGAGAGAGCACATGCAGTACTGTACAAAAAAGCAAAGCTAAAGGGTGAATGCCCTGTCAAGTGTCAAGTTTGTGGGACTTAAAGTCTTTTATATTGGAAATCCGTGCGTCCTTTTTTAGGTTCAGATTGAACCTCTTACCTCTATAAAAAGGCATGAAAAGAGCCCAGCCTAGCTTCGCTACAACAAGATACGATATGAGAAAACACTTTGGTAATTTTGTTCTTTTGTACCTTAGAGCTTAGATCATGGTCGTGGATAGATATTATATGCTCCCTTACATTAACATATACTGTGCAGCTCCGACAAGGAGATCATTGCAGCTGTATGGCGCCCCACCACAAGCCACAAGAAACTCATATATATGTACTATCTATAACTTATTCATACTTCACATCTTATGTGTACCCAATTCACACAGATGCATGAATATATCAAATCAATGCTAATTTTTTTTTAACACGGGACTTCACTACCTTAGCTTAACTATAGCCCTCTAGTCATATCCCCCTCTTTCAACATTACTTATCGATTCTATAATCCATCTCTCTCATCACGTGAATGAATTTCTAAAATAAAACTGTGTATACAGCATCTCTAAGATTATAAAGTTTGTGATCCTAAATTGTTTAGAGTAATTAATTTCAATTTGTTGCCTTCATTATTGGAATATCTATACTTGGACTAGTAATATTGAATTTATAAATAGGTTTTCGATTTATTTTTTTATTTTTTTAAGTATCTTTAATAAATTAATGCACTGCTATATATATATATATATATTATCCTTTTGTCTGTATATCGTTAGGAGTTCAGGAGAAAAGAAAAAGGAGTTTGCACAACCACATGCATGCATAAACTAATGCACTGATTAACATAATCTTACTAGTAAAATTCCAAAAGTATATGATATTTGTTGAAACATCAACCCCCCACTTCATTTGTAAAAGGTGTTAAATAAATGGTGGCAATGCATTATGCAAGACCCACGCAGAAATGAAAGTTGATTGGTTGGTTGTTGTTGATGAAAGTCATTTTCCAACACAAGCCATTATATAAACATGGCTGCATTTAGAGGTCAGTGATGAGGTTGATGATCTGTGGTTGGACTGTACTCCTACAAGAAAAGGACTGCTTATCTTCAATTTTTCTCTCAATCAATTAGATGTAACCAAGGCAGAGATAGTAATCATACACAGCTAGAAATGTGTCTAATTGATTTGAGGACCATATTCCATGGTCCCGGGCTTACTTTCGAGGGGCTAATTAGCATGCTTGATTTGTCACATTTGAAGGCGTGCATTATTTAACTATGCCAAAACTTGATTGGATCATGGTGACTAGGAACTGTGACGATACTTAATTAAACTCTAACCTAGGGTTTAATTTGGATTTAAAATTATACTTGAATCAAACTTAAGTGGAGGGTGACTCTCTCTATCTAGCTAGCTAGTTAGTGATTAATTAGGGGGGGGGGGAGAGAGAGAGAGAGAGAGATTTGATTTGTAATTTTGTATTGTAAGGTGAAGTGGATGTCCAAATCAAGCTTCATGGCATTAATGAAGTTAAAAATGGGGCCCAATCGAAAGAAAATATATTGCTTGGGGCAAAGTCGCGGGAGTGAGTTTGATTTTCTATGTTATTATGCCTCACCAACTACTCTTTTGGTTATTGTCAAAAAGCTCTCCTCTAAATTAAGGAAGAATTAATGACCTTGTTTTTCAAGTGTATTATAAGTTTTCAAATCTATGAATATATATATATATATATATCTTAATTTGCTCCTTTATTTTCTGGCTAAAAAATTCATGCCAACAACAAACAAACAAACAAATATATATAAAAGGAAAACCCTAAAAGCATCCAATCCAATTAAGTCCATCTGCATCCAATACTTTACACATTCTTCATTAATTATCTTGTAGAAATCTAACTCTCTAGCTAGTCCCACCTGAACCAAAGTTATTATTATGAGCACACCCACCAGCAAGTTTAAAGAGCCAAGTTAGCTTATTTGTTGTGCCCTTTGTTCATGTTATTGGGTGCAAAAGGCAACGACTTTCTAGAGACTTCAATTTGCACCATTTTTGGGAGTGCCACCTACCTTTTGACCAAGCAACTTAAGCTTTGTGGGAAGAAACCCTAGAACCAATGATGCATATATATATATATATATATATATATTGCTTGCTTGGCATGCATTATCTTGTTTTCGTGCTAACACGTAAGCTTTGGTTTGTTTTACCCACAAGAGACTCCCAACTTGCTGAGATTGTTAACTACTAAATTATAACACTTTGTCTAGAACACTATCTATGCTAGCTGCTTCTCTCCTGGTTGGACATCAGAAAACCAATTAACCTCCATTAGACTTCAGCGGCTAGCCTGATTAATAAATTAATTCTCTTAATAATTATAGGGGACATTGAAAGATTGTAGTGTTTGACTTAAACCTAGCTAGTGTTTGTTAACTTGAGCTTATCCAATCAAACCACTGATTTTTCTATCAGTTGTGGGAGATTGGTCTGCATGTGATTGGTCCCACATTTCTATCACCACCTAGTCAAGATGAAAAGAAGGCACCAACAAACCATCAATGGGTTAGTTGGAGTTTTTTTGTGACTAGAAACTCCTGAAATAATGATAACCTCCATTTTTGAACAAATAAACAGAATTTCTGCATACAGTAATTTGAATTACATTATTGATTTGTCATTAAGAAAAAGGAAGAATTACCCAATTTAATTAATTAGTAACCGAACCTTATAGTTTGCTGCCTAAGTTGATCATGTTGTCAGTGAATTGTTAATTACATATAGAATAATAAGGTTTTCTATCTGCAACTCAGCAACTGGTGTCGTTTAATTTGGAATCATATCACACAACACAATTCACAGTACTTGTCTTTTCCTAAGCCCATGCTTTCTTGTCTCAGACAAAACAAAGAATGAAAGGGAGCATATATTTGTATATACACATATATAATTAATGGAGAAAGACATGACTGAAGCCAATATATATAAATATATGCGAGTAATTTTTGTATGTTATAGACAGTGGCGGAGCCACTCCTATGCCTAGAGTGGCCCTGGCTCCCCTTAGATTTTTATCTCTCTTCTATTATATTACATATAACATACAGAATTTGTAATAATCATCTTATAATTTAAGTTAAAATTTCATCTAAAACAAATTAGACATGACTCAATTAGAAATATTTAGATCTAAATATATAATTATTGAATACTTAAGTATTTTATATACTTGTATTTTCTACTTCGGCCCTCCCAACTTTACAATTCTAGCTTCGCCCTTAGTTCTAAAGTACCATCCAATATACATAAGATATGTGCAAATATAAAAAAATTTCTCCATATATATATATGCGAGTAATTTAGCCTTGATTTTTGGTATTCTTTCAAAACCCATTCAAAACTTGAAGAGCTAGCTCCTATAGAATAAGATGGGATATACAGGGAAAGGACTAAAGTATATATAAAGAAGACTTTATCAATTAGATTGGTGTGAGATGTATTAATTCTTTTTAATTGGTAAAAATCTGAATTTAATTATGGTGTCAAGATCTGTTGATCACTCACTCGAGTAGTCAACACCATATGGTTGGCATGCATACTCGTCTCTTTCACTTTATCAATATGAACTACTTAATGTTCACATTGTAAAGTACATGGCATATGCCCAAGAAAGAAAATTCCCTCATCTTTTAATTCTTGTTCTGAAATCCAGTAAATAATTGTTACGTGAGAACGACCCTCATTTCAGATTATAGCCTACATATTGCCGCAAGGAACTTCCATTTACGTCTAATTCCTTTTCTCGTTTCATGTCAAAAACATACATCACAACATATCCTAATTTATTGTAACATATCTTAATTTATTAGAACATATCAATCATGTCGGCCACTCGCATTATCAAAAATTAAGTCGGGCTAATTAGGTACGCATTAAACTCCTTATGTGTTTGTCGACAACTCAAGAGTCAACAAATTTGAAGGTCCCACTTCCATCATTCTAACTTGTTAGTGGGATTCCGAGTTTCTACCTACTCGTATATACACACACATATATATATATATACATATACATAATTGGATGGACCTACTGAGATTTAAAAACAAAAAACCAGAAATAGAATGAGAGCAATGTATATATATATGCCCCTGAAATTACTTTCTTAAAAATTAAATAAATTAAATAAAATTTGAAAATGTACAAAGATCCCACTACCAAAATAAACATTAGCTTCCCACCTCCACCTCCACCTCCACCTCCACCTCGCACCTCATGATCTGAGCAACATATTATAAAGGCCACCACACACCACGTCGTTTTTCAAGCCGAGCCAAGCCGAGCCTTGCTTAACCGAGTCAAAGGCTAAGATGCAAGTCCAAGCCCAATGCATCATCAAAACTGGGCCCACCATCTCCTTTAGTAAACCTACTCAACGATGGCCCATCCGCTCTTCCGTGGGCCCGGCCTTGTTGAAGTACCTGATGATGGGGCCCCATTGATGACGTCAATGTCGAATCTGCTACACTGCCCCCATACGAATAACTCCCTGCACCCCTCCCGTGATTGGCTGACGCCGGAAACACGCATCCATGCGACACGTGGAACGGAGTGGCCGCGCGCGGGACGTAGACCCAGGACGGGCTGGCCGGAGCCGCCGCCGGGACCATCACCGACCCGGCCGGGGCCAGTAGGTGAGGCGGCGGCGCGAAGGCGGAGATGATGGGATTTCGGGCGTATGAAACCGCAGCGTTTCGGCTGGCTTGGAGCTGAGCTCGCTTGAGCTGCTGGCGCTCTTTCTTGTGCGCGTTCTGGTGGCCACCGAGGGCTTGGGAGTTGGCGAATTCTCGGCAGCAGTACTGGCACTCGTATTTACGGTCGCCGGTGGTGGAAAAACCGCCGGATTCCGGTGAACCAGATGGTGTGGAAGTCTTGGTGGAGTCGAGTACGGAAGATTCTAAATCGTCGTCTTGGACATTGAAGCCAAAAAGCTTTAAGCGTGTTGTTGGGTTGTTGCTAGAACTTGTTGGGTTTGTGGTGTTGGTTGGTTTGGGTTGATAGTGTAGCTCTGCAGCCTCAGCCATGTTGCTTTTTTTCTTAGAAACAGGGACAGAGACAGAAAGAAAGCAGAGAAAGAAAGATGGGAATTCAATTGAAGTGATGAGGGGAGCTGGAGAGAGAGAGAGAGAGAGAGAGAGAGAGAGAGAGAGAGAGAGAGAATGAAATGGGGATGTAGGGGGAGTTGTGCATGTGTTGGGGTATTTATACACGGGATAACAAAAAAAAGGGTCTTGAATTGAATTAATCTTTAATGATGCTGATGATGTATTTTATCATTATATATATATATATATATATTTGTGTGTGTGTGTGTTAGCTACAGAGACACCTTGAGAAAGAGAGAGAGATGGTTGCGGTTGCGGACATCCCGATGGGAAGAAAGTGAGAGTTATGGGAACACGACCCAAGGACACTCGGGGGCCCAAACGATTGCACTTGTTGTCTTGCCAATTCTCCTTCTTTTTCATTTTTTTCAAACCCTTTTCTTTTTCTCAATATATTCATGTCAAATTTCAAGAATGCCCTTTGCTTCACATGAGGGGACTTTCAAACCATAAGAATAGAATAAAATGGATTCACTGTTTATTTATTTGTTTGTTTACCCAATCACCAAATATATACAGAGTGAGTTTCACTTTAGGGATTCTTCAAATAAACTTATTTGAAGGGCACCCTTGTAGAGCCAATCATATTGTATTTCATTAATTCAAACCGTATATTTTGTATATATTCATTCGAAGATCATTTCTGAAAAAATCACTTGAATCCAATATCATTTGACTACTCAATTAAATTATTGAAATTTTAGTACTTTCTTGAAGTACCGTGTTCATTAATTTTATATGATACAATTAGATGTTTAAACGGTTATGATTTGTCTAATTTTTTTATAAGAATGATCTATGAATGAAAACATAAAAAATAGATGGTTTGGATCATTGGAAAAATAATTGTAGGGTACTTTAAAAGAGGACTACATGTATATGTATATATTTATATATATATATAGGTTTTTGTCACTTGTGTCTTCAAAGGAGGATAAAAGAATGTGATGTTGCATGTGATGCGAGCATGGTACACTGTTGGACTTATATATATATATAACCCTAAATAAATAAAAGCTACATGATTGAACTAGCTTGTCCACTGTTTTCCACCAGAGAGAGCTCAACTTCCATTTTTCTTTGTTATCTATCTGTGTTCCTTTTACAAGTTAAAAGTTATAGCCAAGCAAAGCTATGTAATTAGCTTAACTTGTACCAACAAGATTTGTAATTGGCTATCATTTTCTATGAATTTATTGTGACTGTTTTGCATCAGATTTCATTTGAGCCGTTCAATTGGAGGACTGACTCAATGATGAATGATGATCACTCGTTAGTCCATCCACTATAAATTATTAGCAGCCATACAGAGAAAAAAATTAGGTTAGAAAAGTCTGGATGTTAACTTAATGGGCCATCACTGGATTGCTTTCAGTCAGTGATGATGATGGGAACTTTGGGGAAGATGACCAATCCCAAAGCTAAAGCCAATGTTTGATCAAATTAAGAAACCTTTGCCAAGAGAATCTCTCACACCTCTTTACTCTTAACAAAAACTCAGTTGGCGACACGTCTTACCCTCCTATCGCTATATGTGACAGTTTTCTCCTAACACTCGTTTTCTTATTCTCCTACCTAGTCCTATTCCTATATATCTCTTTCATACATAATTTCTGATCATTTTCCAATATATATATATATATATATATTTCTGTAAAAACTATTCTTGGGTTTATTTCTCTTTTTCTAAAATATTAATTTTCAATTATATATATGAGTTAAGTCAATTAACTACGATAATATATTCATCTTCTTACATCCGAGTTCGATCTTCATTTTCGTACATAATGACATTGTTTTTTGATTAAGTACAAACTACAAAGCTTTCCGCATTTGAAAACTTGGGTAGTTCTGTAATCTCGTACTCTGAGGTTCAGGTGCAGTGGAACGAAACCCAATGGCGCAACATGAAGCCCATTTCTCTCTCTGTTTCCCCTGACCCCAACTGCTCCTTCAACCGCTAGAAGCCTAGAAAACTTGGAACATTCATCTCTCTCTCTCTCTCCTCTCTCTCTCTCTCTCTCTCTCTCTCTCTGTGTTCAACTTGAGTTTCCAATTTTACCCTCATCTCATGGTCCTGCAAGATGGCTCCGAAGTGCTCAATCTCAGGAGCCGACACCACCCACCAATGAAATTTCTTTTTCCCATTAAAGTCAAAACTTTCATGCATGGCATTGGCAACGCAAATCTTTCATAGGTTTGGCACTTGGGTTGGTTGGGCCCCATGTTATGTTTAGGAGATTCAACTGAGATCTCTTACCGTCAGTGTGCCTCCTCATCTTGCATGGCCCACGTGTCACCATCTACTTATCTTCCATATCTAGCTTTAGATACGCATGCTTCACATTCTAAGTTGTGCTCGCAACCAAAAGCGATAGTAATGATGGCAGTTTTGTGAATAAAGTCAACATGGGAAGCTCTTAACTCAAGCTATGAGCTACTCCTCCAAGGGTTGGGTTCAGGTGTGTTTACAACTTAGGGTTGGGCCCTACCATTACGTGTTGATGATGAATAATTGTTTAGGATGTTTGCGTGATTGACGTTGAAATCCTTATATTAATTAATCAAACAAATGAAATGAATGATTTACTTTTGCTTTGGGGGATTTGGGGGAGAGAGATCTCTCCGAATCTTACTAACTACGAGAGAAAAATTAATAGAGACAAGAAGTTGGCTTTCGTAATCTCCCACTTCAAGGAGCATAAACTCATACCCATGTTAATTAATCTATTGATTATTATTGTTTTCAAAAGCAGCCTCTTGCCTTGCCTTGCCTCTCTCTCTCTCTCTCTCTCTCTCTCTCTCTCTCTCTCTTCTCCCAAGTCTTCATCACAACTCCAAACCTGGCCCACCTTGTCTCCTCTTTCTCCTCCGTTTCCATCCCCTTAGTCAAATTTTCCCATACAAGAAAAATCTCCTCGATCCGATCCCCATCATCATCTGGATCACCTTTCGAGTGAAAGCTTGCATTCTTTTTTCGACCGTTAGATTTCATAGTTAATCATTTTTGTTTTGTGGTCTGGATAATTAATCATGATTACTGCCATTACAAAGCTTAAATATGACCTAGATATGCTAGGGTTAGCAAAAGTCAATCAGTCCATCATGGTTTATCATATGGGGGTTTTCTTTGTTGTTGAATTTATTTAGAAAATTATTGTGTTCTTCTATTCATTCTATTGTAATTACTTACTTAAGTAAAAAGCATTTCAATTTACTTTTTTTCTTTTGCAAAAATGATGTTTAACGAGATAAAAAGTAGATGATTTGAATCACTGAATCGCATTGGGATATGGCCCCACATGTAGTGATCCTTTTCTTTTCTTAAGAATAGAGATACCTTCATTGAAGGAGCATGTCAATTAGTATACAAGCAGGTAGGAGATGATAGTTGTGACTTGTGATGGCCCATTCATGTATAGTTTACGTGGGTCCCTAACATGGAACATAAAAGAGTTTATTGGGGGGCCTGATGAATTATTATACTAATGCATGCACATAGATTTAGGATTTGGGATTAGCAATATCTTCTGCATTAATTAGTTTGAAATGATCAGTTTCTACTTAAACCTAACAACCTTTTCGCTTTATTAATTGGATCCAATGATTTTGCCCTTTGGGTCTTTCTCACTTTGAGTTTGTGTCTTGACTCTTTGACACTTGAGGAAGTTAGCAAATTCCAGGCCAAACAGCTGTATGGGGCTCAAGGAAGGGAGCTGCTCTCATTCAAAAAGCAAAATGTACCTCCTCAACTGAGATCCTCTCAATGTACATGTGTTGTGTACCATAAAGTTGAAGAGTTATATATATATATATAGGCTTGTGTTGTGTAACTGTGTTGTTCGTTGGAAACAGTGGTCGCTGAATTAAACTCAGCACTAATTATTGGTTGGTTTCTCACCTTGCAAGTACTTTTCTGTTTCTTGTTCCTAATTACTATTTATTTATTCCATATGTAGTACAAAAAAGAAGAATCCACAGTGAATATTCATCCCCATAAATAAGTTTTGCAGTTTTCTCTTTGAATAGTTAAGAGTTTTTATGTTCACAAAAGAAAAGAAGGTCATTGTCGAACGGGGTTACCACAGTGGTTGTGGCCCTCCCCCTTCCCCCCTGATTGGCACTCAAGATTGAAACCCCAAGATTCCTTTCCTCCTAATGCAACCCAAATAAAAGAGAAAAGAAAGTCATTTTGGGTTTGGTTGCTGAATTAATTTAACAAGATTGGTAACCAATAAAACTCAAAACAGAAGCGATTGGACATAAAAAGTTGAAACATGGATCAAACATGCTGCATAAGAGGGAGAGCAGGGACTGAAGCAATGGCTTGGAAGCCGTATGTAAATATATAATGTTGTAGTACGGGTGACATAGGCACAAGGTTTTCTCCACTGATGGAGGGTTAGGCATGTGAAGCTGCGCGTCCAATTGGTTCCTCTCTATTTGAACAAACTCTAGGTAGGACCCGCCCTCCACAATGGGGACCACCTCAATTTCCAATTTCTGTGACATTGGACCTACAAGTATCGACTCTCTCTCTCTCTCTCTCTCACACACACACACACACACACACAAAAGAAGAAGAAGAAGACACCCAGTCATGTTTGATTAATTAACAAGTGTCTACTTAACAATGGGTTTCTTCTTGTTGTTGTTGTAAATGGTTTCCACCATCTAATATAAAACACCATTTAGGGCCTTAATCATGCTTTTCTTAACTTTGTTGTTGATTGAAGTGATGCCAATATTATCGTTTTAAGATTGCCCAAATCGCGAGCATGGCCCACCAAGTTGTGCTTAATTATAAAAGAAAGTTTTAACCAATGACAAAACAACATGGAGTTTTTTATTCATTAAACAAGAGATTATTTGAGACATGATCCTAAATCATGTTAGAACTCCATTAACTTTCTAATCACCTTTGTTTCTTTTTGCAACCATTACTTTGGAAGGATCCAAAAAGGATAAAAAGATAACCCCAATGTGACTTAGTTTTCAAGTGTTGGAAATCCCTTTTATGGATATGTTCAAAGCATTTTTAATTTGACAATCCCAAACAATATAGGTGACTCAGTGAGTCCCTTCATGTATTCCAAGTGACACTACCCACTTTTTTTATATAAATAAAATATGGTGAAGGTTGGGTGGTGGAGTTAGCTTTAAGTCATGTGAAGTGACTCTCTCTCTCAATTATTTAACTAATACATACCATTATTAATCCAACTAAATTAGAGCTAAACCCTAGATTACAGTCTAGAATGTGTTATATATAAAATAAAGAAGCATTTCCATGAAGTCCATCAAACTTTATAGAGTTTTAAAATGCATAATTGGAAGTCCGTGAAATGAGTTTGGAAGAGGGGACTTTGGTCAATCAATGAGACAAAATCAATGTGCTTTGGTTGCTCAAGAAAAGAGAGAGAAAGACACATAGGCGGCTACACAAACACACCCAAATAACATCTAACCCAAACAAAGACATCTCCTATAGCTGGGAGACACCTCTTCACATGACATGACAAAAAATACATTGAAAATTCATTCTCATTAGATTCTGCACAATCAGTTCTGCCCTAGCTAGCTAGTGACACAAGTTCAATGCCACAAGCCTTCTACCAAGCCCATCCACGTTGTCGATTTGACCAATATCTTTCTTTTCTTCTTTTTCTTGTCACATAAGATCTTTTATTTTTACTCCAAAGTTTTGGACCGACGAAAAGGAAGCAAATGAAAAGGGGTTTGGTTTTTATTTGCCACAAGCTAAGGTGCCATGGCACCACATTTGTTAAGATAATGTGACAACAGATTCAGAACCTACCGTTCCTGAACATGGGGAATCTAGCACAAGGGAATATAATAGGAACCCTAATTTATACGCATGCATGTGAGACTTGGTCTTAGAAAAAGGGGTTTTAAGCATTTCCTAATCTAAATTCTACATGATGTGCTTAAATAAATAAATATAAGGAACCTCCCGGATAAACAATCCCATGAATTCTGCAGGAATTTGTCCCTTGGAAAGATCCAAGTGGATGCATCTGTCTCTAAACCATAACTTCAAACACACAGGTCAAGACGACCTTCGGCTTCATTAAAAATTGAGTTCAAAGAATCCTATGATTTTCTTAATAATAAGCTGCATGAGGTGTGCTGGTTTGGCCAATCTAGTCCACGAGCAGATAACCTAAGACGGTGTTTAGTATTATTATTATTATTTGCGGTCCATATTTTAAGGATGAAACCAAACGTTTCCCATTGCCGTGGTTGTTGATTGAACCAATTATCAAGTCTCATTGACAAGAACAAGTCTCTGCAACAAGGAACTGTAACCGAAGCCTCTCCCAAAATCTCTGTGGGCCCTATGCCAATACATAGATAGCAACGGCCATGACTGGCGGAAGCCCATTTTTCTCTTTTATTTAAATACTTTCAAATCATTATTTTGAAAGAAAAGAAAAACAAATAAAACTAAAATCTTTTGGGTGTCTCCTAATAGTGGGCCCAAATTCCTACTCACAAACCCATAAGCAAAGCTCCATCAAGCAACAAGTGTACATCGATTACGAGGACCACCACTTCCTCAACGTTATGGTCCAAATCTCAGTGGGCTCGTTTTCCTACATTAGCAAATTAATAATAATTATATGAGGAATTACACAAAATTTTACTCTTCAGCATTGCTTCGGTGGCTGAAATCCAGCCGCTGATCGTATTTTATAATGTACTTTGTACAAAGATTTTACCTTGATCCGTACACGTCACATGTTTTTCTTTGCCAGCGTTGAAAGAGCTGAACTCCCTCATTTGATAAATCCCTTTCTGTGTTGACCTCAGTTGTCAAACGGTGGGACCATTATCTGAAGTCTTTGCAAGGCCTGTTTACACGGATGGATCGGTATACAATTAGAAGAGCTCAAATCACAGCCAGTTCTGGCTGCAATGAATATTGCAAGCAGATATGCTATTATGATTTACCAAAAAATTTGGATTACATTTGGGTTAGACCAGTTGTTCAAGGCAAATGTAAATTTAGAATATTAACCCCGACGTATGAGATCGTTTCGGCATTATAAACAGCCAATGGGGTATACATTGAAGGGTGTATAACACTAAACCAAAGCAACTGACATGTTATTACAGCAGCAGCACTAAATACGTTTGTATTGCTGCATAAACATGGAGGACAATTCATGAGAATTTTGAATGTTATGTGATATTTATACAAATGCATTTTCTAACTGCCACGTTTTACAGAAGCAAATTACAACAGAACACTAAGAATAACAATGGGGGCAACCTATAAGAGAAATAAAAAAAATTCAAAGAAATACAAGACAAGCCTCTTTTTTTGGTCGAAACAAGACAAGCCTCTATGCAAGCAAAAGGCGTGGATGGATATTGAAATGAAACCTCTCAAATAATAAAAATAAATAAATAATCCAGACATCTTTTCAGCCAAGTTTTTTATCTGATCCTTTGAGGTTAAGATTGAACCATTTCTTTTTGCCTGACTTGTCCTTCCCGTCAGAGCCTCCATCTTCCCCTGGGCTCTCAGTATTTGAATCTTCGCCAGGATTTTTGCTACTGCTACCATTACTCAAACCGCTACCACCCACACTATTATTGTTTGTCTTGGTGATAGTGAAAGTAGAATGGATACTGTCTCGCTGTTTCAGCAGCTCATCCACCTGATTTGTAGAATGATAAATGCCCAACTTAAAAATTAAACAAATAAATACAGAAATGAAAGGAAAGAAAAGGGATACTTCAGATATGATAACATTTTAATGAATCTACAATCATATAACAGCCTTTCATTACTTAAAACATAGAGGGACGAACTTTGAACCTAGTGTCTGAGTAAGTAAGTCCCTCAACTTCAATTTTCAGCAATGTGTCAAAAATTATCAGTAACCAAAACTTACAGATTGCTTTTCCTGGGTGTATCTGTTGGTCACTTCTTGAAAGCGCGCCAATGCCTAAATAACATGACAGGAAAATTGTAAAAACAAACATGATGAAATCTTATTACAAACCACAGCCAGGAAGATCCGGATCAATACCTTCCTGTACTCTGTTTCAAATTGGCGAAGCTCATTTCTCTTTCGTAAAATCTGACCCTCAATCTCTTTAAGCTTCTGCGTTGTATCCTCGTATGATTTTACACAAAGTGCCTCTATTGTATAGGTAGCAGTCTTAAAAAAATTATCTCCTGAACAAGTCTCAGTGGAGGTTAGTTAACAGGATAAGCAACAATTTCATATTAAGGAGCCAGCCCCAGAAAGCAAAAGAATAAAGGGACCAAATCAAAGTTCAGACCATAAACAGCGAATATATGAGTGCCAGCTTTTAGTTCTGAGACCTCACAAGGTTGAAGACCTTCCAACCTCTTGAAAAAAGCAGCTTCAGGGTCCTTTGCCATGGCCAACTGCACCAGCACAAGGATACATAACCATTTTCAGCCATAAATAGGAATCTACTAAACCATTACCCTCAGTCCCATCCAGAAACAGTGGAGAACAAATTTTATGAAGAAAGAAAATTAATATCCTGCATACCGCATTCAAAGTTGAATCCATTCTATATACTTGAAAATGCAGAAAATACATCCCTGCAGATGTTGCTTTGCCTGTCTTCTCACTATCTTCCTGTACACAGAGGCAATAATGATCATATTTTCTGAACTCATCTACAAGTGTTACATGTTAAAACGTAACTGGTATTTGATGAAACAAACACCACATAATAATTGATACCTAATTTTGTCACGAAAGGAAATAAAATAACACTCTACAGTGGATTACAACTTGCTAATACAAAGCAATAAGAAAACATATAACAAATTAAAATAGCTTATAAAGTATTGGAAGTTGAAACCAGTGGATAGGTCTGAACTCCATAAAATGCAGGTAAGAAGAATGCAGTGCGACACTTTTATAGACTATCTAACGTCGGAAGAACCAAAATTCAGTTTTAGCACTTATAAAAACACAGAATGCAATGGTGTATTTTCTAAATATTCCTTTTTACTTTTGGTTTTTTAAAACATGGCTTCCTTGGTGACAAATGCTGCATCTTGATAAAACATGGGAGAATATTCATGAAAAAAAATCATAAGCTGGTTAAATCACTTTTCTTAAGAGGTTCAAACTATAAAGCACACAAGGAGAAGCCTAATCATTTATGTTTAAATAACATCAGGCAAATTACTCCAACAGATTCCAAGCACATATGACACAGGCGCCAAATCCTAAAGTGAGTGCACCAATTATATGGTTATCAAAAGAAGCAGAGATGGAGAAGATTGCGATAATAATATGTAGTACCTGTAAGGCCAAACCATAACCACCATTGGCATCTTGTTCAAAATAAAGTAACTGCAAATTACAAGGATTTGATTGAAATGTAAGTATTGTACCAGCAATATTCACAAATCAGATACATTGAGTGCAGGATACACACACATCGAGAGAGAGAGAGAGAGAGAGAGAGAGAGAGAGAGGCTGAGGCTCTATTGCAGTAAAAACTTAGGGAAACATATGCACCTTAAATTTGCTTTGTGCAGTTGAAGTTACTCTTACTACAATCCCCGACTCGGCTTGCTGCTCATTGATTGTAACACCAAAAAAGTGGGCACACTGTTTCTCCACCTGCAGCAAATCAGAAAATAAGTAAAGATGCACTAAATTTAGTATTCTTGCATTATGTTACAAACAAAGAAGCACCTTTCCACTAACTGATGTCCCAATTGGGAGAGGTCTGACTGTTACTGTACCACTAAGAGCTTCTTCAAGTACATTAGCGGAAATTGTAGTCTTGATAGGCACACCCAACTTGCTATAAACAAATAAAATGATTATCATAAGACAAAATGATCCTAAACCCACAAATATGTAATGATATATTACCTGAATAAAGCGGCAAACATTGTATTGACAGTCCCCAGATTTGACAAGTCAATTTCCATGTCCATGGCATCAGCATCAATTGCCTGAAACAAAATTAAAACCGATAAGAAAATATTTATAACAGAATATAGCACATTAGAAAGTGGAATATCTAAGGAAGGGATCTATATTGTCTTCTCTTTTTCAAATGAAAAAAGGAACAGAATGAATTAAAATCAGAAACTCCTTGCTCATTAAATTGTTACACATATGATACAAACAAACAGAGCAGATCTGTGTAGACAAATGACATGGACATTTAGAGTGATCAAATCTGAATAAAATCATCGACTAACACATTCCCTAAAATGCACACAGCGGATCCAACCAAATGGAATCAAGAATCCACTCAGCAGCACTAGTTCAATTTTTTTCCATCTACATAAGCAGGTATGCATTTTTTGTGTGTGGGGAGGAGAGGGAGGGGAATAGTGAGCAGAATTAGAAAAGAACCTCAAACCCTGCATTGTCATACTGCCTCCTCTTCTCGGGGTCAGACAAGATACTATAAGAAAATGCAACCTCCTTGAAATGCTCTGAAGCTTCAGGATTGCTAGCATTCTTGTCTGGATGATACCTTTCCATAATTTGGTTCAAAACAAGATTGTATGTGAAAATATGTCTCAGAATAGCATTGTAATTATTATCATCTACTGAATCAAAAGTCATGTGAACTCAAATGATATTATATACAAATTGCAATAAACAAGAAAATAGTGCCATCTCAGTAGAGATCTATCCCACAGAAATGGATTTAAAACACATTAAGGCAGCTCAATTCCCAATTTTCATGGCACGATCAATTCTCTATGAAAAATGCATAATATTCAATCAGCTAGAATGGTGAAGATTTAGTCAAAGCACAATGGCATATAAGAGAAGAATGTTAAGACCTCAAAACCAATTAGAAATTCAAGAATTAATTATACTCACAACAAACCAATGCAATATAAGACTACCGCCGCCAACAATACACATTTTCCACACATCTCTGAAAACTCAACTTTGTAATATACGTGTTGCTATATTCTTGCTCCTAATCAAGCTCAACAGTGAACCTCGTGGCTAGTGATTTACAATCGTCAGGTATAAAGCTAGATTCTTTTGAAAAAAAATATATCAACCCCTAGCAGGAATTCATCTAATGCAAACCAAATATTGAAATCTCAAATCAACGGCGAAGATGGTGAATTCTGAAGAAGAGAAAAAATTGAACTTACTTGAGAGCAAGCTTTCTATAGGCGGTTTTAATTTCCTGATCATTTGAATCCCTCGAAACGCACAAAACCTCGTAGGGGTCTCGCCTTGTTGCCGGTGCCGATGTCCCTTCCAATTTCGAACCCGTCCCCATCTCTCTCTGCTTCCTTCTCTATCTCCAAAGAAAAGTCTACTTTACAATCCGGAAAACTACAGTACTCTCCTCTGAACCAGCTCAGTTGCTCTAATCATGAAAAATCAAACTCTAGAATAATAAAATTCTAAATTTTGCTCACCAACGCACGCAATTCAAAGCTTTATTGGATCGCTCTCTTTTCAAATCTCGGGAAATAAACAGTGATGAGAATTCCTATAATGAACAAGTCAAGGCCTTGAAAAGCTTTCACTTGATCTAATCAAACGACGCCTAACTGTAAGAGAGGACAGCTTAGGGTTTAAAATTTCGGAGAGAGACGCGTGAGCTCGAGCTGGAGAAGACCCAAAGCCAAAACCCCTTTGTTTCCCTTCTACTCTTTTTGTTTTTTTTTTCCTTGGTTGTCTTTAAAATAACGGGCTCTTCACTAAAATGGTTTTGGTTTCAACCGTTCCGTTAACCTTACGTCGTCTTTTAAATTTTTAAATTTTTATTTCTAACAATCCATTTTTATTTTTAATAAATCGCTGAAGAAGACTAAAATCAATTTTGTTTTGGCCTCAGAAGACGACCTTTTTCTTAGCTATGCCAGAACCCTCTTTCTCAACAGAGTAAAATGATAATTTCCCCATTTTTCTTATTTAAAATGAATTTAATCATGACTTTAACAATTAATTGTGATATAGTAATTCCATCAGCACATGCATAATACATAGGAAGATTCAGACCAAAATAACTTGAGACCTCTAGTCTGCAAGTCAATGTCCTGTTTCACTGGGCTAGACCCGTTAGCAGTTTGGCTTAAACTTTAAAGTACTACATGGTTGAAATCTCAGACCAAAAAGAAAGTAACGCATGGTTGTAATCTCTGGCGACATGGCTATATACACTCCAGATTGTTGATACAACGTGACCCCGATGAAAGTATACCAACCTTTCTCATTCTTCAGTTTTCTCTTTAAAGAAATTTCATGGGAGCGAGGGGAAGGGATCATCTATAATACAACAACTTTCTACATGTTCTCATCGTTTTCTTCAATTTTGTCGACCATCCCTATCATGCATGATGATCGGCAATTAACAAAAGACACATAAAAATGTGAGAAGATAGAACATTGTGAAAACTGAATTAGGCAGCTTAGCTATAGTAGTGCATGTAATTTACAAAGCCGTGTGAAGGTTGTGGTAATGCCTCCAGCTCCACGGAAGTCTATTTACACACGAGACGAAACTAAAGCATGGCAAGTCCATATGGCCCTCAGTCGGTTGTCTTATGTTAAGCAGTGGGTGTTGGAATCAACTCTGATGACCTTAGTGTTATAGGATCCACAAGACCCGCACTTATGGTACAGCCAGTGGAAGGGTGCCGTTCCCTTCTTATCACAGTCGTTGCACAGTATGTCCTGGAGCGTACCAAAATGAACCACTTTTCAGCTAATGAAATTGAAGATAAGGGGACAAACCATCTCGGGAGAACAAGTTTTATGATAGCTTACCTGACACCGATCCCTGTATTCTTCTGGTAGTTCCTCTGAGGCCAGTAGTGCATCAAGCATGCCAAAGTAAACCTACAAAGTAGTCAAAGTCGAATAAATTATTATTAGACTTAGAATTCGGATTCTCAATATGATAACTGAATGAAATATCATTACCGCCATATCTCCCAAAGATTTGCTACAGATTGGGCAGACGTAGTGACTGCAAGTGTATGCCTGGCACAATGGATTAGAGAACGCTATTACATATTGATCTTTCCTCAAACCAATTTCCTTTAATTACATATAAATTTGGAGCAAAACATGAGCAGGAACAAAAGAAAAGAGAAGTAGAAAGAAAGAAAAAAGAACAAAACATCAAACCTGGAAGCAAGCTGAATGCATGTAATGGCCACAAGGAAGAGCTCTCACAGTTGCACTTGATGTGAACAAAAAGTCACAGCAGATGGGGCAGTTTATTTCTAGACCCCTCTCCCTACATTTGTGATCCAGTAACTTCATCCCCAGGCAACAATTGCACGCCATGCAATGAAAGAAGTCGATACCAAGTCCCTTCCCAACACGACATAAATTGCAGGAAGGACAATGATAAACTGTCCTGATATAACCAAAAAGATGTGTGAGAAATCTAAATTTGCAATCAAAGGTCTAGATTCATAAATAAGATGTAGCATCGAGAACGCTAAATGATAAAGGTGTATAGTATCCATCTATGATTGACTCAAACCCAGACTTCCCCACCAGCAAAGTTAGCACTCCATCAGGTTATATCTCAAAATGCTGAATCAAAGGTGAATCCAAGTTAATAGAACCTAGTTTCATTTGGAGGAAAAGTTCTAACGAAGTATGTACCTTTCATCATCAAAAAACTTGCAAATACTACAATAGTAATTTGCCATCGAGAAGCCACCACACGAAGGTGTTGTGCAGACTGGTCCCACGGGCTGTATTTTCAAGCAGCGCATGCACATCATCTCAGATGTAGCCTTCCTACAAATGAATTAATATAAACATGAATAATCAATATCCAATCACAATATGTCCAGTAAATGAAAAAGAAATCAAGAGTTTATAGCACTAAGTTACCGATCCATTGAATGGTCGCTCACGTTATCATGGCAGAACCTACATGTAAATAACTTGCCACAGCACACGGCACGGACCTTGCAATTTCTTTTGTAATGCTCACATCCAAACACTTGTTTCTCTGAATCACAAAATGACGGTGAACATCCAAGCAAATCTTCACCATTTGAACCTTCGACTGCAGATGCTTGAGGTGACTTCTGCTGAGAAGCTATCCAGCGACTATCACAACCCATTACTTAATCAGAACAAGTGAAATGCGAAACTGATCTAAAATGGCTGACGATAAGGTTCATGAAATTGATAAAACATGAACATACCTGGTCATTAGATTTTGAATAAGATATGCTTTTCTTCTAGGATCAAGAGTTGAATCCCGAGAAACTTTTCTTATTTCTGATTCAAGCTCATTCTGATTCATCCTAAATATATCTTTCCATCCAGGTTTAAATGTGTCATCACTGTGCCCCAAGCTTTCATAGGCATCGGCACCTGAAACTGTAGATTTAAAGTTCATGAGAAAGGTTTACAAAATGTAAAATCTATTACACAATAGAATGTTTTGGATTTCACGGAGCAATGGCTACGCATTTGTAGCTCAGGAATTTCTTTTTAATAACCACAATAGTAAATTATGGATAATTTATAACTATACAGCAGTAGAAAAAGTATCATACATACCTAGAGAACTGCAATTTTCCAGTGTTTCTGTATGTGAAGATGCAGCAGGAGTTCCATCCCACCATTCATTAAGCCACTCACTGAACATCGTATTTTTGGTTGCCTGCTTCCATGTGTCCATTAATTTATTTTGCTCTTCCTGAGTAAGAACATCAGTTACCCACGGCAACATTGATTGAAGAACCTCTGCACCTGTAGTACCAATTATTCTACCCACAATTTTATCTTGTTCTTCCACAGAAAAATGCTTATCAAACAATGGCCACAGTTCAAGTTCTTCACGGAAAACATGTTGATCCAGTGTCACTCTAATGGATTTGCACATGCCCTGAAGCTTTGTGGCTAGCTCATTGTACTTCCTCAGAGTATCATTATGCTCGAAAGAGTTAAAGCCGCTTCGAGTTGAATCATCAGAAAAATTTCCAGTGCTTTTGAATTCACTAAGTTGTGAAAGCTCAGAAAGAACAGAAGAAATATCCTCAAACAGTTTCTCTTCCTGCTTGTGATCCAGAGTGTAAGCATGGCTGACGTTATGAAGAGTCTCTTTTGATTCTAATGCTGGAAATACAATATCATCCTCTGCATTACTATGAGCTCTGTATAGACCCCACAACAACCGAAATCTACCAGTAAAATGCCTAATAAAAGTCTCATTACAATCATTAAGCTTTCCAGATTCAACATCCAAATACTCCAAGTCTTTACGTATAGCTTTATGGAACTTAAATATGTTATCAATGGGTCGTGGTGCACTATTGGTGTCAGTAAAGCTGACATCTATTTCCCAGTTAAAAAGACTGGAGTTGAGCGAAGGGGCAGAAGGATTAAAAGATAAGGCGCGCAGAGATTTTGCTGCAGTAAGAGAACCCACTCCTAAATTACTGTCATTTACTCCTAACCCTGGGACACAGCATGTCTGGTTACCACAAGAACTTTGAAGGGTATTTACGCTTTCCATAGCCTGGCAAGCAGCAGCTTCTGATATCAAGCTTACACTCTTCACTGGCCTTTGATTATCATCTGCTCCATCTGTTTGAATGTGTGAAGACAAACATATGTTTGCAGAACGACCTTTGCATGCCCATCCAGAAAAAAGAGTAACCAGTGCTGAATCTGATGCTGGAGCTGCATTAATTGAACTCTGTAAGTTATAACATATATATAAGGGTATGCAAATAGAATGCAGACCACACCATTTGTTGAAATAGAAATAACAATAGTAATAAGTCGACAACTGATACTGAACCTGCTATACGAATATTTTGAAGAAAGGAACTTGCTTGCTCTTCACTAAGTGATCCTACGAGCCATGGCAGGACACACTCAATCAACTTCAAGGGCATCAGACATAAGCTTTGATACAGAAGTTTTCGCTGTATTTTGGGGCTAAAATGCTTACGAGCAAGTGGAAGAACCTTTGAATATGATGCCAAGAAAAGTGGAAAATACAAAATAGGTAAGTTACTCTCTCCCTTGCATAGGCAGGACAGCACCTTGTCATATTGGAAGTGGCAACAGCACTCACCTGAAGTTCCTCATTCTGGAAATGCTTCAGTATGCTATCTATTATCTGATCAGCATGAGAACACAACTTCATATAAAATTCAGAAGTAGATGAGTTAGCTCCTGCCCTCTGGATGCTTTCCATGAGGTGCCTAAGCTTGTCAAATTGAATTTCTTCTTCTGCATGCTCCTGAGCAAAAGTGAGTTCTGCATCTAGAGCAGGGAATATAACTTTGTCCTCAGCAATGCTGCAGACAAAGAGGAGAACATAATATGTACGTAACCATAAGATACCTAGTATGGAAAGCGTATGATTCCTACAACTCTTTCTATAGTACTGATAATTAGTTCTCCTTCATAAATATGAACCCAAAAAATATCCAATTGCATACAACCCATAAAGACACAGACCAAGAAAATAAAATTATAAGATACTAAAGCATACACTACAAGGAAGTTATCTTCTCAAAGCCTTGCATAACTCATGGAATTGAACATTTAAGTAATACAAACTATTTGATTCAAATAGATACCTGAGGAGGCAAAACACAGTTCATGCATTAGGCCATTATACAGACCGACTGATGGTCCACTACTAATTGTCCTTGTTTACAAGGATGACAATATTATCAATTGAAGCAAGGAACTCAATGCATTAGGAGTATGTCTGAAAGAAGAAGAAGAAGAAAATCAAAGGAAAGAGAAACCACACCTATGGAAAATACAAACTTCTGCAATGAATTGCAACCTCTTGTTGAATGCAGACAAGTCAGAAAAATCCCCAGAAAGTTGTATCCTCCTAGATGCCTCAACTATGTCATTTAACTCTCTTTTTATAGCATTGTGCCAAAGAAGTATTTCATCTATAGGATTTGAAATAATAGTACTGGAATTATCAGATTTTATCTCCACGCGCTTCCTTTTACTAGTCTTGGAAGATTGACACGCACACTGCCCCTTCTTTGCAGAATCTTGAAATTGGCCGTTGGAATTATTTTTGGACTCAGAAACTTTTGCCCCTTCCATCCAGGCAAATACAACCTTTGTATCATAAAACTTGAAGTCAGTGTAACGTATATTTTTCTTTTTCCAAGTAACCATCCTAAAACAATATGCCATGAAAAGCAACCCTCACCTGCTGCAGAAGCTTCTCTTCTGGTATCACCTTGCTCAAGTACTTGCGCATATCCTGATGTTCATCAGATGATATGGAAGAAGAGAGCCACGGAAGAAATTCTGCCATCATGTTAACAGGAATACTGCACAGAAACTGCCACACCAAGGAAGCTTGCTCTTCAAATGTAAACTTCTCAATAAGCAACGGGAAGACCTGCCAAATTCAAAATAACAAGCTTAACCCAGAACACTGAACTCCCACTGAAGAATCGATGGTATATGAAGAGCAATTGGGGAAATAAACGAATATCCACTGAAAAAGCTCATCATTCGTTAGAACTGCTGATAATCATGTAAAATTAGCAATGCATGAGTAGGTGAAACAAATACCTGTTCCTCTTCCTTGGACATATGCTGGCTAATTGATGTTTGAAGGGCTCCAGTGCAAGAAGCCAACTCTCTCCGGTAGCTCTCCTCATTTTGCATATTGGAATTTAGAAGCTCAAACAATTGATCAAAAAGAACACTCTCTCCCTCGTGTTCAAGAGAATAAGTTCGAGCTACATTCTTCACGCGTATATCTAGAGCTGGAAATATGACCTGCAAAGCCCAATCCATAAATTGTGCATAATTTACAGCCTCAAAATTGAGAAAGCAAAGCATCACCCTCATTTAATGTAAGTGAATAGTTAAACGATATAAAAAATTCAAAACAATCGTATTATAGCGTAATAAACGAATACTAATCATCAAGTTCTCTGAAATTTGAAACAACTGGAATGTTACAGCTACAATGCCGCAGAGCAGAGTGAAACCAGAAACACACCTCGTCCTCGGCATTGCAGTGGTGCTTATAAATAGCGCGAAGGAAGTGGTAGCGCTCTAACAAGGGCTCGATGTCGGCGGAAGGGGCTTGGCTAGTGGCGAAGGCCATGGCGGCTCGGTGGAGGCCATCGAGCTCGGAGCGAATAGCTTTGTGAAACAGCAAGAAGATGAGAATTGGAGACTTGAGCGCCGAATTCTTCAAGCAAGTCTTGGAAGGCGAGGGATCGAGCGGCGTCAGAGGCCCAGCCATTACCGCCACGCCTCCTCCTCCACCGCCAGGAAATGGTGCCGCCATTTATAGAAAGCGAAACGTCATGAATTGGGAATGTGATTGCAGATTCAGATTTCCAAAAACCCTAAGGTTGCCTATGGTGCAAGATTTTAGCAATCTGGTGTTGTTGGCCAGAATGCAGACATACACGCGCGCTCGTTCTTCTGTGGTTGTTTGTTGTACGTTGTTGGAACTTGGATGTGTGTGTTGCTGAATTCTAATTGTGCTGCAAAGGAGAACGGAACGGGCAAAAAGCACGAGAACGTTTCAATGCTTTTGGAATATAGATAAGGGAGGGGACATTTTGTAGTTGTCCACGTGTCGCAAACTGGCCACGCTGTACAAAGCAAAACGACCCTATACTTTTTTTGGACTTCTTTAAAAAATTGAAAAAATAATATTTTTGGTGACCAGTAAAGTAGTTTTCGGTAGGACAATATTATATAGTACACGTGCCCTCCACACGTGAGAAGCCCACCACCACGGCGTTTTTGGACTGCTTGGTTTTGTCGTTTTGAGCACGTAAGCATCCACTGCGTAAGGATAGAATCAGGTAGCCGAGGTGGACCTTTAGCGGAATAAGTGACGAATGATGGTGACAAGCAGAAATGAAAGTTTTCTCAGGAGGATAGAGTTATTATCCAAAGTTATAATTTTAAAATTTTTACATTTGAACTTTAGCAAATTTAGGTTTTAACCAAAATTTTTTTTTGAAAAAAGCCAAAACTTTTTCAAAAAAATAGAAAAACTTTTCAACTTTCAATCAAAGACATGCAAATGTAAAGGATTCCTTAGAAAATTAAAAAATAAATAAGGGTAATTTTGTCAATTTTGGCTTCGTTTACAAAATTTCTCTCTCTTTTGTATTTTTTCAAAGTCTCTCTTGAACTTGTTTTTAACTATGTTACGAAAGGATTTCCACTTCCATCTCCAGTGACTTCATTGTTTCCTCATGGTGGTGCTACCAAAAGTAAAGTTGGATAAGAAGAAAGGTTACCCGACTACTTTTCTTAATTAGTTGTAGCTCTTCTCATGAGAAATTTGCTACATGTGACATTCTTATTAAATACAACATGGGACAAGATGTTTGGTAAAATACATCGAGGGAGGTAGAACAAGGAATAAGGTTCCAAGAGTGAATGGACACAAAGTAGGCATTATCATTATCTTTTCCTTTATAGACATACGTATTAATTTGTTTACATCTGTACTGTCTGTAAAGTCAATATGGCAACGTATGAAAGCTGACTTCTTTCGATGTTTGGAGTACACGAAAATGAAACGGACGTAAAGGATGTGCCAATCTTTGGGTGGCACGTGATATGCCCGTGGTCGCAAGTTCCATATATATCCAGATTAGATATTCTTCTTTCTCCCCACAGCTTTGGAGATTCCAAAACTACTATAGCCTTTATGGCCACCGATAGAAGACGAAATTTATGTTAATGTCATCGTGTGTGACTAATTATTAGTTTTAGTCTCTCTGGTTGGACCCAATTGTTATACAGGGCCGGACTGTGGCGTGCAGTGGTTTACATAGTATGATATGAATCATGATGCCTCACGAAACTTTGTACACAACACAGCAACGGAACAGAGTTTGAAGGAAGAATATAATGCACGTACGTACGACGTGTCGTTGGGCACGCAACTGGTCAAAAACTAGACAATGGAGGAAGCAAGTTCACCACCAGAGAGAAAGTGGCCAATAATGCAGGCCAAATGAAATGGGTATCCAAATTCATCACCACCCTACCTAGCCCCTATACTATACACCATATGTAATTTATATTTTTAGGTCTAAGCATGCATGCAGTTATTTAGTATATTTTTTGGAAGGTCAAATCCATTCTATGCCCCCACAAACACACGATGATCAGACTGTCTTTGCATGGTTGTTGAGGAACAGGGATATTAATCTTATATATGTTATTAGGGTTTTAAGAACTTCAAATCCATTCTTTAAACCCGCGCTTACGTAACGGTACGTGTTGTTCTAGCTTGCTAGGGTGGGCGGGCTCTGGGAATGTTTATATCCAGACAGGGCAATAGATATACCTTTCCCCACCCACCAACTTTGCCTTTGACTTGGGCCAAGTGAGATTCGCAAAGTTTTTATTCTGCTTAATTATTTATATATATATATTAACTATTCTCCTTAATTTGGCGGCTTTTTTTTGGCATCGATAAACAAGGAACATATTATAAAAGAATATTCAGAAATAAAATTACGGAAGAAAAGATAAACAAACAGAGATAAGATCATAATCATTAATCACCCAAGGTGGCCAACCTCAACCTAATGATGAACGCGCATAATTAAAATTAATAATCTGAACACAAGTTGGTTCCATTCCATGTACACCAATCAATTGCGTGAGTGGAATGGAGGATTATATATAAAAATAAAAATAATAATTCTGTTTGAGCGTGTGTAATGCTTATGTTTGCCACACAGTCTTCAATTATATATCCAGTGTGAGTGCGGATATTGGATAACCCACCAAAACCAATACCGCGAGAAATCTGCAATTAGATTGTAAAGCACCTGGTCTCACTTTCATTTATATAAAATTCTCAAAACAAAAAGAAGACAGAAAAGCATATCCTTATTTTACGTCTTGGTGCTTTGAATCTCCTGTGAATTAATATTGATGAAGACTAATTAAAGTTGTGATCGTAAAACTGATAAGTAAGTGAGCGTATTTATATGCAGATTGCAGAATATTCCCAATGCTTTCATAAGTGCTTAGGACAGGGTTAACTTAAGAGATTGACCTTTCTTTCAAATTTCAATAATGCATAGGTCCACTACACTTCCTACCGGCAGCGCATATACAACCCTCCAATGCAATATTATTAATATATACCTATATATACAACCCTCCAATGCCATCCACGTCTGCCCTTTTAGTGGAACTTGGAAGAAGCTTTTGGACATGATCATTCATATGTGCCTGTTGTCGCGTGTCCTTCATCATCGTGTGCAAAAGTAGCCGTTTTTCTAGTGGCAAAAGACATTGTCTGCAGTATATAAAGTAACTGTAGGTTTGTTCGCTTACTCTTTGAATTGAAACCCTGTTCCTCCTTCAACTTAATCTTCAAATTGACAATTAAGGAAAGCCGATAAGAAGATCACTACACACGCATCACATATATGTTAGTTTAATAGCCCAACCCAACCCACCATTGAAGATAATTTCCAGTCTCCAATACGATCACATCGTGCTCTTTAGTTTAGTGGCTCACCCTTGGACATTTCATTCAACGTCCATCATGACATTGCCCCAAATGTTTCTTGTTATCTTGTTGGTTGGGTGCAACAACACTCATACACCATTCTCCTCATCCCCAACCACCATGCCATGTGATTGCTTTTATAAAATAAAGCAACGCATTACTCTTCGAACAATAACCGACTTTTTACAAGTAAATCGCATTGTACAAAAGTTTTTTTAATGCTTTTGATGAGTCAATTATACATACATATTTGACATATAATGAAGAATTGACTCATTCTCTACAAGGAGCCAAACAATGTTCTTACTCTATAGTCTATCATGATGATTTACTTTTTTCCTTTTTTCATTCTAACCCAAGGAGGGTATTTGAAATTTAGACAAAAAAGAAGAAGAGGCTATTTGAAATGAGGCGGCCCCCTATTATTTACTAAAAGGTTAATACAAAGTAAGGTGGATAAAGCCCAATTATTGGCCCAACACGTAAGTGGGCCTATCTAATTAACATAAGCTCCGCCCCTTTTGACTTCTTATTCTTGCAACACCAACGGCTACCTAAACGTCCAAAACCTCCATTAACGGTCAAATCAAAGTATCTCTTCCAGCATCACTTACTTCAACAACCTCAGTCGATCCAAAACCCTCACTCTAAAACCCATTAAACCGGGGTTTGGTGCAACTACCTCCAAATTGAGAACCCTTGCCCTTCCCTCTTTTCCTTCTTCAGCATTTCCATCTCATTTTGTTCGAATCTCAATAATGGCTGTGCATCATAAGCTCGCTTTGATTCTCGAGAACCCTCTAAACGACGCCGAATATCTCCTCGTGAAACAGACGCGACCCCCGAAATTCAACGACGAAGAGTACGACTCGTACGTGGATTCCGACCTCTGGGACTTACCGTCCACGCAACTGAACCTTCTAGAAGTCAAATCGGAGCCCTCAATTGCAGTGGGAGGCGCAGAATCATGGTCAGGGAAGATCGAGCTGAAAAAATTCGATGTGGATTCGGCTCTCAATCGGGTAATTGAGAATTTTATTGTTGAATTGTAGAATTTGATTGGGTGGTTTTATTATTACTTATATCATATGTATTGCTTTAATAGGTTCTGGTACAAGTAGGGTTTAAGGCAGCTGATGTTGGAGATTGGAGCTTGTTGAAGTATGTGGAGGAAGCTCAATTTGGACCTGGGTCGCCTATTAATTCGGTTTTTGTTAGGGGGAAATTGGTAGCTTCGCATCCAAATTTACCAGGTATGCTCATTGTCACTTTAGCATTTATTTGTTTTTCTTCACGTACATTAAACTCATCAGGCAATTCAAATTGGAATAAATATGTTATTTTAGTGAGATATATGCGACTTATATAAACGTACACACATGCAGAGTCGTGTAAATGGCTGTCTGTCCCAAGCTGTTTAAACTGGCTTCTTGTAGTGAAACCAGGCAATGATCGTGTGGGGCCTTTGATAGTTGCCGGTCTTCTAAACGAGTTTGTGCAATCAAGAGAGTTGAAAATCCCATCCACCTTATCTTACCAGGTTTGCTGTGAATTGCGTCTACCACAATAAGGCTCATTCTTTATTGCCATTATATACACCGTATTATCACGTTTTTGCAGAATAAATATTCATTCTCAATTTCAGGAGTACCCTCCTGGTGTTGTGCTTGTACCGATGGGAAGCAAGACAGGAAAACCTTTTTATACGACAAACCTGGTTGTTTTTGCACCTCAAAATGCTTCTAATGACTCTGAGAAGAATGGTTTTATTGCTTCTGGAGATGCATTGATAGTGGATCCTGGGTGCCGGTCTGAATTTCATGAAGAGGTATGACGTGTTAGTTTGCTCTTATAAAGGACTCTCAATCTTTCAGGATAAATTATTTTTCAACTTATACTGTTACTCATACTGCAGATAGTGTGCTCAGTTTTTATTATTGCATGCTCGACTCTTTTTTTCTTGGAAACCTGATAACTAGTTTTTTCCTTATAATTTATGATCAGCTCGCACAAATTGTAGCTTCTTTGCCGAGAAAGTTAGTTGTATTTGTTACTCATCATCATCACGATCATGTGGATGGTAAGTTTTCGTAAAACTAGCAAAACTTCTAATAAGCCATCTTCTTATATTATTTTGTGTTTGGTCAAACTAAATTGATGTGTAGACATTTGGTCTTTTTTACTTTCCCAGGTCTTTCAGTTATTCAACGTTGCAACCCTGATGCTACTTTATTAGCACATGAAAATACCATGCGACGCATTGGAAAAGGTTGTGATTGTAACATTTTGCATTTCTAGTGACTGTGAAACCTAGGGATAAAGATCTTAGCACAATTATGTGATTGCACTACACTGCTTCATCTGATTTTTAAATGAGGTTTAATTGGAAACTAACTCTAGATGAAGAGGATATGACTTTACTTCCTAGCCCTTGATATCCTAGTGTTACTGTCCCCTTGTACACTTTCGGATTGTACATCAAGGACGTTGTTAAATTTTAAGAAAAATAGAATGACTGGTAATCTTTTAGTAAGATGGAAGAGGGATCCTGTTTGGGGATCTAGGGATATGAGTTGCTAATTAATATATTGGGTCATATTCTGCTTCTAAGCTTCTACTTCCTAATCTGTTTGTCATATGATGACAGATGACTGGTCTCTTGGTTTTACTGCAATTTCTGGAGCTGAAGAGATTTGCATTGGAGGTCAGCGACTGATTGCCCTTTTTTCTCCGGTATTTCTCACTTGACTTTCTTATTAAAAAAAATTATATTTATGACATCAATTGCAATATAGCAAAGGGAACCATACCACATTCCTTTTCCTCTATCTACGAAGTTCAATCTTTGATTTGAACTAGTAAAACCTCACTTGTTTTCAGATATTTGTAGGCTTATTATTTTTCCATGATTCGAACTATCTGTTCAGTAACTGTGATATTCTTGCTATAACATTAGCAGTAAGGACTTTTGCTTTCTTCAGAAAAATCATAATGAAGGTTTCAGTTTCATATTTATGACTAATAAATATTAGTCTGATATGCAACCTGATTCTCTATATGTAGCTTTTAAAATAAACAATTCTTTTAATACAAATTTATAAATAAACCCCAATCCTAGACATGTATTTATAAAAAAACCCAAGCACTATTTAAACATAGAAACACACCCAAAATCAACAATTGTATATTTTTGGGTGTGTTTATAAATGGGTTTTGAGTGTGTAATGATGGGTTTTGGGTGTTGGGTTTTTTTTATAATTTCAGCTCCCATTTTGGGTGTTTTAGTGAAACCCCCTTCTTTTAATTCAGGGACATACAGATGGTCATATGGGACTGCTTCATGCCAGTACTCACTCATTGATTGTCGGTGATCATTGTGTGGGGTAAGATGGAAGACAATTCTGCTTTGCTATGACTCTATGAGCACCCTCACCTATGATTTGATTTGCAGAATCTGAGTAAAGACTATATTCTATTATGTTGTGAAAAATAAAAACAAAAACAAGTAGAAGAAGAAAACAAACTGAGGTAGCCTATAGATTTCTTCGAAAAGAGTATCAATTTACGGGAGTAATGCTTCAACTTGCATCAAACTATGCTTCATTGCACAGGCTTAGTTGATTGTGTGTATGTGGAAATTCTGAGGAGAATAAAAACAATAGAATAATATAATAGTTACAGATAGGATAAGTTAATAGGAAAACGAGCATAAATAATATATCGACTAGATGATTAACTAGTTTTTTTTTCCTCCGGTGTTGTAAACTTTGTGTTAGATTATGAATTAGGCCCGTGCTTTAGGCTCAAAAAAGGGAAGAAAAATTTATAGAATTTATTGTTTTTCCCTCTTATGCCTTCTTGTTTGCGTTCCTGGCTTTGTCTGGGCTTAAAATGAAATAAACATCCTTGTGAACAGTTTGTATAGAGCTTTGCAATGACTTCTTGCCTCTCCCTCCCCATCTACCTTCCCCCTTCCCTTACCTTCTCCCTTAAATAAGAAGTAGAATAACACTGCTAATCTGAGGGATTGTCATCTTTCCATCTTTCCTCATCTGTTTTCAGTTTTTATTCTCAAAATTAGGTTTTATTATAGGTCTGACTTGTTTACCTGCTGGGACGGCTCTTCTAAAATCAACTTTGGTTTGTTTCAGTCAAGGTAGTGCTGTACTGGATGTTACTTCCGGGGGAAATATGACTGTAAGTTCATTAAGTCCTCTTTATGGTATATTATTACTTCAATTGTTTTCCTAGCCTATTGGATGAGAATCGACTAATGATTGGATGATAAAGCGGAGATAAAGATTAATGGTTTACCCCATGATACGGTGGTTATGCAGGATTACTTTCAATCAACTTACAAATTTATGGAGCTTGCTCCACATGCTTTGGTTCCCATGCATGGGAGAGTTAACCTATGGCCAAAACACATGCTTTGCGGATATCTCAAGTATGAAACAGAAATCTCTCGCTCTCTCTCTCTCCCCTTCCGGTTTTGTGTGTTATTGGCCCAAAACTAATTCAAAAAAGGATTATCATAGCACAATATTAGATGTATTCAGACAGAGGAGTCTTATCTTTCAGGAACCGCAGAGCTAGAGAAAGTTCCATCTTGAAAGCGATAGAAAATGGAGCAGAAACATTGTTTGACATAGTTGCAAATGTATATTCGGAGGTTGATCCTAGCGTTTGGATTTTTGCAGCATCAAATGTGAGACTTCATGTGGATCATTTAGCCCAGCAAGATAAGTTACCAAAGGTAAAAATTTCCAGGTTTCATGACATAATCTCTTCCTTAGTCCTATATCAATGCAAATTAGCGTACATATAGGCAGTTCCCATCCATATTGAGCTGCAAGCATATACATATTAAATTCAAATTCAAACAATTCCATTTAAGGTGTGCAGGGATTCTATTTAGAAACTTTCTATCACAGTATTGATGAACTCTCTGATAAGGTGGGTAAATTATGAGCCCAAGTGAGGAAGCTGCTCTCTCTTTGACCCATTCACAAACTACCTTTAGGTTGGATCACTTTCCTTGCATTTGTTGCTTGAAATCATATTTGATTATTTTGATACAACACCATTTGCAAGTTCGTCAAATATAGCTCCATTTGCAACTTAATTGAATCCTCGAATTAGCATCGGAGAGCAAAACAGTTCTTGCAATGTTTTGAGTATGAATTAGAGCGGGGCTTAATTAAGCTTGCTGAATTACTCCATGCAGGAATTTTTGATTCAGAAGTTCCGAAAAACTTGTGGGCTGCGTTTCTTCTCTCTATGGATTTGGGCATACTTTAGTTGTGGTGTCCGGTTATATTGTACGAAGCCTAGGATATCTCAGTTTCTTGTTGCAGGGGTGGTGGCTAGCTTCGCCCTGTTGTACTCTTTTAAAAACAGGTTTAGTTCCAAGTAAGATTTTCTTGGGGGTAATTGCCAGGATCAATTCCCAGGAACAGGCTGGAATTGTGTGTTAATATATTATAAAAAATAAACGCGAACTGTCAAAATTGCACAACTTGTATTTTATTTTATTGTTTGGTGTAAGTGACATTTCCTCAAAGTCAGGCACCAAAGACCCGAGACTCTTGCCGTGGCCACGTGATGAGAGAGATGGACACTATAGGCTTGTCCGGTGGAAGTTTTTCTTCAAGGCTTCAGGCAGCCGAACAAAACAAGATCCTTGCGCTTTTTCTAGTAACAAGATTATATAATAGTTAAAATGAAAAGTAACGTTATCATTCCCTTCAGTTGTTTCGTCAATTGCGCATTCCCTAAACCCTTTTCTTACCCTCAAAGAAAAGAAAAGAAAAAGGAAAAAAAAACTCTCCTCCATTCCCAACAAAGGCTCAGATGGTCCTGGTTGAAGGTCTCTCGTTTCTAGTTTCAAAGAAAATTGGAAAAATAAAACTAAAACACAAATACTTCAATTCAATGGGTGGTGTATATGCCCCTTCGAAATAACGCCCAGAATACCTGTCCTTCGGAAGGAAACTTTGAGTTATCACAAGATATTGATGAACTGTGCCCTGTGTTCTCCTAGTATCTTAACGTTTTCAGTGTTGTGATGGCGATTCTCATGTGCTATCGCCTCTCTAATCAAAACGTTTAAGCCTTTTCGGCCTACCCATTTCTCAAGCACATACTTTTTCTCACTTGGTAGCATGGAACACACAATCTCCTCACCCATCATTTCACATACATGGACTATATAATCATCTGGCTTCTTGTTTTAAGTTATTAAACGCACAAACCAGAACACACAAACACAATCTCAGATGAAGCAGGGTAAGCTCACTGTTGTTGTTAAAGAGCTTTCCGGTGGCCATTTTCATGTCAAAACCCTCATCATCTTCTCTTTGTCAATGTTATTTTTCATTTTTGTTCTCGGGATGTTCATAAATGATCGAACCAGGAAATTCTTAACCTCAGATGACTTATTCCCTCAGCTGAAGACATTTCCCTCAGTGTCTCCTTGCCTCCCTCTACACATTGTCAGTGCAACTTTTCTCTGTCTTCTCATTTACCGCCTCTTAGTTTTTCAAATCCAAGGGGACTACTTTTGAAAGATTACACGGCTCCCAAGGAGCTATGGCATTCTATGAGTGATGAGGAGCTCTTTTGGCAAGCTTCAATGGTGCCACGCATCGTCGAATACCCCTATAATCGAACACCAAAGGTGGCATTTATGTTCCTAACAAAGGGACGATTGCCATTCGCACCACTTTGGGAAAGTTTTTTCAAGGGACATGATGGCTTCTACTCAGTTTATCTCCATGCAGCACCAGACTTCAAGAATGAGCCACCAGAATCATCAGTGTTTTACAAGCGTAAGATACCAAGCCAGGTTAGAACTTTATAGATAGCAATCTTACCAATACACATTTCGGTTTATTACAAGAACCCAACTAACAATGAAAACAGTTTAGTGGGATTTGGCATGCATATGCAAAATTCATTAAGTTCTTCAAATTGTACTGATCTGCAGGCAGTTGAATGGGGAAAGCCAACAATGGTTGATGCTGAGAGGCGCCTATTAGGCAATGCCTTACTCGATTTTTCAAATGAGAGATTTGTATTGCTCTCTGAATCATGCATTCCTCTGTTTAACTTTACCACAGTCTACAGGCACCTCGTCAACTCCAACCACAGTTTTGTTAGCTCATTTGATGATCCAAGAAACGTTGGTCGTGGACGTTATAACAAGCAAATGTGGCCAACCGTGACATTATCAGATTGGCGTAAGGGCTCTCAGTGGTTTGAAGTTCACAGAAAGCTTGCCATAGAGATAGTTTCCGATCCCACATACTACCCTGTATTTAAGGACTTTTGCCTGCCTCCCTGCTACACAGATGAGCACTACTTGGCAACTCTTGTGACCAAAGTTGGTCCTGGGATGAACTCAAACAGTACCATTACCTGGGTCGATTGGTCAACTGGTGGTCCTCACCCAACAACGTTTGTGAGGAAAGATGTGACGGAAAACTTTCTGATTCGGTTAAGACATGGATTTAATTGTACTTACAATGGTGGCATGAGCTCCATTTGCCACCTGTTTGCTAGAAAGTTTCATCCAAGTACTCTGGAGCCTTTACTAAAAATAGCTCCAGCTCTGTTTGGATTTAACACCTAAAGATCGAGCCTGCTTATTATAATTAGTTTGACGTTTGGTTGGTCTAGTTAACATGAAATTTCATCCCAGTCCAGTTAATGTTCCCATTTGTATAAACTATGACGTTGGTTGGTCTATTGGACATCAAGGAATTTTCCATTTTCTATTTTTGTTGATACAAGCGAAAGACTAAACTACTATAAATCAATCTAATTTACGAAGAAGGGATTCGAACCTAAGTGCAAGAGGAGGCACTTACTGCCTTAACCAACTCACGTCAGCCATACCCTGCACTGTGGTGGGGAATGAAAAGTAGCAACTGGGTTAAACCAGGTGGAGCAGCTATTGACGAGAAGACTAGAACCTCATCCTCAATCAAAGCAAAGACAGGTGTTGAGTTTGACTGGCAGAAAGCCTTCCCTTTCCGTGCATTCAGCCTCTTGTTTGGCGACGATTCTCATCAAGGGGGGAGGCTTTATTTGAAGTCCTGTGTGCTATTAATAAGCCACCATATTGGACAAGACTTTGTCTTTTATCTGTTTCCTTTTGGACCACGACACCACATTTTACTTTCAATCTCAGATTGGAAGTGACAACGTTCGTGTAAGTTCAACAAAGCAGTTTTTTGGTTTTTGTTTTTCAGTCCAAAAGTAACCCATATGATTGTCTTAATCTTTTGTATTGTTCTTTTCCTTTGCTGTCCGTTTTTTTCCCCTTTTTTCTGGTATTGAATAAGTCAAGTCCGCAAATTATGCTTATGATTATGTGTTGGCAAAAAAAAAAAACCCCATTTTTTCGGAGTGAGAATTAATACAACCGCTCGCTGGCATGCTCAGTTAATTGCACGAATTAATGCACAGTTTTAATTTCTCTTATATAATTTGCACCTAAAATAAGGGGATTGAGATATTAATTAATCCTTATAATTTGGTTAAAACCGAAACAATTAACATCATAACATGAGTTTAGTGACAGCGAAAATCACTGCAAGAAACACGTGTAAAGAGTCATTACGAGCTTGAAAACTTTGTTATGTGTAGGATTTTCTTACCGTATTGAAAGTTGAAACAAAAAGAAAAAATTATCATAATGTTTAGTTTGTTGACGATTAGTTTAATATGGAAACGAGCCAAACTCCTTTTAATCAGTAAAGTAATCATAAGCGAATTGAACCCATTAACAGTATCTCTTTCAAGATTAGGAAATAATTATTGGTGCTTATTTCCTTCTAAAATCTTCAACTTTCCTGCTTTCTTCTCAATGGATTTTCATGAAATAATAAATTAAAGAGAATAAAAGTGACTGATTGAATTTTTCAAATTAGGCGTCAATTACTTGGGTTGGGAGATGAACACAACATGTGAATGCTTCTGCTGTCGCCTAATTTTCAACAGAAGATTCTTGTGATTGCATTTGCATGGAAGGAAGAGTTAGGCCATGCACAGTCCTAGCGGCGGCGTTTTGACGATGTCACACAGCTTTTGAATGGTCCGAATGAAAACGTGTCACAAAAATGGAAGCTACGTTTTTCACACGTTCTTCTATAATATCATTATTATTTATTATTCATTACTATTAATTGGCGGCTTTTAATTTGGTAACATAAAGTTGAAAGTCCAAGCACATAGATAACGTAGGCCCGCGTCGTTTCGAAGGTAATTAATTTCTACAAACAATTTTCTTTATGGGGTTTAATCTTCGTTTCTTCACTGCAGTAAAGAGTCAATTTCGCCAAAACTAACTTGTGGGTCCTAAAAGAAATTTTTTGAAAACATAAGCGTTACGTTTACCTTAAATACAAAGTAAAACTGAAACTCTAATCCGTGTTATGGACAGATCGAAAAGGGAGAGTTGTGCCTCTACCCTCTACCCCATTTGTGTAGCTCCAAAGTAAACGGCAGCATCTGTATGGCCGTATAGGTTACCAGCCTTCACCGCACCAATTTAAAGTCAGAAAAAGACCCTTCTTCAACCACGCTTTCTTTTCCCTTTGCTTATAACACTTTCCCCTCCATTTTTTTTATTTATTTCTTGACTTCTCCATTGGTCTTCATCTCTCTTTGCTTCGCACTACAAGTCCTGGTACGAATATCTTTTTCTGTTTCCAATTCTGGGTTAGTTCAAAGTGATTTGCTTGTGTTTCAGATTTCATTAGATTTGGTTCTTTGTTTTTTTAACAATCCCACACCATCCTGCATATCTGTTCTAGTCTCTATATGGATATTTGACCAGAAAAGGATATTTTGCTATATATGTGTGCAGAAGGCGTATATAGATAGATATTTCGTTTTCCTTAATTCCCAAACCTTCCAAACGAACTTGGTCTTTGCCAATCTTGATATCCCAGACTTTTTATTTGGCTCTCTTCTTCTCAAGAAACTCGGAGAAGGATTGAGCTGCTCTGCATAGGAGAACCCATTCAAGTTCCCTGTAAATATTTATTATTATAATATTCTCTTATCTACAAATGAAGGGTCAGAATCAAAACCCATTAAACTTGTTTTCAAAACTCTTCAATGCCCAACTCCACATCCTCAAACTCCTCTTCTATTTCCTGCTATTTGGTGGTGGTTTAACCCTTGGAATGGTACTTAGCTTTTATATGAAAGACATTTCAATTAGTTTGCAATTAGCCCAGTTCTCCTTCTCAACCTCACAATCTCCATCCAATCAACATACCCTAATGCCAAATGTAAAAGCCTTCGAAGCCAATGCGACCAAGCCTCACATAGGATTGAAGGAATATCTAAAGCCGCCTAATGTTCTGCACGACATGGACGACCAAGAATTGCTATGGAGAGCTTCGATGATTCCTCGGATTACTGAGTATCCATTCCGTCGAGTTCCCAAGGTTGCTTTCATGTTCTTGACAAAGGGTCCTGTTCTGCTGGCCCCACTGTGGGAGAAGTTCTTCAAAGGGCATCAGGGCTTGTACTCAATTTATGTGCACTCAAATCCATCTTACAATGGATCATACCCCGAAAGTCCTGTTTTCCGTGACAGGAGAATTCCTAGCCGGGTTAGTCTCTTGCTTACTTTGCAATGTCTGCATAAATTTACTTAATTGGTGATTTGTTTGAACTTGAAATTCATTTTATAACACAGATTATAGAATTGAGGTTAGGTGATCTGCATTCTTTAGAGTTACTACCTGAATGTGTTCACTTGCAAGAAAGCATAAATTTGGAGGGAAAAGTAGTTTCGAAAGGGACAAGGGAAAGTGTCCATTAAACAGTGACAATGTGAGAGAGGGAGAAGATCTATTGTGAAGTTGAATGACTAAAAAGTTTCAACTACAATGCTTGTTGGCAGAAAGATGAAGTGCTTAACAGGGTATCTGCTCTGTTTAGACAAACTACCTACTTAAAGCATCTCAAATCACTGGTTCATGAACTATCAGATAGCCTTCAAATCATCACGATGCTCTTAAATAATCACTTGATGTGATGGATAACCTGCACTAATTGTCACAATAATTTCCACATTAGGTGGAACCCAATGATTCTTTTCTTTAATGATTTGATGGCTATCAATCACAAAATGACATTGTTATACGAAACCATGTTGCAGAATTTGATGGGTTAAACAATACTCTGACCATCTTTATCTGATCACATCTTCATTTAATTGAATTGCAGGAAGTAGGATGGGGAAATGTGAACATGATTGAGGCCGAGCGCCGCCTATTGGCAAATGCTCTTCTTGACATCTCAAACGAACGTTTTGTTCTGCTCTCAGAATCCTGCATCCCCCTCCACAACTTCTCCACCGTCTACTCTTACCTCGTACACTCCCGCGAAAGTTTTGTACAGGTCTATGATGATCCAAGCTCTGTCGGACGGGGCCGGTATAATTCTCATATGTACCCGAAAATCTCATTGAGCCAATGGAGGAAAGGATCCCAGTGGTTTGAGATGGACAGACGCCTTGCCATTGAAATTGTCTCAGATAAAAAATACTTCCCAGCTTTCCAAAAGTACTGCAGGGGCTCATGCTATGCAGACGAGCATTATCTGCCAACATTTGCGAACATCAACTTTGGGGCAAATAATTCGAATAGGAGTTTGACCTGGGTTGACTGGTCCAGGGGTGGCCCCCACCCTGCCAAGTTCACAAGAGCTGATGTCACCGTTGAGGTTTTGAGTAGATTGAGGAATGGGACTGCGTGTGTATATAATGGAAAGAGCACCAACGTTTGTTTCTTGTTTGCTAGGAAGTTTGGTCCTGATACTTTGGAAAGGCTGCTGAGGTTTGCTCCAAAGCTCATGCGCTTCAACAGATAAAAAAAAAGATAAAAAAAAGAAATCCATGGGTTAATTTATTCATTTTTGGATCGATCAAGTGTAGACTGTAGGGTATAAAATGAAAATTTATTACAAGCTTTTTTCTTTTCAACTTCGTCACTTTATTATTATATATAGTAATTCCATAATGGGCTTGAGATATATGTCCCAGGCCCAGTATTGTTAGTGTTTTTTTTTCGTTTGATTTGTTCTTTTGGGGGAAAACAAACCCAAATACATCGCATTTATTCTTTCAAGTATTATTCTTTGTTTAAACCCCTAGAAATTGAATTTATTTAAAAATACAAAGACGTTCCTTTTTTAATTGCAACCAAAGAGAATAAAAAATATAAAAAAAGCGAAATTAGGCTACAATTCTAACCAAAAAATTAGGCTATAATTGTGCATTAAAAAAATATTAGGATGACTAAGGTAACGAATTTTCTTTAGAAATTAAACCAATGGACTAAGGTAATAAATATTTGTTATTTTTCTTTTCCAGTTTTCTCTAGATTTTATGTCATTGAAAAAGGTAATAAATCCCTGTTCCTTCTCTGCAATGAAGAGTCATTTCACCAAAAAGAAATTCTGGGTCGAGGAAAAAGAAGTGTTACTGAAAATGACTTCAACTCTTTGTTTTTGTTTTCCGGTGGAGAAAAGAATACTCTTTGACTTTAAAATAAAGCATTGTATTTACCTTCAAAAATGGAATTTTGTTATCTGTACTGTGGATTTGAAACAAAGGGTTACGTACATTATTTACGTTAAATACAAAGATAAACTGAAAAATACTCTAATTCTTATTGCAGAGTGTAGACAGGGCCTAAATGGAGAGCACTCTTTGACCTTCCCCCATGGTTACGTTTAGTTACAAAGTCATCACCACCAGCATCAGCATGCATACCCCAAATCTCTTTCTCTCATCACATATGATATGTGATATGCTTGTCTTTCATATTTCTCTGATTTGATCTTGTCTTTCAATTCATATCCCAAAGTTTCTTGGGAAAAATGAAGGCTCAAGATCCAAACCCAGGAAGCGTTTTTCCCAAAGTCTTCAATGTCCAACGCCACCTCCTCAATCTCCTTTCTTATGTCCTGCTCTTTGTGGGCGGTTTAACCCTTGGAGTTGTACTTGTCAATCTCAAGGACTTTTCATTTGGTCTGCAATTTGCCCAATCCCCCTTCTCAACTTTGTCATCTCCTCCTCCATCCAATCATTCACAGATTCTAATTACGCCGAATGCAACAGCCCCAACAACCAGTATGAGCCTCACACCCGACCCCCTAATTGGGTTGACGGAATATCTAAAGCCGCCAAAGGTTTTTCACGACATGAACGATACAGAATTGCTCTGGAGAGCTTCGATGTCTCCTAGGATTCCTGAATATCCATTTCATCTAGTTCCCAAAATTGCTTTCATGTTCTTGGCAAGGGGACCTGTTCTTTTGGCCCCATTGTGGGAGAAGTTCTTTGAAGGGCATCAAGGTTTTTACTCAATCTATGTGCACTCAGAGCCGCCCCACAATCAGTCGTCTTATGCCGGAAGTTCGGTTTTCCATGGCCGAAGAATTCCCAGTGATCTGGTCAGTGCTTTGCTCAATTCCCATTATCTGCAAATTAGAATGCTCATAGGAAACACTTATATTAAGATGCATTTATTCATAGCGCGAGCAAAGTTCATCAATGTATGCAATTAAGTACATTAGAATGCTAATTCTGATCATCATCTTCATTGCAGAAAGTAAAATGGGGGACGGTGAGCTTGATTGAGGCAGAGCGCCTCCTATTGGCGAATGCTCTTCTCGACATCTCAAACCAACGCTTTGTTCTGCTCTCAGAAGCATGCATCCCTCTCTACAACTTCTCCACTGTCTACTCTTACCTCATAAACTCCAAAGAAACTTTCGTGGAGGTCTATGATGATCCAAGCGCAGTTGGACGTGGCCGATATTATTTTGTTCAGTACCCAGGAATCTCAGTGGAGCAATGGAGGAAGGGGTCACAGTGGTTTGAAATTGACAGAGACCTTGCCATTGAAGTTGTCTCGGATCGAAAATACTTCCCAGTTTACTTCAGATGCAGAGGCGAATGTTTTGCAGATGAACATTATTTGCCAACGTTTGTGAACATCAAATTTGGAGCAAAGAATGCAAACAGGACGTTGACTTGGGTTGACTGGGCCAAGAGCGGCCCGCACCCTACCGAGTACATGAGCTCGAATGTCACAGTTGAGCTTCTGAATGGCCTGAGGACTGGTTATGGCCGGAGATGTGAATATAATGGAAGGAGCACACATGTTTGTTTCTTATTCGCGAGGAAGTTCCCGCCTTCTGCTTTGGACAGCCTGCTGAGAATTGCTCCAAAGATCATGCACTTCAACCATGGTGCTCCTTAAGAAAAAGAAAAAGAAAAAACATTAGAAATTAGCAAAACAGATTTATATAGTGTTACGTGTCTTTTTGTTTGTCTTTTAACTTTCATGGTACATGATCAATTTTCTTGAATATTATATAGGCATCGAATTATATGCTTCATTTTGGGCTTTTCATTGCGTAAGCTTGTTGGCTACTATAATCTAATTTCTTTGGCCAAGTAAAGTTTTTAATTAGCAGAAAGGAAATATAATAATTTAACAACACAAAAGGAAGAGAATCGAAATCCAACAACGAGACAAAAACAAAGTTTATGGGTTTAGAGCGTAAGGCGACTTTTGAGAATGAGAAATCCCGAACCTCTATATTTAAAGATCTCGATATTAATTATGGATTTAAGAAATCAAATAAAGCAATGTTTAAAGTATAATTTTATGATCAAATCTGTCTCATCTTTCTAGACTAGTTAGTATTCGGCCAAGATCTAACAAATTGAACATTATAGAATCTTACTTAGTATATTCCGTAACCATGTAGAGGTCATAAAAATAACAAACTCTAGAAATGTTGTGACATAAAAATAAAAGAAAAAGGGAATTTGTGTGGATTTCATATTGAATAAAAAAATGCAAGCATCCAATAATAATGTCATAAGCTAGGTAATTGCAAACAAGGACCTGGTGAATCAATCACCCTTATAAAAATGTTCACAATCCTTGTAATTAAACATGGAAATTCAAAAATCTAAATCAAGCAACACAATCAAAAGCCCCAACGCAACAACAGAAACAAAATCCATCATTTACAACACAAGACTGAAAGACAATCAAAAAGGTTTGGTACCATCTCACTTGGACAAGGAAGCCGTCTCGAAGGCCTCCTCATAAAACACGGACACACCACACCACCAACCTCCGCTCCTCACCACTTGGCTTCTTGTGAAAGGGGACGTGCCAGCCATTGGCTGTGATTCTGAATATTGCTAGCCAGGCCCCGTGCCCCCGGGCCGCTTCTGCCGCGATTTTCAGTCACCCACCCCACCCCATGGATGAATTGAAAACCCAAGTGCAGTCATATTGAGGGTAAGGTAAATGCAAGACAAACTTCAGCAGCCAGCCACCCTCTCAAAGTCTAATCTCTGTTGTGTAAAATGAAGGATCAAGATCAACAACCAGCAAACTTGTTTCCAAAACTCTTCAATCTCCACCTTCTCAATCTCCTTTCTTATTTCCTGCTCTTTGTCTACGGAACTTTAACCCTTGGAATTATATTTACCTATTTCACAGACTTTTCATTTAGTCAACAATTAGCCCAATTCCCCTTCTCAGGTATGCCATCTCCACCCAATTCACAACTGCTAATACCAAATGTAACAGCCTCAACTTCCAATATGAGCCACACAGCCCAACCTCACATACGAGGATTAAAGGAATACATAAAGCCGCCAAAGGTTTTTCACAACCTGAATGATACAGAGTTGCTATGGAGAGCTTCCATGACTCCTAGGATTCCTGAATATCCATTCCATCGAGTTCCCAAGGTTGCTTTCATGTTCATGACAAGGGGACCTGTTGTTTTGGCCCGTTATGGGAGAAGTTCTTCAAAGGGCATAGAGGTTTGTACTCAATCTATGTGCACTCAAAGCCATCCTACAATGCATCATCACACCCCGAAAGTCCAGTTTTTCGTGGCCGGAGAATTCCTAGTCAGGTCAGTTTGTTTTGCTTATTTTTCGTTCTCTTCATAAGTTTTTATGCTTTTGTGACTTTTTAGACTTCAAATTCAAAATACTGAGGTTTTGAAAGGGACAAGTTAAAAAGCAGCTCTAAAGCTGTAACAATAAATTGGTTTAAGAGGATGCCTGCCCTGTTTAGACAACACTTACAACTATGACGTTCTACATCATCATGTAATAATATTGATTGCAGGAAGTAGAATGGGGAAGGGTGAGCCAGATTGAGGCTGAGCGCCGCCCGTTGGCGAATGCTCTTCTTGACATCGCAAACGAACGTTTTGTTCTGCTCTCAGAATCATGCATCCCCCTCTACAACTTCTCCACTGTCTACTCTTACCTCATACACTCCAACGAAACTTTCGTGGAGGTTTATGATGATCCAGGCGTGGACGGACGTGGCAGATATTATTTCATTGACTACCCAGGAATCACATTGGATCAATGGAGCAAAGGGTCACAGTGGCTTGAAATTGATAGAGACCTTGCCATTGAAGTTGTCTCCGATCGAATATACTTCCCACTTTTCCTCAGATGCAAAGGCGAATGCTTTGCAGAAGAACATTATTTGCCAACATTTGTGTACATGAAATTTGCAGCAAACAGTGCATACAGGTCTTTGATCTGGGCTGACTGGACCAAGGGTGGCGCACACCCTACCGAGTACACGAGCACAAATGTCACATTTGAGCTTTTGAATAGCCTGAGAAATGGTTATGGTCGGAGATGTGAATATAATGGAAGGAGCACAGATGTCTGTTTCCTATTCGCCAGGAAGTTCCCGCCTACAACATTGGATAGCCTCCTGAGAATTGCACCAAACATCATGCACTTCAGCAACACATAGCTTCATATTTCCTCTTGTTTCGAGTCTCGAAAATTACGGTTGTCAGTTTCATGGTACATTGAATATAATTAAGATTAGTTAAACAAGATCCTACTCTAGTTAAAAGCCAAGTACCAGTTGCCGAGAATCAAACTCTGTGTTAAAAAAAATGGTTCGCAATCCATGTAATTAGCAGAAACGAAAATGAAAATAAAATAAGCAAAGCAGGAGAATCGAAACCCACAAAACGAAACCCGTGATTTACAATAGAAGACTGTTAATAATATGGTTGTAAACCGTTACTGGCTGGCGCCGCAAGTGTCCTCCGACAAGGAAGGCGACTCGGACATGGAGTCAAAGGCCTCATGACTCGGGGAGCCCACCACACCCTGAATCTCGTCGATCATTTTCACCACCTGGCTCATCCTGGGCCGTTGATCAGGCGAAGCGGCGGTGCAAGCCATCGCGATCTGCAGAAGCCCCACCATCTCCTCCTCTATATCCTTGTACCTCATCAGCTCAAGGTCAAACACCTCCGCCGTCCATTCCTCTCTGACCACAGACTGGACCCACCTGGGCAGGTCCACAAGCCCACCATAACCACCCCCAGGCCCACCACTGTCCACGACGGAGGGGCACTTCCCTGTGAGCAGCTCCAGCAGAAGCACACCGAAAGCGTACACATCGGATTTTTGAGTTAATTTTCGACCGTCCAACGTCTCGGGAGCGCGGTAGCCGCAGGATCGTGGAGCGGATGACGTGGCTGGGGGAGGAAGTACAAACACGGAGAGTCCGAAGTCAGAGACACGAGCATTGCCGGTCTTGTCTAATAGGATGTTGGTGGATTTGATGTTACCGTGGGTGAGCTTAAGCGGACTGCACGAGTTGTGAATACAAGCTAGGCCTCGAGCCGCTCCCGCTGCGATTTTCAGCCTCGTGGTCCAGTCCAGTGGGGTTCGACCGGGGCCCCGGTTTCCTGTTCAAATTAACCCTCATAAGTTGATGATAATTACAATTACTCAGAGATTATGGATCTATGAGTTTGGTCTAAATAAATAAAGCATAAAAGTGATTTAGAGTAGGTCGCTTTTTGGTCACATTTAGGCCGGAAAGAAGGAAAAGTAGGGAGCAAGAATCAGAGAAAACAAAAAGCATAAAAAGCAAAGGAAAATAGAGACAAGACTGGAGAGAGAGCCAGCCAGGATAGGGAGCAGTGGACAGACTGTACAAGGGGTAGGGCAGAGGGCAGAGAGCAGAGGGCTTAAATCCCAATTCCCAAATCGCAATTAAAGTTCATTTTCTGTCCTCATGGGTAACTGTTCACTTGTCTGTAATGAACGGCAAAGGTGCTAAAGCAGCCATTAGAGGCCTCACCTCCCTCCTTGATATCTTAAACCCTCGCGCTCCTCAGCTCCACCAAACAGAGTCAAACACCTTTGACCTACTTTACGCTCTTACCATACACTCATCCATAGCTCATTCAAAACCCCCATTAAATTAACCCATATAATTCTAAAACACTTAACAAAAACCTTAACATTTTAATGTCAATTAAACAGAAATTTAACAAGAAAACTAAATCAACTTACCGTGAAGCAGCCAAAATAAGCTACCATTCGACATGTAATCGTAGACCAGCAACTTCTCCTCCCTGGCAAAATAATAAGCTCTCAAACTAACAATATTGGGATGGCTGAGCCGCCCCAACACCGCCATGTGCTGCTCGAACTCTCGCTTCCCACCAATCTGCGCATCCTTGAGCCTCTTCACCGCCACCACATTGCCGTCGTCCAGAACCGCCTTGTATGCCGTTCCGAACCCGCCTTTACCCAACATCTCCGCCGAGGCTCTGAGCAAGTCCTCGAGCTCGAACCGCTTCACCCCCTCGAAAAACACCATCTGACCCCGCTCGGTCCCGTGTTGAGCCGAGTACGGGCTTGAAGAGTATACTATCTTCTCGCTTTCTAGAAGCTTCGAGCTGCTCTTGCCCTGCCGCATTTTGGGGCTGAAGTTCCGCAAAAAATAGCAGTATAGGAGCAGTGAAACAAAAACAAGAACCAATGCGTCGCCGACTATAATCGCGATGAGAGCCTCTGGACTTATTTTCGATGTTCCATTGCGGCGAGTATTTGTTGATTTGTTCGGCGTTGAGTTTCCCGGCAGTGAACTCGGAGACGATGCTACTACTGTTGGATTAGCAGCCGGCATTACAGGAGAAGCGATAGCTCCATCAAATCCGGGCCGAGTCGGGTTGTTCACCAGACCCTTGCAGTTCAGCACCGGAGACCCGCATAGACCCGGGTTTTGAGCGAAAGCGGATTCGGGAAAACCTGAAAAGGACTTCGGTATTTCGCCGGTCAAACGGTTTGCAGACACATTAAAATCCTGCAGATTCGGGAGGTTCAAGCCGGAAATCGAACCTGCGAACCGATTAACCTCGAGCCGGAGAGTGAGAAGATGGGTCAAATGGTTGACCGTGGAGGGAATGTGGCCGGACAAGTTGTTGTAGGATAGATCGAGTCGGTAGAGCCGGAAGAGCGAGGTGACGGAGGCGGGAAAGTCGCCGGAGAAGTCGTTGTATGAGAGGAAGAGAAGTTTGAGAGCGGTGAGGTTTGAGAGGTCGGGAATGGGGCCGGAGAGACGGTTCCGCTTGAGGCTGAGAACTCGGAGCTGAGTTAACGCGGTTAGGGGCTCGAACGAGCCGTGGAGGTCCAGGTTTTCGAGGACCAGTCGCGAGACTCGGTTTCGGGTGCAGGAGACGCCGAACCAGGTGCACAGGTCGGAGCTTGAGTTCCAGGTGGCTAGCTTGTTGGATGCGTCAGAGGAGGATTTGAATGCTAGTAAATGCTCGAAATCTGGGTTTGATGAGGCATGTAGAACGGTTAAAAACAAGTGCGTGAATATTAAAAGTGTGGCTATGGCTGCCATTGTTCTCTGCAAATGGGAGCAGAGAGAGAGAGTGAGAGAGAAGTAGTGAAGGGTCAGTGGGGGGGGGGAGTGACTTGAGCTTGTACGTAAGTTGTTAGTATGGCATTGGTGTAATTACAGGTAAAGTAAAGGGGTATTATGGAATAAATAAAGGATGGCGATTGAGTTTTAAGATGGATTGATCGAAAAACTGAAAAGGCATGTAACCTGTACTCTCGTCTTACTGTGGGGTGATTCTAACTGAAATGACAGTAATACCCTTGTAACGCTAGGGACCTGTATCGTTTTGTCGGATACGTTACGGTACCCATCGCAAGATAAGGTGCATGAACTGATATTCGTGCCTGGCAGCAGGCTAGTATTTTGGAATGGACGAGGAGCGGACACGTGGGGACTGGGCGCTCCGAAATCATGCCCAAAGTGTGAAACTTGTCCCGTAAATCAGACGATCTTCTGATGCGCGTGCCCTACCTCGCATCAGATCAAGCATTCACATGTTTCATAAATGAGTCAATGCCTGATTTATTTTAATTTATGGATTGACCAAAACATCAACAAACCAGATTAAATACGAGGGTAATCTGGTAATTAAGCATGAAAAAGGTTTGCTTGAAGGACGACAGAAGCTCCACCATCTGGTTCCCGAAGGCCAATCTTTTGCTTTTCCCGTCATCGTTAGAATAAAAATCAATCAGTCATTTCCTTGCTTAACGTGAATTTCACAATGGCTGGAAAACCCGAAATTTCATAAACTCATCATAAGCCGCGGGTGCGCTTTCGAGCATCTTATTATCACTTTTTCCTTCTTCATTCTTCACATCTCGAAGTGCGAACTTGTGTTTGTCAAAAGTAGCATTAATTGATTATTAATTTGTTACTTTGGGCCACATCGTACATGGTTTGGTCTAAAGTTAGATCTGATACTAGAAATACATGGTTAAACCATGATTAGAAAGAATAATAGTGAGAGCATGCATAGTTAAGTTAGGAGACGACTTTAAATTTAACGTCTTTAATTTGGAGGTGGGGTTGAAGGGAGCGCGATATTAAACAACTGCTAGTGTTTTTGTCTTCAATGTTTTTCTTTTGGTCCAAGTCTTCAATGTTATGTAGGGCATTTTGTGCATAGTATCTATCTTTCGATTCAAATGTGACTGGAACAATTGCAGGAATTTGACTCCAACTTAAACATTGCGCCAACCTTTTCATCAAGATGCCATAAAACACTTGACATGATGTGATTGCTTGTAGCTCAAATAATTAAGAGTATTTATCCTCGCATCTGAGGTCATATATTCGATTCACGCTCCTTTAATATTGTTTGAATAAATGATAATAATAATAATAATAATAAAGCCTTGCATTCAAAATATTTTGATTGGGCTATTTTAGGCATGTAAACTTGGACTTGAGGCTGACTCAGCTGGCTCATACTTTGATCCAGAGAGCAGCATTTGCCACAGCCCCATTATGTACACCCAGTGACTTTAGCATATTAGCAGCTCTATCATATAGTTCAAAAACCCCATATAACCCAAATAATAATAATAAAAAGATAAAGCCTTGCATTCATTATAGTCCAAACCTGATGATAAAGTTCATAATCATACAGTTCTCTGCACACTTGTTCCATTATTCAGAAACATAAATGTGTTCAAGTAAAATGCAGGGTACGTTCTATCGTGTTGATACCAATGTAGCAGTAGAAGAACCTACGGCGGACTTTGGTGGAGAAGACAAGTAAGGCTTCGGTGGTAACTGCAAGCAATCAACACTGCCTTCCAACATATCTATCACTTCTTTCATCGATGGCCTGTTTGAAGGGTCTGTTTGTATGCACCACAAGCTCACTATTATCAATTTCCTTGCTCTTTCCTTGTCTTCTTCATTTATGATGCTCGGCAGACCAAGTTCTTCATCAAGTTCCAGACGCTTGTAAATCCAGTGCGGAAAATAGATTTCACTTGTATCTTCAGCTTCTGCGTTGATGTTCCTTCTTCCTCCAACCATCACCGAAAGCATCATTCCATAGCTATATACATCCGACTTGTGTGAGACCCCCCCAAAATTTCTACAAAATACTTCTGGAGCAATGTAACCAGCAGTGCCTCTGGCACCCAACATTGACACAATACTCTCTTTCCTGTTGCATATCTTAGCAAGGCCGAAATCAGAGATTTTTGGTGTGAAATTTTCATCAAGAAGAATGTTATGAGGCTTGATGTCAAAATGCAGAATTCTTGTGTTGCAACCCCGATGTAAATACTCCAATCCTCGAGCAATGCCGAGTGAAATTTCATCCAATGCTTCCCATCCCAAGTGATGATCATGATCTCCCTTGGGGGTATCTGCATCAAATATGAGCTTCTCAAGAGATCCATTAGGCATGAATTCATAGATGAGAGCTCTTTTTGAACCCTCAAAACAATATCCCAACAAGCTTACTATGTTGACATGGGAAGTTCTACTAGTCGCTGCCACCTCATTCATAAATTCTTCTCCGTTCCCTTTTAATTTGTTCAAGACCTTCACTGCTACGAGACAGCCGTTGTTTAATTTTCCTTTGTACACGCTACCATATCCCCCCTGTCCTAATTTTTCTTTGAAGGAGTTGGTCATTTTCTTGACATCCGAATAGTGATATCTTCTAACTTGAAGTGCCTCATAGCTCCTTAGAAAGGCCTCAACAATTTGACGATTTTTTCTTTGATTATTCCAATATAAACAGCAAACAATAGCCCCTAGAGCCACAATGGCAGCAACTGCAGCAACTGTTCAAAGAAAGGAAACAACAAAAAATTTGTATGAATAGGTGCGAGGTGTAAAATTCAATAAACTAGCTTTTCCCACAACAATTAGATATTTAATTGAAGAGATATGGATCTTACCTAGTCCTATCTTCAATCTTCTCAAGTTATTTCCTGCAACAAAGATGACCATTTACTCCCTTTGTTCAAAAATCACACTGCTCAGGGACAATCAGGGCTTGGATTATTTTTTTGTTTAGAGGTTCAAGATTTGAATCCATAACGTTTGATATTCAATGTCGTGTATCAGCAGCACCCACTTAACTATTTTCTATTTAAACAACCGCCATTTTTCTTGAATCAAATGTACGGTAGGAATTAGACTATTCTATGCCCAAGTGGACAATTATCTCATGCCAGAAAGTATCTAATTATTCATAATAATTTCATGTACATAGAAGATTAAAAATAAAAAACTAACCTTCATCATCCCGGCAGCGCACAGAATGAGTCGTCCGTGGGCAGAGACACCTAAAATGGTAGGTTGTGTAATTGAAGCCACACCTCCCTCCACTGTTTTGGCAGCGGCTGCAGTCACTAGCAAACCAATTCAGCTCAAACCCTCTGCTCAAAACCTCTTGTATTAATCCCACCTCACCATTCTCACCCCCTCTTCCAGCATGAGCCACCACCACTTCTCCTCCACACTTGTGACTTCCAAATTTTGGATATTCATCCCGAGGCAGAGCCAGAACTGAAGTATTACTTCTGGTTTTGTTAGTTCCCTGATCAAAGCAACCGACTTTATACTTTGGAAATGACTCAACCACAGAAGAGTTGCAATTGTAGAGCAAAAAGAAGTCAGCTCGGTTTGAAGCCAACTCGAACTGATCATTGGGAAGGGTTAAGTTATGGAGTGATGAAATATCATCGTTACAAGCAGTGCTTTCTAAGTAGCCTGAAAGCAGAGAATTTGAGACAAGAAGAGACTTGTTTTGGTAATCGATGTTGTGGATGGTGTAATTGTTACCAGACAATCGGAGAAGTGGGTAGGCATCTTCACCATCTCCATGGCAAGAGAGCTGGAAGCCAGGGTAGCCACAGAAGGATTCTTGCCTGCCTGGGATGTAGAATGGATAGCTAATGTTTTGGCGGCCACAACTTACGGGCACACTGCAGTTTTGGTAGTAAAAGTTCAGAGCAAAAGAGGCTTCTGTTAGGAGGAGAAACATCACAATGAGGATGCAGAAGTTTTGATTCATTTGGGATATTGTAAATTATGGCAGAGAGAATTATAATAATAATATTATTAGTAATAGTGTTGTGAGTTGTTTTTGAAGGAGGATAGCTTTGACTTGACAATTCCCCAATCGAAGTCTTTGGCTTTGACAGTTGACAGCTTTTGAGTTTCAGAAGGCTGCCTCACATATTAGACTCTTGAATTTGAAATGAAAACCAGGCTTTTGGATACTATTCTTTCTTCACAATATATTTCTTCAACACTTAATTAAACGCGTCAGTTGACTTGGAAATTCGATATGCAAGACTTCCGTTTCTTCGTTTTCTTTTATTTTGGTAAAGACTATTGCATCCAACACGCTTTTGTTTTTTCGTTTTTCCAAAACACCTGCGCAGGTTTGATCCACACCTAGCAAAGTTCGTAATCATACAGTTCTCTGCAATCTTGTTCATTTTTCAGAACATCGAAGTGTTCAAGTAAAATACAGGGGACGTTCTATTTCCTCCATCACAACACAATTCTGATTTGTAGTAGCAAGGAAGAAAATAGAATCATCAGCAAAGAACAAGTGTGACAGCATAAGACAAGATTATGGAGATAAATTTCCTGAAGCTGACCCAAAGAGCAGCAGTACTAGTAAGTGATCATATTAGTACCATTACGGAGACCCCTAGAAGGGCAAAACTGAGACCCAACTTTTCCATTCAACATCACAGCAAAAGAAACGGAACTCACACACCTCATAATAAGAGAAATCCACTGATCGTTACGGCCATATGCTTTATTCATATTACTCAATTCAAGTCTTTCGCTCTGCTTGCTGCCTGCCCCAACATTTTAGAGACAACTTATTACAGTGTTGAATTTAAGCACCACAATGGACAATATGTTAAGAAAGTATACGACGGAAATTTCTTAACAAAACTTTACCTGCCAACAAAACGGAGGCATAAATTATACTGCAGGTCATTGGTCAAGAATCAAGATAAGATTTGGACGCGAATTTGCAATACAGACCCTCTGTTTTGGATGCCAGATTCATTCCAAAAAAAAAAAAAAAAAAAAAAAAAAAAAAAAAAAAAACCAAAAAACCCAAATACGTTAATGAATCCAGACCTAACAAAGCCCATAGATAATACAGTTCACAGCAATATTGTTCATTATTCAGATTCCCTTGAAAAAACATACATGCGTCCAAGTAAAATACAGAGTTCTACTGTATTGATACTAACGTAGTAGAAGAATCTGCCGTGGATTTTGGCGGAGAAGACAGGTAAGGCTTGGGTGGAATCTGCAAGCAATCAACACTTCCTTCCAACATATCTGTCACTTGTTTCATCGCTGGTCTGTTTGAAGGGTCTGTTTGTATGCACCACAAGCTCACTATTATCATCTTCCTCGCTCTTAATTTGTCTTCCTCATTCACGATACTCGGCAGACCAAGTTCTTCATCAAGTTCAATACGCTTGTAAATCCAGTGTGGAAAATATATTTCACTTGTATCTTCAGCTTCGGCATTGATGTTCCTTCTTCCTCCAACCATCTCCGAAAGCATCATCCCGTAGCTATATACATCTGACTTGTGTGAGACCGCTCCAAAATTCCTACAGAATACTTCTGGAGCAATGTAGCCAGCAGTGCCTCTTGCACACGCCATTGACACAATGCTCTCTTTCATGTTGCATATCTTAGCAAGGCCAAAATCAGAGACTTTTGGTGTGAAATTTTCATCAAGAAGAATGTTATGAGGCTTGATGTCAAAATGCAGAATTCTTGTGTTGCAACCGCGATGTAAATACTCCAACCCTCGAGCAATGCCAAGTGCAATTCGATCCAATGCTTCCCATCCCAAGTGATGGTTTTTGTTCGGGGTATTTGCATCAAATATGAACTTGTCAAGTGATCCATTAGGCATGAATTCATAGATGAGAGATCTTTTTGAACCCTCAAAACAAAAGCCCAACAAGGAGACAATGTTGACATGGGAAGTTCTGCTAATGGCTGCCACCTCATTCATAAATTCTTCTCCATTACCTTTTAATTTGCTCAAGACCTTCACAGCTATAAGACTGCCGTCATTTGATTTTCCCTTGTATACACTACCGTAGCCCCCTTGTCCTAATTTTTCTTTGAAGGAATTGGTCATTTTCTTGACCTCCAAATAGCTATATCTTCTAACTTGAAGTGGCCCATAGCCCCTTAGAAAGGCCTCAACAATTTGACGATCTTGGCCTTGATTCTTCCAGAAGAAAATAAAGCTATCATATGCTAACTTTCTCTTTAAGCAGCAAACAATAACAACTAGAACCATGAGACCAGCAACTGCACCTGCTGAAGATGATAAAAGAAAGGAAATGACAAATTTATGCAGTGAATATATCAACTAGCATTCCAGGGTTTTTTTTTCCTGAGAAAGTCTGGCAGGCAAAAACTTCGAAAGAATGACCGTTGTTCTCATGTTTTTAACTGATTAAATTTGAGAGATGTGCTATAAAACCTCCACAATCAATAAAAATGTACGCATTAACCAAAAACATGCAAGTGAGAGAGATCAACTTTTAACCAAGGGACTGTATGGAGTCAAATTATGAAACAGTTACAGAACAGTTTATACCAGGGGTTGCTAAATTTGATCAAGGTTATCTTTTACAGAGCATTCAATTTACTTCCCCAATGAGTTTAAGCACATAGTGCAAAACGTGGGAAAGGAGGCATCAATGAAAGTGGATTTACGTCACTGCCAGTGTTAAATTTAATACACACTTGAAGAATTTAGAAATATCTAGAAAAAAGTGGAAAATTCTAGAAAAGTCCTAATAAAAATCTTGTAATAAGGTAATATTATATTGTAAAGTAGTGGCTATGAGAAGAAACCAAGTCCACCGACTTTGACAATGGCGGCAGCCTTAGTGTATAAATAGGTGTTGTCTCTTGTACAAGTGAGCTAAGAGAGAGAAGAGGCCAATAAGCCTAGCAAACAGTTTCTAGTTGTTGAAGGCCAATAAGCCTTGTACCCATCTATTGTTGAATAAATAAAATCACTCTTTTGTTCTCTAAAAACCCAACAGCCAGAATGGTAATATTCAAAGCTTGTTTATTTCATGTAATGCTTAGAAAAGTAATCCTCTGTTGAGAGGCACTTGGGAGTGATTTGATTTCCTTTCTGGGTTATAACAGTTGTCCTAGATGAGATCAATTATATATTTAACTTCAGAGATATCAATCTTACCTAGTCCTAGCTTCAATCCCAATTTATCTCCTGCAACATAAATTGCAAAATGAAAATTTTGTTAGCTGAAGCAAAGAAGATTGAAGTGGCATATATATAATTGGCATTCAACAAAAACAAGATAGTGCATAACGATCATTTAGAAACTCATATGTACTGGCGTGTGTGTGTGTGTGTTTGTACCGAATACAAAGTATTTTCAACAGACTGTTTCCTTGGAAGAAAGGAAATGGATAAATAACGAAGGATCATGTAAATGTGGCAAGCATCTAATTTGATGTACATCTATTCCGATGTATATACCTTTTTCTGAACATTTAAATTTTCCCTTGTCATCAAGGCGGCATTCTCCTTTTCTATCAAAACATCGTTCACATTCTTTGCTTACTTGCAGTTGAAGGTAGAACTCAGTACCCAATGAAGGGAGACTTGGGGGAGGTTGAATGGTTGAACACGATGGTGGGAGACTCTGTAAACTATCATTAGACCAAGTAGTATAGTAAGTAGTACCATTTGTACAGATGTACTCAAAATCTTTTTGGGGGAAGGTTGGTGTGGTTTTGTTGCATTTGACGAGGGTCAGAATCTTTGCGAATAATTCAAAGACTGGAGAAGGGCTGGGAAGACTCAAATCGTTGAAAAATTGATCATTGCAGGAATCTGTTTTCAAGCGCTGCTGAAGCTCTATGTCATCTATTATAATCGTATTTGTTGGAGAGATGCTCTCTAATTCATGCCAGTATCCTTTATCTTTCAGTTGGATCCTCGGACGAGTCTGATCAGAGCAATTAACTGTGAACAAACCGCATTCAGGAGGTTGTGTCGGATTTTTGAAGGGGAACTGGAGTTTGCTTAGTTGATCATTACAGTGGAAGGGAGGACAGGGTTTGTAGAATTTCTCTTCTTCGGTTGAGTGAAGAACCACGAGATGAGTGAGAAGAGAGAAAATAAACAAAGCCACGGGAGCCATCGAGAAATTCCCAGCTGAACTGAAGAGCCAGAACTGAAGCACCACGGAAAAGAAAAACAAAAGGATCTACTTCTCAAGTTCAGAACAAGACTGCTGAATTGTTTACTTCCATTCTTGCTTCACAATATATTAAGTTCATTCTGTGTTTAACACGCTAGTTGACTTGGAAATTGGAAGGGGAAGACTCGTACAACTAGGTTGAAACAAGTGCTTGATAAACACACTGTTGATTGGTTGGCTTAAAGACGAGACTCCCATGAGGGAGTTTCCTTCTCATCTTCCCCATTGACCAGCACTCGAAAGAAAGACTTGACCCCTTGACTTTTCAGCCCATGATGATAACATTCAAAATTGAAATCATGGTCTTAAAAAAGAGATCACCTTGCAACTCCTTTGAACCACACATTACGGCAGCAAAGATAACTTCTCCTGACTCGTGAACCAGGTTTCGCCCTTCTTTCGGGTGTACTTACATAATTGTGTGAACACTGGACAGTCCGAACAGTTTCACATCCATGAAAAGCATCTTAGTTGAAACGTTGACTGCAAAGAATGCTACTATGATATTGAATTACAGAATATTATTTGGTCGTAAAGGCATCCCATATATGATATACCATGTTGAAGTTTTGACATACTAGAAGTTTTCTTGTAGAAGAAGTATATGAAGAAATGCAGCAGAGAAAAGAGAGACATTGAGAGAGAGAGAGAGAGAGAGAGAGAGAGAGAGAGAGAGAGAGATTGTTACTCAGCTCCAAATGATTAGAATGCCACGCACTCTTACACACATTTCATTCTAACAGAAACATTCCTTTTGTACAGCAAAGAATATGATCTCAACCATACAATTTTGTGTCAACAATATGAGCTGCACACTTGGCATGAGCTAGGACCTATGAGACCTACACTCTAGGATTAAATCTAAGCCTTACACCTGTCTAGCTAAGGACTTAAACCAGTAAATAATTTACATTTCAACACAGTGTGTGTGTTTGTAAGGCTAGCAATGGGTCGTGTCGTGTCGGGATAATAAACGTGTCAAGAATGCTCAACCCAAACCCAACCCATTTAATAAATGTGTTGTGTCGGGTTCGGGTCGTCTTTTATCGTGCGGGTTTCGAGTCGTGTAACGGGTTCATAAATAATAACATGCATGTTACGAAACTCACAATTGAAAAAAATTTAATTAAAAAAAACAGAGACAGTAGAGAAAATATAAGGAAAAGAAAGAAAAAAAAAGATAAAGAGAGAAGAGAAGAGAGAAGGAAAAGAAAGAAAAAAAGAGAGAGAGAGAGAGAGAGAGAGAGAGAGAGAGAGAGAGAGAGAGAGAGAAGATTGAAGGAAAGAAAGAAAGAAAAAAGAGAGATGAGAGAAAACTAAAGAGAAGGAAAAGAAAGAAGAAAAAAAAAGGAGAGAAAAGAGGAAAGGAAAAGAGAGAAAAAAAAAAAGAGAGAGGAGAAAGAAGGAAAAGAAAGAAAAAAAAAGTGGAGAAGAGAGATGGAAAAGAAAGGAAAACACAAAAGAAAAAGAAACATTATAAATATTAAAGACATGTTGAAATCACAAAGTTGTTTGTAGCATGGTGGATAAGGTATTTGAGAGAAATGAGGGTGGTAGGGGTTTGAAACCCCTTGTGTGTGTGCTGAAGTCTCCATTTCTCTTCATTTTTTAGCGGGTTGACAGGTATTATAGCGGATTGACACGACCCGTTTAATAAACGGGTTAGGTAGGTATTATAGCGGGTTAGCGGGTTGACCCGAAACCCACCTGTTTATTAAACGGGTCAAAACGGGTTGACCCGAAATTGACCTGTTTTTTTATCGTGCGGGTTTCGAGTCGTGTATCGGGTTGTGTCCGAAATTGCCACCCACAGTGTTTGTATCGAATACAAAGTATTTTCAACACCCTTGGAAGAAAGGAAATGGATAAATAACTAAGAGTCATGTAAATGTGGCAAGCATCTAATTTGATGTACATCTATTCCGATGTATATACCTTTTTCTCCAACGGAACATTTAAATTTTCCCATGTCATCAACGAGGCATTCGCCTTTTCTATCATAACATCGATTACATGCTTCGCTTACTTGCAGTTGAACGTAGAACATAGTAGACAATGCAGATAAAATGTCGGGAGGTTGATTTGTATCTCTGGGGATCCGAATGATTGAACACAATGGTGGGAGAATTGGTAAACTATCATCAGACGAAATACCATAGTAAGTATGGCTATCATTTTTGCAGTGGTACTTAAGATCTTTGTGGAGTGGGGTGTTGCATTTGAAGAGGGTCAGATTGTGTGTGAATAATTCATCAAAGATTGGAGAAGGTCTGGGAAGACTCCAATCTTCGAAAACTTGATCATTGCAGGGATCTCTTTCCAAGCACTGCTGAAGATCTGTGTCTTTAATATAAATCGTATTTGGTAGAGTCCAGCTCACAAATTCATGCCAGTATCCTTCCTCTTTCAGTTGGATCTTCAGATGATTGTGATTAGAACATTCAACTGTGAACAACCCGCCGCATTCAGGAGGATGTGTCTTATTTTTTAAGGGGAACTGGATATGGCCTACTTTTTCATTACAGAGGATGGAAGGACAGCATTTGTTGTAGAGTTCCCCTTCTTCGATAGAGTGAAGAACCACGAGATGAGTGAGAAGAGAGAAAACAACAGACAATGGGGGAGTCAGGAAGGGTGCCTTCATATTTGAATAAGAGCGTTAAAGCACTAATCGCTTAATAAGTTAATTCGACACTAACTACTCATTTTGGCCCACTTCATAGTATCATTTGACCTAAATTAATAATATATACATTCGTTACAATCATAATTGTAATAAATTTTTTATTTATTTTTAGAAAAATGAATTTCATATTTTAAATTCATCTACACTACTTAAAAATTTATATTCCAACATAAAGAAGAATAAAAAAAGTTCATAAATCCCAACACTAAGGTACCCAACTCAATGCACTCATACATGAAAAAAGGACGGAAATAAAAAATTCACAAAGCTTAAGTTAAACAAAAGATAAAAAGAAAGAAACGTTATAAATTTAGGAGTTTTTAGTGTAAATATCATAAACTAACCTTAAAATTTTAAGGGTGATAAGTAGATGAGAGATCAAGAAGTTTTATGGTTAATTTGTAGACAATAAAAACCTAATATATTGTTTATTTTAGGATAAATATCCTAAAACTAGTTTAATATATTACAATATTACATATCATATATAGTATATATATAATTGGAAAAAATGGAGTGGGGACTGGGACTATTGCATTTCCAATAAATTACTCGGCAACGGATACAACCTCATTTTCATACATGCACACCGATACAAGTTCACAACCCCAACAAAAATAAACCAAACGCACTACAGTTTACACTTACAGGAGATTCGATATTGTGCAAGACTAGGAAATTTACAAGACGCTCTTTTATTTGTTTACTTTTGTTTTTCGTGAAAAGACTTTTGCATTCAACGCGCTTTGCAAAAGACATTTTACTCCGCGTTTGATTTATGAATACCAAATTATTCTAAGAAATAATTTCCCCACAATATCTACAAAAAGAAACAGACGAGTTTTCTTATCAAATTCTACCCCTCCCTGCTATAGAAGTCTCTTCAAATCTATATTTTTTGTTTTTTGTTTTATGGTATACAATCTTCACATCATCTAAGATAAAGGCTTGCACTCATTTATTTTGATTGGGCTACTTGTCAGACTGTATTGGGCTTGGGACCGGTCCTTAAACTTGCTCATACTTGGCCCAATTATATTGTAGGCATTGCTCCTATCCTATGAGCAAGACTAATAAAATAGTCCACATGTTGGATCCACACCTGACGAAAGTTCATAATCATACAGTTCTCTGCAGTCTTGTTCATTATTCAGAAACATGTAAGTGTTCATGTAAAATACAGGGCACGGTCTATTCTATTGATACCAATGTAACAGTAGAAGAATCTGCTACCGGTTTTGGTGGGGACGACAAGTAAGGCTTGGGTGGTATCTGCAAGCAATCAACGCTGCCTTCCAACATATCTATCACTTGTTTCATCGCTGGCCTGTTTGAAGGGTCTGTTTGTATGCACCACAAGCTCACTATTATCATCTTCCTTGCTCTTACTTTGTCTTCCTCCTCCATTATGCTCGGCAGACCAAGTTCTTCATCAAGTTCCAGACGCTTGTAAATCCAGTGTGGAAAATATATTTCACTTGTATCTTCAGCTTCGGCATTGATGTTCCTTCTTCCTCCAACCATCTCCGAAAGCATCATCCCGTAGCTATATACATCTGACTTGTGTGAGACCGCTCCAAAATTCCTACAGAGTACTTCTGGAGCAATGTAGCCAGCAGTGCCTCTTGCACACGCCATTGACACAATGCTCTCTTTCATGTTGCATATCTTAGCAAGGCCAAAATCAGAGACTTTTGGTGTGAAATTTTCATCAAGAAGAATGTTATGAGGCTTGATGTCAAAATGCAGAATTCTTGTGTTGCAACCGCGATGTAAATACTCCAACCCTCGAGCAATGCCAAGTGCAATTCGATCCAATGCTTCCCATCCCAAGTGTTGGTTTTTGTTCGGGGTATTTGCATCAAATATGAACTTGTCAAGTGATCCATTAGGCATGAATTCATAGATGAGTGCTCTTTTTGAACCCTCAAAACAAAAGCCCAACAAGGAGACAATGTTGACATGGGAAGTTCTGCTAATGGCTGCCACCTCATTCATAAATTCTTCTCCATTACCTTTTAATTTGCTCAAGACCTTCACAGCTATAAGACTGCCGTCATTTGATTTTCCCTTGTATACACTACCGTAGCCCCCTTGTCCTAATTTTTCTTTGAAGGAATTGGTCATTTTCTTGACCTCCAAATAGCTATATCTTCTAACTTGAAGTGGCCCATAGCCCCTTAGAAAGGCCTCAACAATTTGACGATCTTGGCCTTGATTCTTCCAGAAGAAAATAAAGCTATCATATGCTAACTTTCTCTTTAAGCAGCAAACAATAACAACTAGAACCATGAGACCAGCAACTGCACCTGCTGAAGATGATAAAAGAAAGGAAATGACAAATTTATGCAGTGAATATATCAACTAGCATTCCAGGGTTTTTTTTTTTCCTGAGAAAGTCTGGCAGGCAAAAACTTCGAAAGAATCACCGTTGTTCTCATGTTTTTAACTGTTTAAATTTGAGAGATGTGCTATAAAACCTCCACAATCAATAAAAATGTACGCATTAACCAAAAACATGCAAGTGAGAGAGATCAACTTTTAACCAAGGGACTGTATGGAGTCAAATTATGAAACAGTTACAGAACAGTTTATACCAGGGGTTGCTAAATTTGATCAAGGTTATCTTTTACAGAGCATTCAATTTACTTCCCCAATGAGTTTAAGCACATAGTTCAAAACGTGGGAAAGGAGGCATCAATGAAAGTGGATTTACGTCACTGCCAGTGTTAAATTTAATACACACTTGAAGAATTTAGAAATATCTAGAAAAAAGTGAAAAATTCTAGAAAAGTCCTAATAAAAATCTTGTAATAAGGTAATATTATATTGTAAAGTAGTGGCTATGAGAAGAAACCAAGTCCACCGACTTGGACAATGGCGGCAGCCTTAGTGTATAAATAGGTGTTGTCTCTTGTACAAGTGAGCTAAGAGAGAGAAGAGGCCAATAAGCCTAGCAAACAGTTTCTAGTTGTTGAAGGCCAATAAGCCTTGTACCCATCTATTGTTGAATAAATAAAATCACTATTTTGTTCTCTAAAAACCCAACAGCCAGAATGGTAATATTCAAAGCTTGTTTATTTCATGTAATGCTTAGAAAAGTAATCCTCTGTTGAGAGGCACTTGGGACTGATTTGATTTCCTTTCTGGGTTATAACAGTTGTCCTAGATGAGATCAATTATATATTTAACTTCAGAGATATCAATCTTACCTAGTCCTAGCTTCAATCCCAATTTATCTCCTGCAACATAAATTGCAAAATGAAAATTTTGTTAGCTGAAGCAAAGAAGATTGAAGTGGCATATATATAATTGGCATTCAACAAAAACAAGATAGTGCATAACGATCATTTAAAAAACTCATATGTACTTGCGTGTGTGTGTGTGTTTGTACCGAATACAAAGTATTTTCAACACTCTTTCCTTTTTTTGGGAGTTGTATCCTTGGAAGAAAGGAAATGGATAAATAACGAAGGACATCTAATTTGATGTACATCTATTCCGATGTATATACCTTTTTCTCCACCGGAACATTTAAATTTTCCCTTGTCATCTTGGCATTCGCCTTTTCTTTCATAACATCCTTTACATTCTTCGCTTACTTGAAATTGAAGGTCAAACCTAGTAATCAATGCAGAGAGATCGAAGGCAGCTTTAGGATCCATGGGCACCCGAATGATGGAACACGATGGTGGGAGACTTGGTAAACTATCATCAGGCGACGTAGTATAGTAAGTATGGTTAGGATTTCTGCAGCCGTATTTAAGATCTGTATTGTGGACTGGGGTGTTGTTGCATTTGAAGAGGGTCAGATTTCGTGGGAATAATTCATCAAAGATTGGAGAAGGGCGGGGAAGACTCAAATCGTTGAAAAGTTGATCATTGCAGGAATCGTTTTTCAAGCGCTGCTGAAGCGCTTCGTCATCGATAATAATCATATCTGATTGGGGCACGATGTGAAATTCATGCCAGTATCCTTCCTTTATCAGTTGGATCCTCGGATGATCTTTATCAGAACAATTAACTGTGAACAAACCGCATTCAGGAGGCTGCATCTGACTTTTGAAGGGGAACCCGATATCGCCTGCCATTGCATGACAGTAGTAGGGAGGACAACGTTTGTTGATTTTCACTTCTTCGGTAGAGTGAAGAACCACGAGATGAATGAGAAGAGAGAAAATAAACAAAGCCACGGGAGCCATCGAGAAATTCCCAGCTGAACTGAAGAGCCAGAACTAAAGCACCACGGAAAAAGAAAAACAAAAGGATCTACTTCTCAAGTTCAGAACAAGACTGCTGAATTGTTTACTTCCATTCTTGCTTCACAATATATTAAGTTCATTCTGTGTTTAACACGCTAGTTGACTTGGAAATTGGAAGGGGAAGACTCGTACAACTAGGTTGAAAAGGTGGGGCTACTTCCAATTGTAAAATGTTTTCTTTGAAATTGTATGCTTGATATCGTTTGTATGGATAATAATAATATTAATATAAAAAAATAAAGCCTTGCATTCATTATATATTGATGACTTATTATCACAAAACGTCAAGGTTTATGAAATTGCATCATATTTTTTATTTTTTTTTTTTTTTTTTTTTTTTTTTTTTTTTTGTGTGTCCTCAAGGTTAGTATGCATGATCACAAATGGTCCCTGCTGTTAGGTTCCGTCAAAAACTCTATTAGTTTGCTGACGTGGCATATATGTATATTACAAAACATCATTGAGATTCACACACCTATCACAAATGGTACTTACGAAATTTTTTAATTTTTTAAATTTAAAATTCTTAAATTTTTTGTTTTCTTTTTAAAATTTTATGAATTATAATTATTTTAAAATATATATTAAAATTTAAATACATGTGACACTATATTATTGTAATTGTGGGCTCCATATATATGCCACATCAACAAACTAATGAAGTTTTTTTAAAATAATTTAAAATTCATAAAATTTAAAAATGAAAAAAACTAAAGGTTTAGAGTTCATAAATGGTCCTTAAGATTAAAATCCTTTTATAAATGGGTTTTTCATTTATAAATAATTTTAAAAAGAAAACCAAAATTTTATGAATTTTAAATTTGAAAATAAAAAAAAATTCGTAGGGACCATTTGTGATAAGTGTGTAAATCTCAGGGATGTTTTGTAATATATATGTATGCCACGTCAACAAACTAACAGAGTTTTTGACAGAACCTAATGATAGAGACCATTTATGATTGCACATACTAACCTTGAGGATCATAAGTGACAAAAAAAAACATTAAGAATGCAATCTAATAGTTTCGTAAACCTTATGGACGTTTTGTGATAATAAGCCTATATTAATTGGGCTATTTTAGACATGCATTGGGCTTGTGACTGGACCTTAAACTTTGAATTGAGGCTGACTCAGCTGGCTCATACTTTGATACAAAGATCAGCATTTGCTACAGTCCAATTTTCTCTCCCACCACTCCAGCCAGCCGTCCTTAGCACAACTGTTGTCCTTCCCCTTACCCCCTATTCATAACCATTTGGATCTAGTTATTGTTCCATGATTCCAAGCTGTAACTGTAGCCTGCACCCATAACAAAAACAACCAAAGAAGTTGTTGAAGATGATTTTGTTAAAAGAAAGTACATGTTTTGACCGATTTATCCAACTGGGTCTGGCATGATTTTCATAAGAGATGTGTTAAATCTATGAACCCTCTTTGTGGGCAAGTCAATTTGTGACAGTATTGAGAGATTTATAATTGGTGGTTGTGGGTGTGATGGTCGGGGTGGTGACTGTTGAGTTTTCACGAGGAAGAGGGAGAGGAAGAGGAAGAGAGGGGCGAGGGCGAGTTGGGTTGGGTTGGGGATCGGGTGATTGAAGAATTTGTTTATTGTTTATTTAAACATAGAAGATGGAGAGAGGGGGGGACGGACGGTGCAGTGGCCGTAGTGGTGGGTTTGGTCTGGGTGCGTGAGACAGAGAGGAGAGATAGAGTTATTGAAGAATTTGTTTATTTTTTATTTTAAACAAACAATAAAAATAAAGCAAATATGGAAATACATTTAATGTTATTTTGGTAATTAAAAATAGGGAGTTTCACTAAAACACCCAAAATGGGGGCTGAAATTATAAAAAAACCCAACACCCAAAACACTTTATAAACACACCCAAAACCCATCATTACACATACTCAAAACCCATTTATAAACACACCCAAAAAATATACAATTGTTGATTTTGGGTGTGTTTCTATGTTTAAATAATACTTGGGTTTTTTTATAAATACATGTCTAGAATTGAGTGGCATTTTAAACCGAAAAAACCGCAAAAATCAACCGGCATTTTACTGCAATAGAACCGCAATCAAGAGAAACCGAACCGCATTTGTGGTTGCGGTGTTTGATTTTCACAACTTGCGATTACCGCAAACCGAAAGACTGCATTAAGTCAAATTATATAACAGTTACAGAGCAGTTTATACTAGCGGTTGCTTAAAATAGAGTTAAATTTGACCAAGGGTATCTTTTAGAGAGCATTCAATTTACTCCCCCACCGTGTTTAACTTGGGAAAGGAGGCATTAATGAACGGTGTACACTGCAAGAAATATGGTAATATTCAAAGCTTGTTTATTTCATGTATCCTTAGAAAAGTAATCCTCTGTTGAGAGGCACTTGGGACTGATTTGATTTATTTTCTGGGTTATAATAGTTGTCCTAGATGATCATCCATATGAATTAGATATTTAACTTCAGAGACATCAATCTTACCTAGTCCTAGCTTCAATCCCAATTTATCTCCCGCAACATAAATTGCAAAATGAAAATTTTGTTAGCTGAAGCAAAGAAGATTGAAGTGGCATATATATAATTGGCATTCAACAAAAACAAGATAGTGCATAACGATCATTTAAAAACTCATATCTACTTGCGTGCGTGTGTGTGTTTGTACCGACTACAAAGTATTTTCAATTGACTGTTTCCTTTTTTTGGGAGTTGTATCCTTGGAAGAAAGGAAATGGATAAATAACGAAGGATCATGTAAATGTGGCAAGCATCTAATTTGATGTACATCTATTCCGATGTATATACCTTTTTTTCCAACGGAACATTTAAGTTCTTCCTTGTCATCAAGGCGGCACTCGCCTTTTCCATCATAACATCGATAACATGCTTCGCTTACTTTCAGGTGAAGGGAGAACTTAGTACCCAATGAAGGGAGACTTGGGGGAGGAGGTTGATTTGTATCTAATGGGATCTGAATGATTGGACACGATGGTGGGTGACTTACTAAACTATCATCAGACGAACTATTATCGTACGTAGTAAGTATGCTTATCATTTTTGCAGTGGCTTTTAAGAACTGTATTGGGGAGGTGGGTATTGTTGCATTTGAAGAGGGTCAGGTTGTATGCGAATATTTCATCAAAGATTGGAGAAGGGCTGGGAAGACTCAAATCGTCGAAAATTTGATCATCGCAGGAATTGCGTTCCAAGCGCTGCTGGAGCTCTCTGTCATTGATAAAAATCGTATTTGTTCGAGAGAGGCTCTCAAGTTCATGCCAGTATCCTTTCTCTTTCAGTTGGATCCTCGGATTATCTTGATGAGAACAATCAACTGTGAACAACCCGCCGCATTCAGGAGGATGCGTCTGACTTTTGAAGGGGAACTGGATCATACCTACGTTTTCATTACAGTATTCGGGATGACAGTGTTTGTTGATTTTCAACTCTTCAGTAGAGTGAACCACCACGAGATGAGTGAGAAGAGAGAAAATAAACAGAGCATCACCACCACCACCCATTCTGTGTTAACAACAATAGCAACTTGGATACCGTTCTTCCTTCACCATATATTTCATCAAGACTTGTAGTAAACACGCCAGTTGACTTGGAAATTCCGCATTCATGTCTTCAACTTGATTCGGAAAATTGGATATACAACAAGAATCTCATTTATTATTTGTTTACTTTTCTTTCAGTAAAGACTAATGCATTTCCAATAAATTACTCGGCGTTTGGTTACTAGCAGAGAATTGACAGCATTTGCATACATGCAGACACCGATACAACCCAACAAAAAGAAACCAAACGCACTAAAGTTGACAGGAGATTCTATATGCAAGACTCGGAAATTTACAAGACGCTTCTTTTATTTGTTTACTTTTGAAAAAAAGACATTCAACGCGATTTGAAATATTATTGCCCCCCCTCATTACTTCTAACGACGTAATAAAAGAGGAACTAAATCTTCAGAGAATACAGACCAAAAAAAAAAAAAAAAAAAAAAAAAAAAAAAAAAAAAAGAGAAATCACATCATTTTTTAATTTTTTTATTTATGAACCGGGGGTGTAAAACCCCAAGGACACACAGCAACTACTCACTACAGGAATTCACATCATTTTCACACATGCACCGATACAACCTAAAACCAAACGAGGTTACCTTGCTCAGTTCCCAAAACTCATTTCATATTATTTATCAAATTTACATATAAATTTCATGCGTCATTCAAGTAAGATTCAAACAATATTGCTTGGGCCTACGAAAATGGATTACAAAAAAATGGGAATGAAGGGTTAAAAGAATGGTGGCGAAACAATATCAAACAAGTTACGCTACTTTGACTCCGCTAGGGCGTTTTCCTTCCATGGCGTCCTTCTTGTTACAACAATCAGAACAAAGGAAAGGCCCTTGCCAAGGCTTTGAACTGGTGGAGAAGATAGAGCCAGCATGAACAGATATGCCCTCACTCGGTGCAAGGTCAACTTGGCATACAGCACACATAAACAGCCCAGATGTTGTTGATTGTGCTGTGCACTCATCACTGCCCAGCCTGCAACACATTTTATATGATCAATAATCTCTATTTCAAAGGTAACCAAAGCCATGATAAGAAGTTCCACTTTGATCTGCTATACAAGTTTAATAAAACGTCATAAAATGTGAAATGACAATACTTAAATCAGTGGCATTGTCAATTAGTAGACAACTATAGTATGAAATTCTTCTAGACAATCTGAACGCGAATCAACTAAACTGAATTAAGGGAAAAAGCAACTAACCTTTCAGCCAGCATGGCAGACCCTTCTTCGAATAATTCCTCCACAATACCCACAGCTGATAGCTTCTTGGATAGTTTATTAGCAGAATCGCGTGACTTCTTCCTGAAAAACAGCGTCCTCAGCTTGTTCTGCTTTTTGGGTGGAGTTGAAGGCTGTACTGAATGATCAGGAGGAATTATGTCAACCACAATGCAGGTTGTATCATCCTTTAGACCCCTTGACCTTAAGGCTTCCTACAGAACAATCCATCAAATGCAATAAGAAAAAGTTATTGCCAATGCATACTGCAAGAAAAAGGCACAGGTAGTTCAAACGACCTTCACAACTTGTCTTGCAGCAAGTTCAGCAGGCAACCCACGGCAAGATTGTGCTGCCATTTCGGAGGATAGAGCATCCCAGATGCCATCAGAAGCAATTATAAGCCTCCCACCAGCATTTGATAGCTTTTAAACCAATATAAGAATAATGTTAGCTTTCTTGCTAAAGAAGACTTGGCAGTCAATTGAATAAAACCAAGCTTAAAATTTAAGTTCCAAAAGGAGACAGATACCTTGACTTGTTTCACATATGGTATTGGAACTATAAACTCCCCAACGTCCATGTCTCCAATTGACCTAGAAAGGCATAAACCCCCTGGCCAACAACGAAGGGGACCAATCTGTAGATGTCAAACAACATATATTACACAATGAAAAATGAATAACAAAGTTTTAACAGAAAAAGTATCTCTTTCTGCCAGCAAAAACAATCTGTAAGGTCTAGATGCCCTCACCTCTGCACCGCCAATAATGCTCAACCTTCCAACTTCCCCACCACTTGCAGCAACACGCTCCCTCCTAAGATTACAAACCGAATACTCAATTAGTAAATCCAGAGAACAGTAACAAGAAAGGAGTTTTATTGAAACTTAGCAGAGACATACTCCTCTACATTCTCTTCAAGTCTATGATCAACAGTTAAGGTGGAAACAGCACCACCCTGAGTATCTAAGATACAACGGGAGTCTCCTACCGATGCCACTGTTACAGTCCATCCATCAACTATTACAAAGGTAGCTGTTGTACCAGAAGTTTCTCCTGCAGACAATATTAAGAGTGAAAATAATCAGGGCCTGTTTGAGTGCTTCAAGATATGAGAAAAAACTAAAGAGAAGAACAAAGGCTAAACAAGTAGCAAATTCCATGCCTCTACTCTGGAAATCCTTATCAGTCTTTACAAACCCAGCAACCAAGGCCCGAGGTAAAGCTTGGAGCCACTCCTCCCTTCCTAGCCCACGGGGAATAGCACCCAATACATGTTTTAACAAATTCTCCCTTGTATATACTGCTGCTGCATTTCCATTGTGCCCATCAAAGATCTGGCAATTGATAAAAAAGCAGTGACTATCATATTTGATTACCAATATATTGATGGCTAAACAAAACTGGTTTGAGCACACTGCTTCACCCCATAATCTATAAACAATAGTACAAATACAAGAAACTGTCCAAACATATCTCGTTTACCGTCTGAGTTGGAACAGATAAACCCAATACAGTTCGGAATGAAAACTTACAGTGAACAAGTCAGGAGGAAGCAAATGGCAGGGCTTAGAGCTGAGCATTGATATGTAACATTTAACACACCAAGTTTATACATATTGGGCATACCCCATGCACAACACTACAACAGAGCTCAGCTACAACAGAATCTAGTGGAAATATAAAAGAGACTAGATTACCGCAAATGCAGAAAATGCTGATGAAGAATTTCCAGGGACTCGCTGACCATCAGTCTTGATCAGAAAATAATCCTCCCCTTTCCTGGATTGAGCTGCATGCCCATATCTGACAGTAGGCTTCTCCATCTTCTCACTCTTCAGCTCTCTACTGATCAGTGCAGCCAGCGGCACCAGATTATGATGGTGACGCCTCCCTTCTCCAGACGCCATAACTACCTCGCCACTGTCTTTGCCAGAGGCCCAAGACCTTCAAACTATCAAACTTTTTGCCTCAAAAGCATACTAATGCTAAGCACCTAAATAATCCTACAAATTTTTATAATCAGTGGCCTCTCTGAGTATCACAAGTGCAATTAGCACAAACCCCCAATTATAACAAAGAAAAATCGAACACTTCGCCAGCAACTCACAGCTGATCTGCATTTATCATTGGCAAAACAAAGAACAAGGTTACACAATGTCCTCAAAACACCTATGCATCCATAACATTCAACAAATTGATTATATCAACAGGCATACCCTCTGTTAGTTACAAATATACGTAAGAAAAATACACAAGGGAATGCCTCATCTTGCATATTCCATTATTTGGCAACCAAAATTTTGAACACCAAACGCCAAACATAGAGATTCAACTTTCTATAAGATGCCACTGTTAAGCATGAATTCAGCTTACGCAGAAAAGAAAATTCCTAATTTTCGTGTTATTCTTCTTAGTTTTGCTGTGTCCTTTTCGTTTCTTCTCAGGAACCGAACAGAGAAGCAAAGATTCCAACAAACAAGGAAGAGACAATGTGCAATACCCGCGAGAATATCAGAGCGCAAAGCCAAACGCAGATCTGATTGCGACAGTAATAAGCAACAACAAAGAAAACAAAGAAGCAGAAGAAAGCACATAAAGAAATCAACACGAAGAAGTAACGCGTTTTGGTGACAAGGTATGAACTGTAAAACCCAATAATCAACGCCCAAATCCTTAATCTTTTAATTAAAAAAGCCTTTGAATTCCTCGAGTCAGCTTCTCGACTCTTTCCTCCACCAAGCACCCACAATTAAAAAAAAAAGGAAGAGAAAAGAAATCAGAGACCCAGAGAGTAGTCTGGGTAGAGAGCTTTAAAATCCAAAGCTTTCTTCTGGGTTAAAAAGAAATGGCAGCGAAAATCGGTGGCAAAAAGCTATCTTTTTAATCTAAACTGTAAAAAGGAAATACAGAAAAGTGGGTATGGCTGACTATAAAGCAATCCATCCATAAAATAAAACCCACATTCGGCTTCTGCAAAAAGTCGGTTTCTTTCTTCCTCTCCCAACCAATTTTTTCTCCAAAAGAAAAAGTTTTTTATTTTTTTTCCCGGGAAAAAGCTCACTACCGAGAGAGGGCGAGGGATATAAAGAAAGTTACAGCGGAATTATGTTTGTCGCGTTTGCTCGCTCTAGAGACGAGACAGAGCATCACAAAGTTGGTCGTTTACCTAACAGATCTTGCAGGAGAGTTTTACGGAATATTAATTGGATAATTTAATCCATCCCAAGAGTTTTTCTCCATGATTTTTTTATTTCTTAGTTTTGGCCTATTATGAGCAGAAAGTCGACAGGGATATAATATTACTAATTTAATAACACTAAGTGAGATTAGCACTCGTAATTTCTGTAAAAGCTTAATACAAAGTTTTATCTGGTAAAACCAGATTATAAAAAAATAAAAACTTTTAAACCTGAAATCGAAGAAAGCTCACGGGAGAGGGTTTCAGTTTCAGCTGGTGATGAAGCGAAGAGTAGAGACCAAGTGGCAATTGGTAACAACTTTCGGGATTATGATTTTTGTGGGAAAAAGCTGACGCGTGGCGCGGGGTTGTGCATGTGTTTCTGTGATGGCAATGATGTGGACAAGGTGCGCAGTGCGCACGTTGTATGTGGTTAGATGAGTGGGAGCCTTTGCGTTGCTTGCAGATGTCTGTCCTGTTACCTGTTAACCTGCAGGCTTTGCTTTGCCTTTTACCGAGGTCTTTTGGTGGTCTCCACACACCCCCCCAGTCAATGCTGATTGTGATCCAAAGGACCACCTCTTCTCTTCTCTTCTTTTCTCATCTCATTTCATCTCTTGTGTAGGTGTATAATGTAATTTTTGCTGGCCTAATGGTGGATTGTAGTGATTAAGTGATGATAATATAGATAAGGATGAAAGGAAAGACCTGCTGCATGGATATTTAATTAGTTGAATTGCCTTAATTCCTTGAGCATTGTTGTTTTTTCAGATTAACTATAGTTAATGTGGTGATTAGGTACAGCAACATGTGGTTGTGGAATAATTAAGTTGGCCATATGCTGCTGCAGGGTAGGGTTACAGTTGCAGGCTTGTAGCCCTCAGCCTCATGGGACTAATACAAAACCCCAAGTATAATATGATGGTATCCAATGTCCCATGATATAGGCTTCATGGTATGATGAATAATTTTTGGTTGCCTATTGCTACCAAGTAGCTATAGGCCTTGCTGTCAATTATTTCCTAAGATGATAAAAGCTAAGCTACGTGGGTTGGGTTGAAACTTGAAACCATGTGTGCAGCAAACTCCATGAGCTAAAACTCTCAGTTAACCATGCTTTTATGATTGTGTATGGAAATTAAACAATGTGCTACTTGTGGTGAGAATCCATATCAGTATCAGTCTGAAAGCGGCTGTGTCTGTGGCTGCAAATTGTGAATGATATTGCAAATACCATTTAATTCGGGTACATAATTAATGAATTGCAGATGGGGAAGTTGGAGAGATGGTCTCTGGTTGAGGTTTTAATGACAAGAACCACACGAGACAACCCGATGTGTATGTTAAGCGATGCATCATATGAAATCATATGACTACTTTCTCCCTCTCCAAAACCCATTTGAATTTATTTTTATTTTTATTTTTTGGGCTTAATAAAGGATTAGGTATTTCTGATTATCTGGAGTGGAATGGAGACAGAGCAGGGAGGGGGCATAATGGCACATTTCCCAACGTATATTTATAGGTTTCTTCAGCGACCTCTTACCGAACTGAGATTCCTAGAGAATTTTCCCAAGGCTGTAAGCCTGTAGGTGCCTTGGATCCATCATCACATTCACATACTGTGTTGTCCTTGCCTTGATGCGTTCAACTTTGAGGGCAAGGGATTTAGAGAATCGTTTTTTGTTTTTGGTTTGAGCAACTACTGAGCGCAAGTACAGGCTGGGAGAATGGGCCTATCTGGGCCCTACACGCAAGCCATTGCCATGCTTGCCCCCACCCCACATACGATGGTCGATGTTACAGAAAGCCACTGCATACCAAACTGGGTCCAGTAACCAAGATATACCATATCCAGCTGAAAATACCCCAGCAAGTGAACTGTTCTTGCGGGGCTTTATTTGTGTTGGGTGCGTGGGTACCATTTTGAGCCCACCAAAGCATAACCTACAAGTGAACAAGGTATACACATAGTTCCCAAGATAATATAGCCTCGTTTGGTGGGTTGGCTTTGATAATATTGAACTGGGATTCTAGCATTGGATAAGACCAAGAATTCTATAACGAGAGCTTTATATATGGCCTTTAAATGAAGGGAGCTTTACTAATATACTTAAAATATGGGCTGAAATTATAAAAAAACTTCACATGGAATACACTTTAGAAACACACCCAAAACTCATTTACTACATAAGAAATTAGTGTTTAAGTTCTTATAAATTACATGACTGCCATTGATCAACTTAAAAAAGAAGGCCAACACAAAAAACTTAAATAGCACCTAAAACAAGCCCAGTCCATTTTTATAAAAAAAGCCCAAACAATTCATTACAAACAAAAGGTCTTGAAAACCGTAGTTTCATTAACGTGTCATGTTAATTAATGATTGTAATGTTCTACACCTTTATTGTCATGTTGATTAATTATTGTAATGTTCCAGTTTAGAGTAATAACACCGCCCTGTCATGTTGATTAATAGCTAGTTTCCTATAACATCCTATTTCTAATGCATGTTTATCCCTGTAATATTCCAATGTAGGGTAATAACACTGCTAGTTTCCTATAACATCCTATTTCTAATACATGTTTACCCTTGTAATGTTCTAGTGTATGGTAATAACATTGCTAGTTTTTTATGATATCTTATTTCTAATGCATGTCTACCCATGTAATGTTTCAGTGTAGGGTAATAACATTGCTAGTTTACTGTCATGTTGATTAATGGTTATAATGTTCCAATTTAGAGTAATAACACTGATAGTTTATTGTCATGTTGATTAATGGTTGTAATGTTCCAGTTTAGGATAATAACAATACTAGTTTTATATGACATCCTATTTATAATGCATGTCTACTTATGTAATGTTCCAGTATAGGGTAATAACACTGCTAGTTTCCTATGACATTCTATTTCTAACGCATGTCTACTCCTATAATGTTCCAATCTAGAATAATAACACAGCTAGTTTCCTATGACATTCTATTTCTAATGCATATCTACCCATGTAATGTTCTAGTCTAGAGTAATAACACTGCTATTTCCTATTACATCTTATTTCTAATGCATGTTTACCCCTGTAATATTCCGGTCTAGGGTAATAACACTGCTAGTTTACTGTCATGTTGATTAATGCTTGTCATGTTGCTATTTCTAATACATGTCCACCAAATAAAAGATGAAGAAAGAACAAACTAGACCAACTCAAAACAAGTTGAGCCCAAATTGTTAATACTATTATGTCATAGAAGTATATTGTTAATACTTTGTCATAGAAGTACATTGTTAATACTCTATCACAGAAGTATATTGTTAAACAAAAATGAGATTCATAACTGAAATAGTAACAAAAGTTGAATCGATCATCAAAGCTTAAAATACATTTTGAAAATCAACTAAAATCCGAAGAGAAACACATAATTAAAGCAAAAGATAAAAAAATCTCAAGTACAAACTAGACGACGACGACGACGATGACGACGATAACAACAACGATGATGTGGCGAAAGAAAAGTAGAGTTAAGAGCATCTGATCGAGGTTTGTTCGAGGTCTTGAACAATCCGAAAAAAGAAAAAAATCAATAGAAGCACGATTTTAGAACAAGAAATCGAAGGTGAAATATTGAAAATTATAGATTAAATATGAAGAATATAGTTGGACCTGAGATTGAGTTTCAATGAAAGCTTCTCTTGCTCTAACACCAGAGAAAACACCAGCGAGAAAGGAGAAAATAAATCTGATTTGGTTTTTTGGCAGATTTGGTTTTTTTGGAAGATCTGGTTTTTTGGCAGATCTGGGCATATTTGGTTTTATGGCAGATCTTGTTTTTTGGCAAATATGATCAGATCTGATTTTCCTCTCTTAAATCCATAGTATAAGGACAATATAGGTATTTAACACACACAAATAAACTAAAAAACAACTATTAAATTAAAAAAAAAAATTACAACTGTCAATTTTTGGGTTTTTTGTGTGTGTTTATAGTTTTTAAATGGTGTAGGGTTTCTTTATAAAACTATGTCTAAGATTGGGTATATAACTAAATTTCTATTAAATGAAGTCATATCTCTTAACTGTTGGATCAAATTATTTAGCCTAATCCAGCAGTTAAGAGATAGGATCTCACCTAAGGCCATAGATAAGACCCTCACTATAGAATGACTATGAGTAAGACTGGCTAGAGTAAATTGGGGTTTGAATTTCGTCCCATGGATGCACAAAGCACTACTCAGGACGCTATTTCAATTTTATTGGGCTAATCCATGCCACCCCACCAAACGAGGTTTATATGACGCAGCGTGACAATATGATGACTAAAACTTTAGCCTAGAACATATAATTCTGGAATTCACCAAGAAGATACGAGGAAACCTCAAGGTTTATTTTTTAATTTGGAATAACAAAACATAATCCTGCCTACAGGTAAAATTTATTTAAATAGGAATAAAGAATGAATTAAAATAGGAAAATAACAAAGTTTCCAAAACTGTAAAAATTGGATTTCGACTGCCAAACGATCTCGAATGTTCGAAAAAACCCATACATTACTGCAATGTGATGAGTTTTACTCATGACGTCATTCTCTTTGAATCGACGGGTCATGGGCTCGATTATGAGTTTAGAGCCCAAATATGCAATTTACCCGATTTACCCTTGTGTGCGCATCTCCCCAACTCCTTTTCGATTACTTTCGCCATCTGTTCTACATCACTACAGGTGCTTAAGCACCAGAAACACCAGAAAATAGGGGTCTGTAAACGGAGATTGCCAAGGTGCTTGGGAGTTTGGTCTATGTTTAGTTTACTGCCAAGCCAACCATGGCCTGGTATGCTTTTTGTTCTTGGTCAAGTTGATGAAAATTTTCAATTTTTGCCGGTATTGATCTAAGACTACCTAACTTGGGGGCTTTGGACCCTGAAAAGAGAGAATAGTCTAAAGCTTTAGGTAGGCTGGCCCAAACTGAAGTACTTGCCTGATATATTAATATGTGGTTATCTTTTATTTGTAAAAAACGTCGTTCACAAAACAAGAAAAGTGTTGTAAATGCATGAGTTGGTGGATGACCACTATACCACTTAGTATTCCACCGTTGGATTTTATGTAACCTATGCACTAAGTATTTGTAATTAGTGTTTGTAACCTATAGGTATATTATAAATGATGGTATTCAATCTCCTAACTTGTAAGCCTATAAATATGTGGTTCTACCAAAGATTAAGGAAAGAATAAACATGGTGAAACTTTATCTTTAGCATATCACTTCTCTTTACATTTTCTCCCTCAAGTTTTATAACATGTTATCAGCACGATATTGCTTTTGGTATGTTTTCTTTCTTTGAATTTTCTTTCTTCTTATATGAGCTAGAGTCATCACATGGTATAGAGTTTCTTTGTACTCACCATCAGACTTCATCATGCTCGTTTAAGGAAAAAAAATTCTTATTCTTATTACACATGAATATAATGCCATTTTTTTAAATTTGTTTGTTTATTTAATTTTAAGTATGATCTTAATTATTATGATGAGTTTGTATTATACAAAAGATCAGGGCCCAAAGTTCCTCGATCCTCATCATATAATTAGATCAGAACCTAGAGTTCTTTTGATTCAATCAGAACCTGAAGTTCTTTTATTCCAAATAATTGAGGGCGTGAAGTTCTGCGAATTTAAAGAGCACATAAGGACATGAAACTCCTTGATTTTGTATTAATCAAAATCAGAATTCTATGAGGCTTACATATGTCAAGAACCCAAACCATAAGTTTCGAGTGCATATACATCGATTTGAGTATGAAGTTTAAAGCACAACTATTAATTCAAATTATTTAGATCTATGTATTCGAACCTGCAGTTTCAAATATATGTTGATATGAACTTGAAGTTCATAGTTTTTCATGGATCCTAATACTATATATGAATATGAAGTTCATTACTTATTTGTGCATATATGAACTTGAATTTGTTGGAAATCCAATTCTTAAACTTGTAGTTTTATCTACATATTGAATCCACATTAATATTGGATTATCTTGGAATTTCATAGTCTTTAATTTATTTATTTTATTCCTCGTTTATACCACTTTACTCATTTTATTTCATTTATATTGGGTTATTAGTTAATTTCGTTTTAAAATTGTAATGTCTTGAATTACCGCCCCAATAATAACAGCCAGATGCGTCTATTGAGAGAAATTTTTTTTTTTTTTTTTTTTTTGTGAGTAGAAGTTTATGATGTTATGAACCAGAAGTTCATGAGGTCTCAATATTACACAACTATTACAGTAGTTGAAGTTTATGATGTCATGAACCAAAAGTTCATGAGGCCCACAACTATTACAGTAGTTGAAGATTATGATGTCATGAACTAGAAGTTCATTAATCGGATAACTTTTATGTTGTGGCATGCCTATCTTAGCAATCCATGTTCTACAATGACACATAAGATTTTTATAAATTTGTAAGGACGTCGTTTAAAGACTCAAACTATTGTCTTGTCCAACAAATATCATTACACATAATGCTCACAAATAAAAACTGTCATAAGATCATCTCATTCAAAAATTGATTTTGAGCCCTATTTCCTTAAATAATTCAAAATGATATTTGTGAGCCTATACAACATTTAATTATGGATCACTTCACTAGTTTTATTGAATGTGCCTACTAAAATGGTCACATATTTGTCTCTTGTTAAGACGCTTATGAGCACAACTCCCACATTATCCAATCCAATCAATTTGACTTGATAATGATGATGAGTTTATTTTTCTACATTTTGAGACAATTTTCCCTCCGTTAGGGGGATAAATGACAGTTCCTGAAGAACGTCGTGAAATAGTGTTTAATCGATCTGCTTTTATCTCATCAAGATAATGCATATATAAAGTTATGAATATGCAAGCATGGATTGATATTAATGTATCACAATCCATTAACATGACAATAAGTGACTATGAGCATGAAAAAAATATAGGTTCTAAAAACTTAACTCCCTAGAAGTGGAGATTATTTGAAAAATTGAAGCCCTATAAAAAATAACGCTCTATATGAGGTTATGATCCACATATTCTAATTAATTCATCGTAAAAGAGATGTTTGTCCTATAAATGACAACATCAGCCCCTGAAGAGGCATGGGTACCCCAAAGCAATGAGATACTTATAAATTATGCATGCGCATGCACATGAGAATTGTGAGATCACGAATTGATGATACATTTGATTTATTAGTAGCTACTACAATCATCAATGGCTATGATTATATTAAATATCGCCTTACCAATATCGACAGGTTAAGTGATTAGCCAAAATGAAAATAGGCAATTCCATTTATCACTAAATATGAAGTGTGGGATATTGAACCTATAACTCAAACACCAAATTACAAATGTTAATTATGAAGGTTACGAATTGGTACTTGTGAAGTGAAATAAGATCACTAATATGACATAAGGTTTCCTGGTAGAGACATGGTTTTAGTCTTCCATCTCATCATAGATGCATCCACATTTCTATGTAAATACAGTTGTTATTTTAACGCGAAACTTATAGCATGTGTTATATGCATATTTATTAAGACTGTATGGTACATGCAGATCCTCAAAGCTCATGAAATATTTGAGATATATCACATGAAGCAACCCCTTGAAGGATATAAAGTACCATGATATTCTTGATTAAGAGTTAACATTAAGAGTTTGAGTATTTTGAATTCAAATTTGATATTATTGTAACATATTCTAACTATTAGATTAGTTGTTGATGCTACTAAAGAGTTCAATCATTTGAAAAATGAAAAACAGGTCGAATAGTGTGATAAACAATCATGTGTAAAGACAATGTTGCTTGTACTGCTCAAATTAGAGAATGGTTCATCAAGAGTGACAATTTCAAAAAAAAAGCCAAGAGATTGGAGTTAAACAAATTCGTTCACAAGATAATCTAGCGAACCTTTTTACCAAAGCTTTTTTTGAAGCCTAAATTCCAGAAGTTAATGAAAATCAGAGGGAGATATTAATCAGGAGGAGCATCCCAATTCTACTACATACAGGACATCTACATGTTGTACTCTTTTTCCCTTCGATTAGGTTTTTGTCATGCTGAGTTTTTCCTAACAAGGTTTTAACGAGGCAACATAAGAGTATTCAACACCATATCAATGATCCAAAAGAAAGTTTCACTTTTTTTCCCTTCGCTTCGGTTTTGTCTCACTGGGTTTTCCAAGCAAGGTTTTTAATGAGAGAACTATGTCATTATATGGTGGACATCCAAGGGGGAGTGTTGTAAATGCATGAGTTGGTGGATAACCACCATACCTCTTAGTTTTCCACCGTTGGATTTTATGTAACCTATGCACTAGGTATATTGTAAATGATGGTATTCAATCTCCTATCTTGTAAGCCTATAAATAGGTGGTTCTATCAAAGATTAAGGAAAGAATAAACATGGTGAAACTTTATCTTTAGCATATCACTTATCTCTACATTTTCTCCCCCTAATTTTATAACAAAAGGTTAGAAGTCTAAATTATGAATATTTACATCTATCATCCCCCTACATCAGCACATACAAAAACAAGCAACCAAAAAAAAAACCAAATGTTGCAGAAAGTGAGCAGCAGCCAGGACCTCTAAAATTCAAGTTAAATTGGAAAGAAAACAAAAAGTGAACAGAAAAAAGCTGAATGCTTTGGATATTACCATTACGCAGAAATTGAGTTTAAAAAGTAGGAAGATTTCAATTTGATGATGGTCGTCGAAATAGCAGAGAAGAGAGACCAAGGCCAAGCCCCCTTATTTGGTAATTACCACTTCCCTCTGAGAGAAACAAATTTATGAATTCCAGGTAATTTCCCATTTTCAAATCCAACTCCAAGCAACCCACCTGACACGTTCTTATTCATCGCTTAAACCCTTCAAACAAGCGCACACGGACGACATAGCTCAACTTTAAATTAATCTCAGTCTTATGGTCTCATGGTCTCGGCTTCCAACCCCAAACACACTCCTTAATCTATTCTTCCTCTATCAAATCAATGTAACTTAGTACCTATATATATACATATATTCTCATACATACATGAATTAATACATTGGGATTGGTCATGCAAATTACCTTTGATTTGAGTTTGAACCAGCTCTAAGAGACTAGACAGTGCTTTGACGATGGGGGGCGGGGCCGCTCAATCTTCTGACCGCCACACTGTACGAGATGGCATCTGCCACGCCGGTGCAGGCGCCGCCGCTGGTCAGCTTTTCCCTTCGCTTTTCAATTTCTAGGGTTCCGTTCCTTTGGGAACGCATTGGAAATCTGATGAATTTCTCGTTCTTGTCTGCGAATTGGTTATATTTTAAGCTTTGCAGGTGCTATGGCGGCAACGTTCGTGTGCCCTTTGGATGTCATCAAGACTAGGCTACAGGTCCATGGCATGCCTCCGGGACAAAGAGGTATACTTCACTATTCAGACTCTATGCTCTATTATTCCCTTGCACATATTATGTTGTATTTATCAGTGGTCAGAGGAAATGGGTGATTCTGGGTTTGCTGGCCTTAATTTATCTATAGAAAAGTTGGTGCAAGTAGCGATTTTTAACCATACTAGATTCACTAGCTAATGTATTGGAAGTATGCTGAACACATGTTTAGGTGGAAACTGGAAATGGAATCATAGTCAGATTAGAGTTTCAATTTTTGATCTGTAGATTATTCCCACAAATGAGAAAATATGCGTTGAGTAGTAGAAGTATGCCACACATGCCTTAGGCTCTATACTTGTAGTTCGTACTGCATACCGCGTATTGTTACTCTTATTGATATATGGATGTTCTTCTTTGTTATCCTTTTGGCCTATGCTCAGGTAGTATCATTATCACAAGCCTACAAAACATATTAAAAACTGAAGGTTTGAAGGGGATGTATCGTGGCCTTTCACCAACAATTCTAGCGCTACTTCCAAACTGGGCAGTGAGTATTACTTTTGTTGCCTATATATTGTGAAACAAGTCTTTGGGAACCCTTATATTGTGCAAACTTGAGTTCCAAAGGATATGGGTCCTTCTTTCAGATCACATGCACATTATAATCTAACATACTTTATAGAGTTCTGTTGGTGACATAAGTATTCTATTCATATGTAGGTGTACTTCACAGTTTATGAGCAACTCAAAGGCCTACTCCAGTCGCATGGTTGGTTTCCTAAATGTCGCTTACTTGAAAATTTGTGTCGGTCTTCTCATGATATCTTATGAAACACATAGTATTCCTTTATTCTTGGTTTAGTTATGAGCTATGGGGGATACTTAATAGTATTTGGTTAGTTGGTTTTAAACATTCACTATTGTCATGCTGCAGTTGATGGCAGCAGCGAACTTACAATTGGTGCAAATATGATAGCTGCTGCTGGTGCCGGGGCTGCCACAGCCATTACAACAAATCCATTGTGGGTTGTTAAGACCAGACTTCAAGTAAGTTTACTGTTCTTGTCTTTGTAATTCATTTAAAATGGGACTAGATATATTATATATTATATTCTTATGATTGTTATTTCATTGATTGTAATAATGACATCTGTGATTCTATCTCATTTTCTGCTTGACCACGTGCTTATTTCGTGGTTAAGTTTCCTCATAATTATATTAGAGTTGACAGTATTTAAGAATGCATATGCCCTTTCAAGCACAGGAGTTTGCTTTTGTTTGCAATAGCAAATGCTTCTTTGTGTTGCAGTCTCACAGAAGTACTAAAACTGGGGAATTTTTACTGAAAATGGATGGATTTCAGAGGATCAAAGTTATCCAATATCAGTGCTAAGACGGATGCATTGGCCAAGCTGGCATAGATTTTGTACTATAAAAGTATGGCTCCTGGGAAGTGGATATGAAGAGATATGAGTTCAATATGATATAACTTCTAACTTGTTAGAGGTTTCTGTTTTGAAGTAACATGTGCTTCTTTTTAAATTTGTTTCCTTTTTTGCCATAATTTGGTAGCTTATATCTTACGGTGATGTTATCTGTTCCTTTTTGAAATTGAATTGGAGATCCATCTAATTGTTAGAGATGGTCCTAGAGTGCTTATAGTTATAGGTTTTCAAGAAATGTGTGGGCATATAATATCCTTGGGGTTGATGCATAATCTAACTTGGGTAATGAATCTCTTCCACATAATTACATATCTTGAGCTTCTGGCTTAACTCAATGCTCATGGTTTTAGAAAATTTAAGAACTTCACATTTATTAATGTTTGAACTGCTGTCATTTTTTTTAAACATTCTTGATCATCTTTATGTAGACACAAGGAATGAGGCCTGGTGTGATTCCTTACAAAAGCATGAGATCTGCTTTCACAAGGATTGCAACTGAGGAAGGCATGCGAGGTCTATATAGGTCATTTTTCTTGTTTTCAATTATAGCATGTAGATATGACACTAGACTAGGAATTTCATATTTGACGCTTAAGTACTAATCACAATTCTCTTTCCGTTCCAAATTGGTATAAAGAAACCCTCTCAAGTTATAATAATTATGAAAGTGTGGTTTCCGTTCATGATACCTTTTTTGTTGTTTTTGTGGTTTCAAACAGTGGGATCTTGCCTTCTTTGGCTGGGATAAGTCATGTTGCAATTCAATTTCCTGCGTATGAAAAGATAAAATCTTTTATGGCAAAAAGGGGTAATGTGATATGTTTTCTTCTGTGCTGGATTGTTTTACTGGAATCTTCAGTATTTTCTTGTTACTGACTTTATCTGAACGCATGAAATTTAACTTTTCAGATAATACAACTGTTGATAAGTTAAACCCTGGTAATGTTGCCATTGCCTCATCGATATCCAAAGTAATTGCTTCAGTAATAACTTACCCTCACGAGGTATGCTCAGCTAGACTTCTTATTAAACACGTTGGAATTTGGACTGCTTACAACTTAAAAATTCTCATTCTTTCTTTCTCATGTTTTGTTATTGTTATCCTGTCTGCAGGTCGTGCGCTCCAGGCTGCAAGAGCAAGGCCAGGCCAGACATATTGAAGCCCAGTATGCAGGGGTTATTGATTGTACAAAGAAGGTGTTCCAAAAGGAAGGCCTTCGTGGATTTTATAATGGTTGTGCCACTAATTTATTAAGAACCACTCCTTCTGCTGTTATTACATTTACCAGTTACGAGATGATAGATAGGTTCTTGCGGAGGGTTGTACTTAAAGAAAAAGAGCATTCAAATGGCCGCCCTAAGCCTGATGGCCGTGCTGAATCTCGGCAGGGAAATGGAGGCAACGAGAGAGTGGTGAATAACTCTGATTTGCGGCAATCACAATCCCAAACAAATCAGAGGACACCGATTCCTCTTGCAAACAAAGAGCAGCTTGCAGCAAGACACTGAACGACGACTCTCTTTTTTGAACTTAATTTTGATTGTAAGAAATTTTTCTGTAATAATTAAATTAAATAACAAGATAGATGAATGTAAGCCCATTTGAAGAAGGGAAGAAAAAAAAGTTATTTGCCTTCTTTGTATTTTACTTTTCAAATGTACGCCATTGAATTAGCATTGAAGTAGTTCTTTCCATCCCTATGATTCGAAAGCAGAGAACTGTTACATTTATTTGGACGAGCAAAAGTTTTTTTTATTTCTTTCATGGATTTCATATTTTGTTATAACTAAGAGCATCTCCAGTAAAGTTGCTATACTTTGATTCTTAGCCATTTTGGTTAGAATGAGGGCATAATGCAGCTCCAGCATATGGTTCTCTATTTTGTAGAACTTCCTATTTGAGTTTGGTGCCTCTATACATTTGGAGAGGAGAAGAGAGAAATTGAGGGTTCTCCATTTCTTATTGTTCTCTCTACCTAGGCACGCAACCCTCTCTCACCTTACTTTTTGATTTTTTAATGAACTTTTAATTTAGAGAGGATGAGAGAAATAATATTAGAGATTAGCCAAAGTAGAGAACATTGTTGGAGGAAGTAGTTTGCTATAATGACTTTCTAGCTATTTTGACTAAAATTTGGAGACTCAGATTTGCAGAGAATGACCTCCAAAATGGGATTGCCAAGTCGGATTGCAAGATAAGAATTTTCAAAAGTTGTGCTTTTTCAAATGGCCAAGCTTGAGCTTTGGTGGTGTAATAAAGCATGCCTTATTATTCTTTGCCCTTTTTCCCCTCAAGGGCACAGCTTCTGCTTTACTTCAGTGATTTCCCACCAGCCACGGCCCTGGTCCATGCCACTTTAACTTTAACAATATACCTCAAAAAAGATTGATAATGGCGTGCATACAAAGTTGTGTTTTTCTTTGATTATCAAAATCACATATATCAAAAATATTTTTTAAGTGCATGATTAGAGAACACATGTTTTTCCCTTGAGACATGCTTTAATTGGATATAGCAACAAGAAGAGGGTACAAAAAAATTTGGACCAAAGTTCATGAGAGACCATCACATGACAATTACATACAAAAACCTCTAATATATTTTCCGATGACTAAAATTAGGATTTAATTAATTTACTCAGGAATGGTAACGAGCACAGGGCGCCAAGCCCTTCTCAGTAACAAGGACTTGTAACGGAAACCGGTCCAGCCCGGTCTAGGTGAACCCGGCCCAACTCCACCAACTGCTTTACCCGCCACCACCAAACCGAACTCTTGCCGCGTATCTATCTCACTCTTCCTTTTCTCGTTCAATTCAAAAGGCGGGGAAGACACAAAGAGGTCCTTGAGGCTGTGCCTCTGAACCGGAACCGGAGCCTTCTGCGGCAGACACTGAACCGGCGGATCTCGTCGGCGACTGCTGCTCCGGGTCAGGAGCATTAGCAAGGTGGGTTTGCGGCGGCGGAGCTGGATCAATGGGCTCGTTCTTGGGCTTCTGGTTGGGCTTTGGGCCACGCCGCACTGCGTCGCGAGCAGCTTGAACTTCTGTAGCGTCCCCATCTTTTGAGGTTTGTTGCTAACTGGCATGATCTCTATATATACATGCGGGGGAGTCTCTTGCTGTGGGTTTGTAGGGAATTTGAATTTAAATGGGTGAATGATTGCCGGGTAGAGACAATTGATTGCTTCTGAAATGGAAAAAAGGATATGTTGGGAAGTGGATGCATCTTTTTTATACACTACTTAGACTAATAGTGATTGCGTCTCTCTCTTTTTCACAATTTGAAAGGGAGGGTTTTGAGGGTTTTGGGAGGAAAAAGAGGGAGAGAGAGAGAGAGAGAGAGAGAAAGAGGTGCATTTTCCAAGTAAAATTCCAAATGTGCTAAATCCAAAATCTAAAATCTATGGGGTTCTGAAAAAGATGTACGTACACCTCATTCTTTGACTGAAGACAATTGAAAAGTCAGGTTTAGGCCATGACCATTGATGCCTGCCTATTTGTGGAATGGGGAATTTGTAAAGAAAAGATGCAAGACTTGATTGCCCACTGAGGTGAGCCAGCCTGCACTTCTTCTAGATTCCATTTTCTAGGTTGGAGTAGTATGTACCCAAGATTCTTGAGCAATTATGTTGTCATTACCTCACCATCACAATGTGATTAGCTTTTGACCTAAAAACCCTAACAAAAAAATTCCAATTTTAAAAGAGTTTATATAAATGTTTAGTGAAAGAGTAGCTTTAATCTAATATAATATAACAAAATCTAGAACCTTTTTATCGTTTCTTTCCGTTTTTCCGGGTAGAGGAGGTGCTCAACCATATCAGACAATCCAAAACTTGGTTAATAAAGAATATCAGAGGAAGCAGAGGCCAGAAGGAAATGGACAACGGTGGAAGATCTAAATGGGCATTCATGATCTGAAATATAATGTAAAATATGAAACATTAAACAACAGCATCTCCATCTAATATGTACAATCCCTCGAGCCTTTACCTAGCAGCACTGATATGCCAAACTGGATGTGTTTTTTCTATTACCAAACAAATCAAGGAGATGAGTACAAAATAACCTCAACCCACCTAATCAAATCTGAAACACATTCATGTTCTGTATTATGAAACTTAATAGAATGGGAAAATATATATCAGGCACTGGCATTAGGTGTAGTAGACCTAGTGCTGGGCCATTTTTGGGTCACTGAAATTGGTGAAGATAGTAGTCTCTTCTTCTTCAGCAACCCAATCTCATCACAATCTGGTGAAGGTGGTGGCAGTATATTCGTTTTCATCCCGGCATTATCAAATGCCGGCTTTAAATTATCTGCCAAATCGTTCCCGCTTTCAATTGTCTTCAAAGCCTCCAAAACCTCACACATGGTAGGCCTCATGTCGTTGTCCAGCTGCAAACATTGAAAAGCCAACTCTGCTACTGCAATTACCATCCTTCTAACTTCATCATCTGACTCAAATCCGAGACGTTGATCTACTAACTCATTGAATAAACCTTTCTGAATCTTGCTTACGGCTAAGTTAGCCAAATTAATCTCATGCCTATGCCTGCTTATATCAACTGCTGGCAGAGATGATATAAGCTCAATGAGAACAACCCCAAAACTATAAACATCACTTTTACTAGTTAGCTGGTAACACTGGTGGTACTCTGGGTCAACATAACCAGGGGTCCCTTGTGGAGCAGTTGAGACATGGGTGACATCCATGGGGAAAAGCCTGGAGAGCCCAAAATCTGCAACTTTTACACAAAAATTGTTATCAAGGAGAATGTTGGTAGTCTTCACATCACGATGTACAATTTCGGAAGCATGGAGGTAAGACAATGCGCTTGCGGTTTCTATAGCAATGCTCATACGAATAGGCCATGCCAGTGCGCCAGTGTCTGCTTGCTCGCCGTGGAGATGATCAGCAACAGTGCCATTGGGAATGTATTCGTACACAAGGAGGAGTTCACGGCTGCGGCGTGAAGTGCAGCCATATAGGGAGACTAAATTTTGGTGGCGCAGACGAGTGAGAATTTCAATTTCATTCATAAACTGTTCCACACGTTTGTAATTGTGCTCATATAAACGCTTGACTGCAACTTCCCGGCCATCTTTGAGTTTGCCTATATTAGATTGATTAAAGAAAGGCCTTTCAGTAAGGTGCTGCAGATGTACTCTGCAACTTCATTCCCTCTTTAACTGCCTAAAGTAACTGTTATATTTTTATTTTGTTTGTTTTTCAAAAACAAAAGCATAGATTTTTTGAACTCTTACCGTAGTACACGGTTCCAAAACCTCCATCTCCCAGTTCTTTTTCACCATCAAAATGATTAGTGGCTTCTTCAAGTTCAGTGTAGGTGAAGACTGGGACACCAAAGTAGGTGACGCCCCCTTCTATGTCTGAATTTGTGTGGGGCTGAGAAGAAATGTTCCTTGAGAGGAAGTTTGATGCAGCGCGTTTTTGTTTGTAATGCCATAGAAGAAACAAGCATACTGCAATAAGTACTGGACATCCAATACCTGAAGCAGGCAAGTGAGAGAGTTCAACTTTTAACCAAAGGACTGCATTGAGTCAAACTATAAAACAGTTACAGAGCAGTTTATACCAGAGGTTGCTTAAAAGAGAGTTAAATTTGATCAAGGGTATCTTTTACAGAGCATTCAATTTACTCCCCCACCGTGTTTAAGCACATAGTGCGAAACTTGGGAAAGGAGGCATTAATGAACGGTGTACACTTCAAGAAATATGGTAATATTCAAAGCTTGTTTATTTCATGTTATGCTTAGAAAAGTAATCCTCTGTTGAGAGGCACTTGGGACTGATTTGATTTCCTTTCTGGGTTATAATAGTTGTCCTAGATGAGATCAATTATATATTTAACTTCAGAGATATCAATCTTACCTAGTCCTAGCTTCAATCCCAATTTATCTCCTGCAACATAAATTGCAAAATGAAAATTTTGTTAGCTGAAGCAAAGAAGATTGAAGTGGCATATATATAGTTGGCATTCAACAAAAACAAGATAGTGCATAACGATCATTTAAAAACTCATATGTATTTGCGTGTGTGTGTGTGTTTGTACCGAATACAAAGTATTTTCAACAGACTCTTTCCTTTTTTTGGGAGTTGTATCCTTGGAAGAAAGGAAATGGACAAATAACGAAGGACATTTAATTTGATGTACATCTATTCCGATGTATATACCTTTTTCTCCAACGGAACATTGAAATTTTCCCTCGTCATCAGGGAGGCAAAGGGAAAATCTAGTAGTCAATGCAGAGAGATCGAAGGGAGGTGTAGATGGATCCGTGGGCATAAGAATGGGGGTACATGATGGTTGGAATGGGAGACTACTTAAATTATGATGAGGCCAAGTACTAGTATAGTAAGTAGTAGCATTTGTACAGATGTAGTTAAAATCTGTATTGGGGAGGGTTTGTGCGGTGTTGTCGCATTTTAAGAGGGTCAAATTGTGTGTGAAGAATTTCAAGACTGGAGAAGGGCTGGGAAGACTCAAATCGTTGAAAATTTGATCATTGCAGGAATCTGTTTTCAAGCGCTGCTGAAGCTCTTTGTCATCTATTATAATCGTATTTGTTGGAGAGATGCTCTCTAATTCATGCCAGTATCCTTTATCTTTCAGTTGGATCCTCGGACGAGCCTGATCAGAGCAATCAACTGTGAACAACCCGCCGCATTCATGAGGTTGTGTCGTATTTTTGAAGGGGAACTGGAGTTTGCTTAGTTGATCATTACAGTGGAAGGGAGGACAGAGTTTGTAGAATTTCTTTTCTTCGGTAGAGTGAAGAACCACGAGATGAGTGAGAAGAGAGAAAATAAACAAAGCCACGGGAGCCATCGAGAAATTCCCAGCTGAACTGAAGAGCCAGAACTAAAGCACCACGGAAAAGAAAAACAAAAGGATCTACTTCTCAAGTTCAGAACAAGACTGCTGAATTGTTTACTTCCATTCTTGCTTCACAATATATTAAGTTCATTCTGTGTTTAACACGCTAGTTGACTTGGAAATTGGAAGGGGAAGACTCGTACAACTAGGTTGAAACAAGTGCTTGATAAACACACTGTTGATTGGTTGGCTTAAAGACGAGACTCCCATGAGGGAGTTTCCTTCTCATCTTCCCCATTGACCAGCACTCGAAAGAAAGACTTGACCCCTTGACTTTTCAGCCCATGATGATAACATTCAAAATTGAAATCATGGTCTTAAAAAAGAGATCACCTTGCAACTCCTTTGAACCACACATTAAGGCAGCAAAGATAACTTCTCCTGACTCGTGAACCAGGTTTCGCCCTTCTTTCGGGTGTACTTACATAATTGTGTGAACACTGGACAGTCCGAACAGTTTCACATCCATGAAAAGCATCTTAGTTGAAACGTTGACTGCAAAGAATGCTACTATGATATTGAATTACAGAATATTATTTGGTCGTAAAGGCATCCCATATATGATATATCTGACCTAATAAATAAATAATATACCGAAAGGCATCATCGTTATATAATTTTGGTCATTATCATTTCCCTCCCGCAATTTAAGAAAGAATATGAGGAGTTGGCATTAGTAAAACGTAATTATGAACTGGGTCCTTTTCTCTGGCTGTCATTTTCTCTGGCGGTCTTGATGGTTTAAGTAGGAGATGGGGTAAGAGGAAAACGTATCCACAAGGGTACCTAACCTAGACTTTGTGGTGTTAGTCGTGGATGACTAATTGAAGGGACCCATCCCATTGGCCGGATTGATACAATGGCTACGGAAGCAGGACTTTCTAAGTTTTGTTCTACACTCTGTTCCTTGTTCTCTCTCAACAACAGAGTCCTCTGTTTCATTCATTCTTCAAGACCACTTAGTTTTGAATTTGACAAGCGCAAATCCATATATATATATATATATCTTGGCCTCTTGCCTGCGACTTCTTTAAGCTGAAATTTGTGATGGGTTTTGTTGGTTCTTAAAATTAGATTAGAGACTGAGACTTAACTCAGTCTGGTTTCAATCCATGTCATTGAAAGATTGAGCTTATAGCACATTGATGTCGAGGGTGGCTTACCATCATTTGGTTCGATTGCCCTTCTTCATCAATAGGCACAAAACCTAGAAGGCACACAGCCTGTTGTATCCGAAATCCAAGTCCTTACAAACAGGAACTAAAGCAACAAATGAGCTGCCAGGCCAGCAGCATGGGAAGCATAAAGTATTCTAGATTTCTTGCAACCAAGAGAATACAAGATGAATGACTTGTGGCCTTAAACAAAACTATCTGACTTGCCTGTTTCTTTTTCCTTTCCATGTTTAACTTTCAAACTCGCACAGTAATTGGGTTTAGAAGACCTACATCTATAATTTGATAATCCTTAATCATCGACCAAAAGGCATGGTTTCATGGACTCCTTAGGCTTCCAACGGAACGCCTTGCCGCCCCCGCTAGCAGAAGCTAAGCGCTTGAAAAGCGCGCTAGCCCCAACGCGATGCGATTAGTGAAAGCAGCCGCCTATGCTCCAGGCGGAGATTCTCGACCCTTTTTTCGAGCAAGTCTTGGAAAACCTCAGTCTTCTTCACCAACATGTTATCAAATATTGGTTATAATTTAATGAACTCAAACTGCAATTTGAACATTAGCCACTCAAGCATCTGATTTAGAATTGTCTTAGAGTTGAAGATTAAGGGCAGTCTAGTGCTAGGATTAGGAAAGATTATACAGTTGATAAGTGCGCTTGCCTAGTGCTATTATAACTAGGGAGACTAAAAATTTGCAGTTATGAAGGTTCCCATTCTCATTCCACGATTCTATAAACCCTTTCTGTCAACTTAAGGGAAAGAAGAGTGATGCTATGCTAGTACCATGCACTATTTGAAGATGGTTTTGTTTTTGGTGCAATAATGCATGCCTATTGGACAATCCAATACTGCAGCACTACTGCACGCTGTGGGTCATTTCTAGCACTCACAAACTCACAATGGCATATGACTCTGGGACTTCTGTGGCTCTCTGTGTCTACCACGCAACCAAGTTTTATGTGATGAAAGTGTCCAATTTAAAGTTCAAACAACCCATAAGGATTTGTATAATGCATTTATGCAATGCAACGGTCTGTCACAATTTCAAAAGATGGCTATAAAGTGTAAGCACTGGTTTGCGTTTGGTAATTGGTTTATGTGGGTTCCGGGCGTTTGGTGGTGTCCTTTTTGTTTCCAGAACAAGGATTATGAATCTTTCTTCACATAGAAGTTTCAGTTTTTGAGGGTAGCATTAAGATGAACATTGATGATCTCCAAAGAAACAACAGAGATAATGGCAACAAATGGGGTTTAATAAATAACAGGCAGAGGTCGTTGGTGGTGGTTTTAGTCAATAATGGCTGGTGAGGAATGAAATGACCGACATACAACCAGCAAATTTGTGTAGTTGGAGTGCATTGAATGTGACAGACTGTAGAGGGTTTAAACTTGTTCTACATATATCAAAGAAAAGGGTTTTTATTAACTTGGTCGTGAATTAAGACATTGTTTCAGGCTTTCAGCGCAACCGGAACCGGGGACGGGGATGAAATTATCTGAAAGTTTAGGTTCACTTGCAGACTGAATGATGTTAAATCTAAAATATCATCTCAATATCTAAATCTAAATTTGTCTACTTCTCTAATCTTATTTATTGAAAATGTGAATGCTTCTCAATTATTATGTTCTTTCCTTTTCAGATTGTGAAGTTTATGCCTCGGTTATATTATATATATCATGTCATAAAATAAGTTATTGTATCTTATATTCTTCTTTTTGTAGATAGAAGTTAGAAGCTGCATCATTTTTTTTGTTTTGTTTAGAGGTTCAAGATTTGAATCCATAACGTTTGATATTCAACGTCGTGCATCAGCAGCACGCACTTAACTATTTTCTATTTAAACAACCGCCATTTTTCTTGAATCAAATGTACGGTAGGAATTAGACTATTCTATGCCCAAGTGGACAATTATCTCGTGCCAGAAAGTATCTAATTATTCATAATAATTTCATGTACATAGAAGATTAAAAATAAAAAACTAACCTTCATCATCCCGGCAGCGCACAGAATGAGTCCTCCGTGGGCAGAGACACCTAAAATGGTAGGTTGTGTAATTGAAGCCACACCTCCCTCCACTGTCTTGGCAGCGGTTGCAGTCACCAGCAAACCAGTTCAGCTCAAACCCTCTGCTCAAAACCTCTTGTATTAATCCCAACTCACCGTTCTCACCCCCTCTTCCAGCATGAGCCACCACCACTTCTCCTCCACACTTGTGACTTCCAAATTTTGGATATTCATCCCGAGGCAGAGCCAGAACTGAAGTATTACTTCTGGTTTTGTTAGTTGGCTGATCAAAGCAACCGACTTTGTACTTTGGAAATGACTCAACCACAGAAAAGTTGCAATTGTAGAGCAAAAAGAAGTCAGCTCGGTTTGAAGCCAACTCGAACTGATCATTGGGAAGGGTTAAGTTATGGAGTGATGAAATATCATCGTTACAAGCAGTGCTTTCTAAGTAGCCTGAAAGCAGAGAATTTGAGACAAGAAGAGACTTTCTTTGGTAATCGATCTTGTGGATGGTGTAATTGTTACCAGACAATCGGAGAAGTGGGTAGGCATCTTCACCATCTCCATGGCAAGAGAGCTGGAAGCCAGGGTAGCCACAGAAGGATTCTTGCCTGCCTGGGATGTAGAATGGATAGCTAATGTTTTGGCGGCCACAACTTACGGGAACACTGCAGTTTTGGTAGTAAAAGTCCAGAGCAAATGAGGCTTCTGTTAGGAGGAGAAACATCAAAATGAAGATGCAGAGGTTTTGATTCATTTGGGATATTGTAAATTGTGGCGTAGAGACAGTGAAAAGGATAATAATAATATTGCAGAGAGAGAGAGAGACACACACACACACACACAAAATATAATAATAATAGTTTTGAGAGTTGTATTCGAAGAGGGTGGCTTTGACTTGATAATTGCCCAACTGGAAGCCTCTGGAGCTGACAGTTACACTTTTTGAGTATTAGAAGGCTGTCTTTATAATCTGCCTCACATCTTAGACTCTTGAATTTAAGCCAGAAGTTGCCTAAATGGGTCATATTCTAAGAAAGTCGTACAACTTGACCAATCTCATAATTCAACTTCTGCTTTAACATTGCCTTCTCTACAGGGCCACACAGACTTGTACTCTGAATTTGAAATGATAATCACCGTTCATGTATTCAGAGCTTAAGTCATTACAATTTGAAACTGGTAACTTACGCTATGATTCATCAGCAGTAAAAAAAAAAGGCAGAAGAAGAAGAAGACGAATTTGATGCTATATGTACACGTAGTGCTCATTTAGTGTTTAGGATTTGATTAGGTTGATTAAGTCATTAAATCTAAGATACGTTGAAGGAGGAAATAAAAGCAAAGGTGTAATAGTTTTTCAATTTGGGAGAATTAAGGGGGATAAGTTAAAAGATACTATTATCCTACCATCTTGTGGATTAGATAGGATACATTTTCTTTATGAGTAATCCATCTTTTACCTTCAACTTGGTTTAAAATAAAATAAAAAATCATTTCTTCCCTAAACATGCTGTAAATGTAGGAAGTTATTTTATTTAATTCGATACTAGACACCAAACCAGCAAGTATCTAAATAGTATCTGCATATTAATGAAAAAAGTAGCCACTACTGCTCGCAACCCAAACGAGCGACTTGGTCTCAAATATGTACCACACGTATATAAAGCAGTCACATGATGCGTATGCATTTATCTTCCTATGTACATTTCTATACATAAACAATCATGTAGGATTTTCAGAGTCAAATCCTCATATACTATCACGGCACGACTGATTCATTTCAGCCAAAGTGGGGTGGTTTTTGACCCAAAAAAAAGTGGGGTGGTGATAATTTTGAAACTTGTGAAGATCAGAGTTATACATACTATTTGTACAGAAAATAATGGCCTGTGTTGTGTTGACTTGGAATAAATTACACAAACTCACAAGGCTCTCAGGGATTCAAGATACGGATTATCTATTACCTCTCTATCCGTTGTTGTGTCTTGTATTTCTTCAAATGTTTGGTGTCCACGCGTTTTTGCCCAACTCTTTTTCTGTCAAAGTCTCAAAGGGGACTTTCATCCCAGTGGCAGTGGGAAATTCTGCTGAAAAGTAACACCCACTAGTTCAGGGATATTGATTCCTTTTTCTAACTTATCAATTCAAAAGAATAAAATAAAATGAATCCTTGTAAATTTGGGAAATGGTCAGTACATTTAGGTTAGACCAGTTGACCAAAACAATTTGTCAGCCCCCTTGTATCAAAGTTCTCTCTCTCTCTCTCTCTCTCTCTCTCTCTCTCTCTCTCTCTCTCTCTCTCGGGTTAGACAAGTTGACAAAAGCAATTTGTCCATCATCTTGCACCCAAGTTTAATCTCCCTCCCAATACATTGGTAGTTTAAAGTACTGTTTTATGAAAAATAAATAAATAAAAGAAAACAGGGGAAATTATCTCAAGAGGAAAAAAAATGAAAATTGCTAAGTAAACTGGGCTAAGCTGGCCCACTACGTGATAATTTCATAGATGCAAAATGGGCCGATCGCAATTCTCAGCCCGTTATCATTTTTACCTCTTTTGGTTTTGGCAGAAATGAGGAATCTAAATTTTACACTAATCGGTTTCGTAAGAGCATCCAAAGTAGGCTCCTTTACACCTCCGGGAGATACAAATATCATTTTTTTTTGTATTAAATCATTTTTTGTGTTAAATCTTTTTTATGTCAATTTTTTTGTGTATTAGGTTTAATTATTTTTTCTAAACAAATCGACCTAATTTTTTTTTTAATTCCTATAAGATATAATTTAATTCAATATGATGTAAATAAAATTATTATGAACTGTTGGTTTTGATATGAATTTATTCTTCACCACTGATCAGTGTAGTTGTTAATTTCATATTTCAATTTGAATGAAATCTGGCCATACATTAGAGCGTTGTTGGAGAAGAACTTAGTACATTTGCATCATTTTTAATAACTTCCTCATAATAATAAATCTCAACCACGCCCTGGGCCCACCATTTTAATAACTTCCCCATCTTTTAGGTAAATTTTCTCTCTCCCCTCTTTTGGCTTTTCTGCTACGGAACCCACTTGGCTGAGTCTAAAATTAGATGTACATCTTTTTTCCCATCTCACGGTTGTGATGTACATTTACAATCGTACATATCTTCCCATTGCAGGACATTCCGACAACCAAATGTGTATATTTGACACAAACCTTCATATACACCTTATCACTGTAGATGCTCTAAGCAGCGATTCCTTTTCCTTCGAGAGACTTCTTCTTTCTTTTGAAGCAACTTTGTTGGCGTTCCATTCCAGCAACGACTGTCGTTTCATTCCTGTAAAACCTAGACATGCAACTTTCTTCTTTGTTCTTCTAGCTGTTAGTCTCCAACGTTTGGACATCATTTGGTAAAGTGGATTATTTACTTATTTGCACTTTACTGATTCTGAGTTTCATGCTTTTTTGGTAGCTTTTGATTGTTGCATGCATGAATTGGACAAAGTCTTTTCAGGAAACATAAATGGGTGTCAAGTGAAATGGACTGATCGGTTTAAAATCTTCCAAACCTCATTGAAAAGGTTGTTGCTTTAAATTACTAAGTTTGGTTGTTTTAGTTGTTTCCTTGTGGACTCCTAGTTGAGTTCATATCCTCATGTTCATGAATTTGACAAAGAAATTTAGAGTGTTATAATAAGCAAGCAGCATCCATGTTGTAAAGATTTCATATTTGCACTAAAAGATGGCATGACATCTACTCAAAAATAATTAGGGTTTAAACTGATATGTTTATTCTTATCTCAATGAGGAATATATATACTACATACAGAGTGGCTACAAATAGGAAATATGTACAAAATCTCCTAATTCTACTCAAATTAGATAATTACAATAAAATATAAATTTTATTCCTAATAGGAACGTTGACTCACGCCAACACTCCCCCTCAAGTTGGTGCATAGATATCGATAATGTCCAACTTGTCAAGTGAGTCTTCAAATCGACGCTTTGATACAGCATGGGTCAACATATATGCAAACTGCTCTGAAGAAGGCACAAAAGGTATAGAAATTAACTTATGCTCCAGCTTCTCCTTAAGGAAATGCTAATCAACTTCTACATGCTTAGTTTGATCATGTTGCACTGGATTGTTAGCAATTTCAAATGCAGACTGATTATCACAGTAAAACTTTGTAGCACCATCCAGTCTAAACCCAATTTCAGCAAGTAACCACCTCAACCACAGTATTTCACAAACCCCTTGGGCAATCCCTCTATACTCAGACTTTGCAAAGGACCGAGGCACAACGTTTTGCTTCTTGCTATGCCACGTAACTAGGTTACCACCAACAAATGTGAAGTAACCTAATGTAGAACGTCTATTTGTAATATTCCCTGCATAATCTGCATCAGTGTAACCTTTTAGATCCAAGTGGCCATTTTTCTTAAATAATAAATCTCTCCTAGGAGCAGACTTTAAGTAACTCAAAATACACATCACAGCAGCTATATAATCCTCACTAGGGGAATGCATAAATTGGCTAGCAACGCTTACCACATAGGCAATATCAGGGCGTGTCAATGATAAATAAATCAATCTCCCAACCAACCTTTGGTATCTTTCTTTGTAAGTTGGGACCTGATCCACATAAACACCAAGTTTATGATTCTCAACAATAGGTGTATCAGCTGGTTTACAGTCAAGCATTCCAGTATCTGCTAACAAGTCCATGACATACTTCTTTTGTGAAAGAAATAAGCTATGTTTAGATCGAGTGACTTCCACCCCTAGAAAATATTTCAGACTGCCTAAATCTTTTATCTCAAATTCAGATGCTAAACATTTCTACAGTTCCTCGATTTCTGCAATATCATCACCAGTCACAATCATATCATCAATATAAATAATCAACAAAGTCACCTTACCAGCCCTATGTTTACTGAATAGAGTATGATCAGTATTGGCCTGTTGGTAACCAAACTTCTTCATAGCTGTAGTAAATCTACCAAAACCATGCCTGAAGAGACTACTTTAACTCGTACAACACCTTTTTTAATTTGCACATGTTTCCCATGTCACCGGTAACGCTATACCTTAGAGGAAGACTCATGTACACTTCTTCTTCTAGTTCACCATGTAAGAGTTCATTTTTTTACATCAAATTGCCTTACGCTCTAATCCAAGTTTACTGCTAAGGACAACAAAACTCTGATAGTATTCATCTTAGCCACATGTGCAAAAATATCATAATAATCAACTCCATATGTCTGAGTGAACCCTTTAGCTACTAATCTTGTCATGTACCTCTCCACAGTACCATATGCATTATATTTAACTGTAAACACTCATCTGCATCCTACATGCTTCATTCCCTTTGGTAGATCAACAATGTCTCATGTATTATTTTTCTGCAACGCCTCCATTTCAATATTCATGGCTTCACGCCACTTTGGATTATTAAATGTCTCCTTAACACAGGTTGAAATTTTAATACTATCCATTTTGGTCACAAAAGCTTTGCACTCATGAGATAACATGTGATCAGATACATAATAGGCAATAGCATATCTTGCTTTGCCTTCTGGTGAGTTATGATCAGGTGGAACCCCACGGTTCCGTCTAGGCGGTAAAACATAAGAATTATCAGCAGTATGAATAGAAGCACTTACCTCAAGATTATCCATGGGAGCTTGATCGGGTACTATTAGAGAAGCTTCATGGGGGGCAATCGGTTCAGTGACAATAGTGACATCAATTAAAATAGCAGGTTCAGCTAGTGTAGCAGGTTCGGCCTGTGTATCAGGTTCAGCCGGTTCAACATGTTCGGTCGGTTCTTCCCTTTGTATCAAACTATCCAATACTACTCCCCCTTGTAAATCTAGCCAGTTATGTCCTCCACTACTAGTCTCATCTTGAAGGATATGCTCGGGTGTATCAGAGAAGAACATTTCATCCTCAATAAAGGTAACATTCATAGAGACATAAAGACGTCGGGTTGCAGGATGATAGCATCGGTAACCTTTCTGATGAGAAGAGAAACCCATAAAGAAACAGCAGAGAGCACAGGGGTCCAGCTCCTCTGATTCTGATGGAGGTGAACATAGATGACACAACCAAACACTTTTGGAGACAAAGTCAACATAGAAGAGGTAGAGAGATGATGGGTCAGTACTTGCATAGGAGTTTGGAAATCCAAAACTCGTGAAGGTAGACGATTCAAGAGATAGACTGCATAGAGTAACAGCATCTATCCATAACAGTTTTGGAACTGACGCACCAAGCAGCAGAGCACGGGCAGCAGCAAGGATATGCCTATTTCTACGTTCAGCAACCCTATTCTGTTGTGGTGTTTGAGGGCAAGTAGTCTCATAGAGTATACCCTTAGTGTGAAAAAAATGGGATAATGCAAAATTAACAAATTCTCCACCATTATCAGATCAAAAAAACCTTGATAGGAAGCATAAATTGAGTCTGAATCATCTAATAGAAACGCTGAAAAATTTCAACCACATCACTTTTATTTTTCATCTCATATAACCACATCACACGAGTGCAATCATCTACAAATAACACAAACCATCGAACTCCCAAGGTTGTAGAAACAAGGGAAGGTCCCCAAATATTAGAATAAACTAAATCAAATGGCATAAGCCATTTATTACTACTTGAAAGGTAGGATACTCGATGACTCTTAGATAAAATACAAGTTTGACATTGAAAAGCAGACTCGTTGACATCACTAAATAATGTAGGAAATAAATGCCGTAAATATCCAAAGGAGGCATGACCAAATCGGCTATGTAGCAACCAAATCTGGCAATGTTGAGAAGTTTCGGCTCTACCAGCTCGAAGAACCCAACTAGTTGCCACATCATCCACATAATAAAGCCCCTCCTTTTTAGTACCACGACCAAAGATCTTCTGAATCTGGATATCCCGTAGTAAGATAAAAGACGAATACATAAGTACAACGCAGTTTAACTGCTCAGTAACTTGCGGCATAGCTAATAAATTATTAGACAAAGATTGAACCAGTAACACTTTATCCAATAGTAAAACAAGTGTCAAGAGTATAGAACTTGCCTCCATGATAGGAGCAACAACATTATTAACAATCAGAACATGATCACAATGAGGCGGAATAGTAGTAGAGAATAAAGCAGAATTATACGTCATATGGTCAGTAACTTCTGAATCAATAATCCAACCTGTATCGCGGGTATCATGGGCATGGAAAGCTTTGCCAAAGTTACCAGAGGCTGAAGTGTTGGAGTGCTTGAGACTGCAGTCAAAGTCAGAAGAAAAGTAGCAGTAAGGGGGCCATGCCCAGTGATGATGTCAGCTGCAAAAGTGGGGGCAATAGCCACATGAGCTTTGCTGTCAGGTTATTCCCTTTTTAAACGCCTCTGCTTATTCTCCCAATCTGGTGCCCCATGCAATGCCCAACAGGTGTCGATTGTATGTCTCTTTTCACCACGGTGATCACACTTCAGTTTGTTTTTTTCTGCAGAAGTCAGGCGACGAGGCCGAACAGCAGAAGAGCCAGCCCTGGAGACTGAGAAACGAAAGCAGTGTTTTTGGAAGCAAACGCAATAGTAGGTTCCCTAATCTTGGTGCCATATCCAAGTATAGTAATCTAGCGTTGAGCCTCTTGACGAACCATAAAAATTACATTTTCGATACTTGGAACTTTATCACTCTGTAGAATGTCATTGCGAACCTTGTCATAAGTATCATCAAGGCCAACCAAAAAATTATACACACGATCTGCCATAACAGCATCCTAAAAAGTCTTCATATCATCAGCACACTTCATCTGAAATGGACATCTCTTGTCCAATTCAAGCCAGATTGCCTTAAGTTCGGCAAAATAGGTAGAGACGAGACGACCCTCTTGCTTAAGATGGGTAGCTTGGCATCGCAATTCATATAGTTGGGATATGTCAGAGCCATCATAAAACATTTGATTAACAACATCCCAAATTTCCTTAGCAGTAGGTAGAGTATGAAACATATTCAACAAATTGGGTTCCATAGTTCGCAACATCCAACTTTTCACAACAGCACCAGTAATTTTCCATTTCCCAAATTTCGGGTCTTTGAAATCAAGGGCATCAATTTCACCAGTCATGTAACCCAATTTGCCTTGTATAGTAGCATGAAGTTCGATCATCGAAGCTCATACCTCATAGTTAGATCCATTCAATTTGAATCTCATAAGTAGGTTAGTGGACGATTCAGTATGAACCGTAACAATAGGAGTAGAAGAAGAAGATTCAGTGATATCTGACATGGTGATAGATGGCAGCAGCATCAAAAGATTAGGTGGTGACGACGATAGTAAAAGATATAAGACGACACAGACTTAGGTGTATAGGCTAGGTGCAGCGGAAATATGTATTTTTAGGATTAGGGTTTTGATGTTGTAGAGACAGATCGGAACCTGCTCTGATACCAACTCAAAAATAATTAGGGTTTAAATTGATATGTTTATTCTTCTCTCAATAAGGAATATATATACTACATACAGAGTGAGTACAAATAGGAAATATGTACAAAATCTCCTAATTCTATTCAAATTAGATAATTACAATAAAATATAAATTTTATTCCTAATAGGAACAAATTATATTCCTAATAAAAACGTTGACTCATGCCAACACATCTGTCTTGAAATTAATTGAGTTGCTGTTTTGTAAATTGAGGAAAGTTCGGAACTTTCTTTCTTGAAAGTAATTCTGGTTCTGGTTTTGTATTGTGTCTGTGCTTTTATTTGCTTTGAGCTTCTTAGGTCATCTCTAGTCATAGGGCTAAATGTAGTCCAGGGCTAAAAATTTAGCCCCCTAAAATATTAATTTTTTAAAGAATAGTGCAGGGCTAAATTTTTCCATCTTCAACCATGCATGGCTATATTTTTTGGTCATTCATATTTTATTATTTTGACAAAAACTATGGTACAACACTCATACATTCAACAACTATATATTGTTTAATTTAATTAAACTACTATTTAGAGATAATATTCCATATATGACACGTATTAAGAACAATATTTCTAATAAGATGGCAAATACTTTTTTATTATTTTTTTAAACAACACTTGAAATGATGGCAAAGCTGACCACATTTATGATTTTTTTTTATTTATTTAAAAGGGAGTGTGTATGTACGAATTCCAGCCATCATTGCAAAGAAGAAACATTCAAAAAGCTGGAGGTGCATTGTGGTGATACATGGCAGACTAGTGCTCCATTTATTATTTAAAACTCTATATATATTTAGCTTTTAAAAGGCAAGTGGGAAGTAATTTAATATTTGTTGGTTGAAAAAGCATATGGTGAGGTCCACAATGAATTTGGCCTAGGCCAAAGCTTGGTTACATTTGGCTCTGTTGGAGGGCTAAAGGGCCAAATGTGGCCCTCCAAATTTGGCCAAAATTTTATTTAGTCCACAGCTGGAGATGGGTTTTGTATTAATTTATGACTATATTTGGGATATAGCCCATGATTGGAGATGGCCTTACAACTCTGGTCCTAAACTCGTTGGAACAAGTACTGCTTTTTTATCTAGCAGTTAAGAATTAAGTTGTCTAGAAAACATATAATTTTTCTATCCGCATATATTAATTGTGCAGTGAATTTCAGTTTTGGGTTTAATTTCAACTTTCTACTGTGTAAATGCTAGAAGGATACTTTAGCTATTTTCAAACAAAGAGCTTATTCTTTCTGTAATTAACGATGATAGTTTTCCTTCTTTCCATAAAACATAAAAGTCAAAAGCAAAATCCTTTATAATATAAATAATATATAAAATAAATTTGAAAAGCTTTTAAGATAAAGTGAAACTAAAGAAACAAACAATAGGTAAATAAGAGTAAAATAAATTAAAATTAAGAAAGTAAGCATGATATGGTGAAACACGTTAAAGACGTTCTAAAGTCTTTATAGTCTCCCTATGTGCAGGTAATGATAGTTTACCAAACTTCAAGATACGATCCTTAATACACAGACTCAAGATCTGCTATGAGCACGTTCACAATCAGATATTGGTCTCCAAATCACAAAACCATTGCCCAAAAATAATGGCTTATGAGGTAAAAACAGATTGCATCTGTTCTCATGCTAGCAAAAATATTAGCAGCCTTAATCTGCCAAATGTTATAATCATTGCTTATAAGATAGAAACTTCCATCACAGAAGACAGCATCCTCAAATGGCTCACCATCCAGTTTATGTTTAAGCCATGATTCAGCTCCTGGGATCCAAAAAGCAAGCTCCGGACATTGACCATTAACAAGCAAGCAAACATAGTTTTCAAGGATGGGAAGACCCGAGAGAACCATCTTATGATAAAAGTTCCACGTTTTGGGAAGATCAGTTTTGTTCCTAGAGAATGGATTCAACAAGCTAATCTCAAGATAGAAACAGCCAATATCTTTGACTAGAATCAACCAATCTTGATATGATCCTCAATAATATTATCTTCCATAAGCCTCAGGAAGCACCATGTCCCGCAAATGGGGACCTATTTGGCTAACTTCCCCCCAATGGTGGTGCTGTAGGAAATTTGCTCTCTCAACTGATATCGTAAAACTAGTAAAGTAGCTCATCTCATCTGCGGTGATCGTGGCAGCGATTCTCTTTTAGCTATTTTGTTCCACTTAGCATATCACAGTGTAGGAGCCTATTTCAGTGATGATGAGAGTTTAAAGATGGTCCATGTACAAGTTGGGCGTGCAGCTGATTAGCAGCAGCAGTGTACCAGGCTTTTGTAAGTAGAAAAATATGAGACAGATTATATCCGTGCGTGGTCGGTGCTTGCAGTAATTATATTTTAGAATTTTATTTTATTCAAAGTTGTTTGGGCGTCGAGACAAGGACATTCTTTTTAGAGATATTTAGTAATATACCCATTCTTAGCACTAAAACTATAAATAAATCCTACATCATTTCATTTTTATAAACATATCCAAAAAAAAACCCAAAAAATGACAAATGGTACTATTAAATTTAATTTTAATTATTAAATTACTTTGATACCCTATTGAGTGTTTTGGGCTTTTTTATGAAATTTTGGGTTGGGTTTGTTTTAAGAAATCAATGGCAATTTTGTAATTTAAAAGAAGTTAAAAGCCTTTTTGTTATTTTATAAATGGGCTTTGGGTGTGTTTATAAATTCCATTTCATATAGGGTTTTTTTATAATTTAGGCTCTCATATTGGGTATATTAGTGAATCTCCCTTCTTTTTATCATAAAATTGAAAGCATTATCTTTCCATTCATCACATGTGGTTCAATTTCAATACATATCGGGTGATCCAAAATTCCATCAAATTGACCAATTCTATATTTTGTATGACTATGTTGTTGACACGTTAAAGTACTGTATAATATGATTGGATCCAACTGTTTCTCCTCGTGGAGGATCTGAAAACAACACCAACAAGAAATGCAATCGTGTTTATTTAAACAAACAATGTGTGAAGCGCATTAGGTTGGATGGTTTGTCGTGTTTCTCTAAATCACAAATTTATTACAAATAAATATGTAAGAGTTGCTTAAGATTGTCCAATTTATTGTTTTAAATTGTTTGAATTACGGTGCATGTTAACAAACAATTTATAGCAATTTTTTGCCAACTATTTAAACAACGTGGTTGTGTTTGGCCAATGAGGTCTAACCTAGTGAAAAATAGTCTTAACTTAAGGACCATAGATTTCAAGTTCGAATCTTCAAGACATCATAGTTGTGTATGTGTGTGAAAAATCTCACTCCCCTATAGTTTAGACAGTTTCTTGTATTAAAAAGAAAAAAAAATGGTTGTGTTTGACTATACACCTGGAAAATATTCCAATAACAATTAATTTTTTTTGTTACAATTAATAGTTTAGTAAAAAAAATAAAAAATATAATGAACCATGAAACCGTTCTTATATCCCTTTCTCCATGTTTGCTAAACTTTTTTCTTGTTTTTAAATAATAGTTTAGTCAAAATAGTAATAATAATAATAAACCATGAAACCGCTGGTATATCCCTTTCTCCATGTTTGCTCAACTTGAGATTAATAAGTCATGTTTTTATTTGCTAAACTTTTAATTGAAATGCGTTTGGGTTTATTTATTTAATTATTTTAAAGATGTAACGAGTTTGGGTTGATTAGGTTGGTCCAACTCAATCTCGTCGAGTCATCCTTAATGGACAACATATCTCTTACGCCATTATATATGTTTTCAATGGCAAAACTGGAATGTCAAATATTTGATAAGAAATACAGTTTTAAGCATAATTAAGAGAAATATGAGATTATGAAATTGCTCTCAAGTTGCTGTGCATGTTGTGAAGGCATCTTTCTTACTATATTGATCATGTGACCGACACTTATTTTCAGTATAATATAATAATAATTTGGGAATTTGAAATTAAATAAAACCTTCCAAAACGAAGACAATTACATCATGGGATTCTTGTGCAAAATGTCACACATGTATTAGACTACCCGCGCAAGCAGTAAAACATTGAATGAACATTATTAGATATAATTTAATTGCTAGGCTTTGACCGTTTCAGTTTGGCAATTCGCTGAGCTGACCTATTTTGAGTAGAGTAGGTATTGTGGCGAAAAATAATAAGACATCATACCATATTATGACAGTAAATTCGTCGCTTTGTATTTAAGTTCGAATTGTTTTTTTTTAAATAAAATTTATTTAGAGTGATTTAGATCATAAATTATATTAAAAATAATAACTTGTTATGTAACATGGATGTGTGTTACTACAAAAGTGATAAAATTTCATAATATATGGATGTGTGTTCCCAAATAATAACTCTTGAATTTATAGCAGGTTTTTTTTTGGTCGACTTGAATTTATAATAATATACTAAAGTTAAAATAAACAAAAAATATGAATATAATAGTGGCGTAAAAAGTAAAAAAGATGAATATACTACGATTGTTGCTAGAAAAATTAGCACTAATTTATTCTTAGGGTAGGCGACCGTTGGGTTCGATCAATCAAAACGGGGGGATCTGACTGCAGCACTTGCGCAAAGGCCTAAAAGGCGCGTTGCCTCACGCCGTTACAAAGGCCGTGGGCTCTAAAGTCTAAAGTGAGAATTAATAAATGAAAGTCTAATCGTTTTCTCGAGAAAATCGAATGGGGATAAGGAGGAAAAAAGACATCGTCCCCATCAGAGAGTATCTCACCATACACGTGTCAACGAATTTCCTCCATCACACGTGTCAGTAGTTGAGATCCTCACCTATGACTAATCCGAGTGGGCTCAATGCCACCAATCGCGACCCAGTTTACTAAAAGTCATTAGATAACGCTCAAGCTCATGGCCCATCAATAGTTACTTACTCACACTCCCACACACTCACAGACATTACCTATGTTACCCTTGATAAACTACAAATTCCCATCGATTCCAAGCATCACGACCGTATTTGAGTAGAGACAAGATTGTAATTTCGAAAGATGGGTGCTCCCATCGCATTAAATCATGGGCGCCCCAAGTAGATGGCGATTTTTTTTATAGAAAATAAAAATAAAAATTTGTTTTGTTCTTCTCCTACCACTGCGCAGTGCCCATCCATCCATTTATTCAGAGCCTTGCTTCGCCATTTGCTTTCCTTCGCTTCCTCCATCGCTTCCCTTCCCCAACTATTCAATCTCTCTCTTTCTGTCCAACTGGTTTTACCAAATTGCCCCTGGAAACCTTCCCTACCCTACCCTTACCTTCTTCCACCAGATCCATTTCAGTCTCAGCCTCCATTTTAGGGTTTTACTATTTCGGTCTAGCCACAGACTCCAATCCTTTTCTCCGATCCGATTCGCCCCATTGTTTTCGATTAACTCTCATTTCTCACAAACCCTTGAGACGTCGATCCTCTAATTGAATCAATTCCCAGAATCGCTTTCTTCTTTTCCATTCCCGTTGACTTTGTTTCAGGGTTTAAGAGGCTACGTACGTACAAGGACCAGATTTAGGGTTCTCGTGCAAGTTTCTGATTCGGCGTTATTGCGATGTTGGGTACGGGGTTGCAGGTCACGCGCGCCCGCGGAGACGACCGATTCTACGACCCGGCCAGAGCCCGTAGAGCTCACCAGAACCAGAAAGCCGAGCAACTTCGGCGAGCTCAGAGCGACGTCACGCCAAGCCAATCGCCTTCGCTCAAGGGTAACCCTAACCGGGAACCCGAGAACAGGGTCGGGTTAGATGACCCTCCCAAGCCAGTCGCCGTGCCTGCTTTTGAGCCCGTTGTCAATCCCTTGAGTAATCTCGAGCGGTTCTTGCAGTCGATCTCGCCATCCGTGCCCGCTCAGTACCTCTCTAAGGTCTTCGTCTAAACTAAACAGAAATGTTACATTTCTTGGTTATTTTTCTCTTAATTTTGTGATTGAATATTTTACTTTTGGTAGCAGACGACGATGAGGGGATTGAGTACTTGCGACGTGGAATTTCAGCCATACTTTGTTCTTGGAGATCTATGGGAGTCTTTCAAGGAGTGGAGTGCTTATGGGGCAGGAGTGCCTTTGATTTTGAATGACAGTGACTCTGTGGTTCAGTACTATGTCCCTTATTTGTCCGGTATTCAGATATACGGCCACTCTATGAAATTGCCCACTAAGACAAGGTATACATTTTACTCCATATTCGTCACTTAAGTTGATCAATTGTAATGTTCCATATGTTGCCTTTTGAACTAGTTCCAGAGGTGAAAGTAAATTAATTCTATTTATTTTGGTTAATTTTATAGTCCCCTTTCATGCTGAGGTATGTATTTTTCTCATTCTAATGATTACTCAATATAGTATTTTGTCATTAATATCTCTTCTTATCCTTATCCGTTATTGATTATTTTTGCCAAGTATTTTATGGCTTGAGAATGGATGGTAAACGGATTTAATGGTTTGCTTATTCTTGCTACTCGTTGCATCTGAATCTGTATTTTTGACAGAATTGATTGATAGTGTTCTACTTAGTCCCCGCCCCCTTCCTTCCCGTATATTGCTTATTGTGTACTCTATCCAAAATTTGATGGTCCTTGTGTGTGATAGGCGGCCAGATGAGGACAGTGACAGTGACTTCAGGGATTCTAGTAGTGATGGAAGCTGTGATTACGAAACTGATAGATTAAAATATTTGAGGGAGCAGCGGAATCATCAAAATCTATCGAGTGAAATTCCTCGTAGGATAGACAGATTATCTCTGAGAGAGCCGCATTTTCCACCTCATGAAGACTGCTCTAGTGACGAGGGTGAATCCATAAATTCTCAAGGCTGCTTGCTATTTGAGTATTTTGAGCAGGACCTTCCTTATTGCCGCGAGCCTTTAGCTGACAAGGTTATAATTGCATTTATTCTCTAATTCGTTACCATGTTTAGAACAATTATATTAAAATTTTGGTACTTGTAACTTTCCTTCCCTGTTTTTGGAAATTTTTTCTGAACTCTCCAATTTTACAGATACTAGATCTTGCCATCCATTTTCCTGAGCTGAAGACACTAAGAAGTTGTGATCTGCTGTCTTCCAGCTGGATTTCTGTTGCATGGTACTTTCAATCTCTGCATTTGTTTCCTGGGCCATACACCGTCACGTGACTAATTGGTTTTGGTATAATTGTTTCAGGTATCCAATTTACAGGATTCCAACGGGACCAACTCTAAAGGATCTTGATGCGTGCTTTCTGACGTACCATTCACTTTTTACACCCATGGGAGGTACTAATCAATTTCACTGTTAGTTTTGAAAACCTGTGTGCATGGTTTTTCCGAGAATGGAAGTTTGTCCCCTGGCATTTGCTCTGTATAATTTATACACATGAGATGCCTGGTTGTTTCATTTTGTTCTTCGGTCTAATTTTTCCACATGTAATCATATCTGATGACGTGGTCTAATTTTTTCACATGTAATCATATCTCACAACGTGGCGACAGAAAGAATATTATCCTAACTACATTCTGGAGTTATTGGTTTTCCTTATAGATGATATTTTATAATTTAAGCAATTTACACCCATGGGAGGTAATAATTAATATCATTGTTAGTTTGTTGTGTGCATGGTTTTTCTTATGAAGAAAGTTAGTTCCCTGACATTTGCTCTTTATAACATGTTTGAGATGCCAGGCTGTTTCATTTAGTGTGTCCGTCTGATTGTATATTACTATGTGACGACAAATTGAGTGTTACCCTAATTACTTCTGGAGTCGATTGGCTTGCATATATATGGTATTTTCTAATTTAAGAAATTTACAACTTCGGGAATTTTATTATTGTTAATTAAAGAAAGCTTTTCCATAATTCCATTATGTTGGATATATCTGTAGAACTCCGGAGTTATGTATTGCGCTTATACCCAGCACTTGCATGCATGTCTCCGTGTCAAAATTTAATCCGGCAGACAGATATACTGCAGATGATGTCATTAGGTGTGAAGTATAACTAAAGTGCAACTGTCTCAGGACCACAAACAAATATAGAAGGGCTGGATGATTGTCTAAATGCCAAGTTGTTTTCTTTAGAATCATTATAGGTGTTGTACAATCATCTCTGATAAGCTCGTCTCTTCTTTTGATTACTCTTGCTGCTGTTGTAAAAAAAAACTCATCTATTTCTCAGTTGCTTATATTATTTACATAATGTCATGTTTCAGGTGTACCAGATGCCCGGGCTCCTGTAGTGACATATCCAAGTGACATGGATGGTGTCCCTAAGATGTCATTACCTGTTTTTGGCCTTGCTTCATACAAATTCAGAGGGTCCTTGTGGACTTCTAATGGGGGATCTGAACGCCAGTTAGCTAACTCCCTCTCGCAGGCTGCTGACAACTTTCTAAGAGTGCTGCAGGTCAATCACCCTGATTTTGTGTTTTTCAGCCGTAGATGATATGAACTCTGAAGATGTTACTAACTGTGTTGCTACCACCGTTCTAGAAGTGAAGCCTGTTTGCATGAGTTACTTGTGAAGAAATCCCTGTGTTGTGTGAAATTCAGGGTGGCAAGTTGGTATGCAGGGATTCCCTCGTTTTGGTTTTCTGTTATTTTACTACAGGAGAAAGAAAGGAAAAAGAAAAGGAAAAGGAAAAGAAAAGGATGAAGGCAACTTAAAGAAAAGTGAAGCTTCGGCATGTGATGTGATGAAGGCCGCAATAACCTCGGCGAAAGTGAATAGAGGAAATATAGTTAGATAAGCTATAGATGGTCAAGCTAATCAAAGTTGCTTTTTAATGGAAGCAAGCTGTGTCTTGCTCGTTTTCTGTATTTTGTTCTTAGTAAGGAAGGGTATATTATAAAAGAAAAACCAGGCTCTTTTTTTATGCCGTGATGATGATGATGATGTTAGCATGTGTAATTTTATCTATGAGGGGATTTTGATGTAGAGATTGTATTTAAAGTGTTTAGCTTGAGCTTCCCGTATGTGTTTTTGTTTGGAGTCACCACCGCCCGCTTTTTAGCTCTATCCAACTAATTTTGTTTTATAGCGTAAAGATTGTTGATTTTGCTCTGTGGGTTTAAGCAGCAAAGAGGCTCTTCAAACCAAATTATTATTATTTTTAAAATTTCAGCGCCAAAAAGAGAAGAACACAGCGCGCAAACGGGAAACAATTTTCAGGGGGTAGGAAAGGAAGATCAGAAGTCCAACACAAAGGCTCTGGGAAATCATATGTTTTACAGCAAATGAAAATTCAAGATCCATCAACTTCAACTTCATTATTAAGTAGGTCATGGAACTTAGTGTCCAAAGCGTCGGAACACATCTGACTCATAATGCGGTAGAAAGACAACAAATCAGATAGCTGCTCTATCGACATCTTCCCAATTATGGCCTTTGCAACTCTCTCCCTCTCCTCGCCCATCTTCAGTCGTTGTATGTATGCCGAAGCATTTCTTACTGTTGCCCCCATCTGCTTCAGCCTTTTCTCTTGCTGCAAACTCAGTGCTGTATTTGCCTGCATATACTACAACATTAGACCATTCAAATCGAACGATGACGGCTAATGTGATTATAATAATCGTTTAATCACTCACCTCCAGAAACTCTGCTCCAACGTCCAGTTGATCAGATTCTTTGCCTGAAACAATTCCACGCCTAGAATACATGTTTTTGGCAATAGAGAAGCTCCGTACAATACTATTCCTCTTCATCTCTTGGTCCTGATCAAGCTGTGGAGCCTTTGGCACACCTGCCGAGTTTTGACTGAGCTTCTTTTCATAAGCTCTCACTGCTTTAACAAATTCCTGCATGAATGATAATATTAACCATGACAAATGACAATCCCAAACACATCCAAAAAAAAAAAAAAAAAAAAAAAAAAAAAAAAAACAAAAAATAAATAATTAAGGTCTTACCCGATATGCAGCTGCGCATCCTGGATATTCGAAGTTGTCTGAATCCTGTTGTCGCATTCTCTCCGGATGGAATTGAAGTCCCATAATAAACTTACCCTCCTCAGGATTATAAGCATCCGGATCATAAAACCCTTCAACCAACCCATCAGAAGCGAAAGCCATCGGCGCGAATCGCTCTGCCAATCTCTTAACCCCCTGATGGTGATAACTATTCACCCACATCTCCATTTTCTCATCATCCAAAGAATCTTTGAACCACTGATGCAAAGGTGTATTCTCCACCACCTTCACCCCATGTCTATGCCCATCATAATTCTCATAGTTTATGTGAGCCACTCTTTGAGCGCAACTCTGATCTGGGCATTCTTTTGAAAGTTCTCTCTCAACATCTTGATAAAGTGTGCCTCCGCATGCAACATTGAGGACTTGGGATCCTCTGCATATTCCCAAGTAGGGGATGTTTCTTTCTAGGCATAGCTTTGCAAGCCCCAGTTCAATGGAGTCTTTCTCTTTATCAATGGCGGTATCGCTTGCGTGTAGCTTGCCAATTTCTTCTAGCTCGACTGGAGAGAAACCAGAGAGTTGCGCATCGTAATGGGACGGATCAATGTCTTCGCCCTCGCAGAGAAGAACTCCATGTATTGGTTCAAAGCTTTGGAGTAGCATGTGGACTCCACTGACTCTGGGGACAATAACAGGTACTGCTCCATAGCTTACAATTAGATCTAGATGATATTCTCCTGTCCCATGAGATGTTTTAATAATCAAAATTAAAATCAAGAGCAACTGAATGATTTTATTTGATGTTTGAAATAATAAAAACCAAATTAAGTTTATGATAACCAAAGGTATTGTTCCATTTGCATTGAAACTATAAGAACTGCTGAGAAATCTGAGTAACAGCATAGTATATTCCCAGGAGATGGATATACGTAAAAAGTTGATAGCCAAAGCCAAACAAAGTAACAAACAAAGAGATAGAGACTAACCCACGAAATCTACAAACTTGTTCTTGCGGAGGGTTCGTCGAGAGACGATAAGAACCCTAGGCAAAACCATTGACACATCGGAATTAGCCATTGATGAAAACAGTAAGTAAAGTTGCACTGGACGAAGATCAATTATCTCTAACACACACACACACATATATATAAATATATATATATATAGAGAGAGAGAGAGAGAGAGAGTAAGATGAGTATAAATATAACGAGAGAGTGATGTGGATGGATAGGGATCTTCAGAATGAGGTCTTAAGAAACGACGTGATAGTTGGTAATTATGTGAATGGAGAGCAATCTGCTAAGATTACATTTTGTTTCCTTGTTTCATGGGTTGGATTTTGTTTTCTTGTTTTGCGTTTTGTAATAAGATCATAGACAAGATCGAGTCTAATTAAGTGGCTGCCTCTTCTTCTTAATATAGTAATTACGATGATGATGACCAAATTGAAGATTTGCTCTTCGTCTTGGCTTCGCGTATGGCCTTTTTTGGCCAAAGCTTATGCTTTATTTTCGTGCCATGTTTGTTAGCTTTGCGTTATTTTAGGAATTTGGATAATTAATTAGCACCAAACCCAAAAGTCAAACTGCGAGTGAGTCAATCATACATTCATTCATTCGTATGTGGATTGATATTTGAGCACTCTTTTGTGGCAGAAACAAACAACAAAAAGCCCAAACCACCTCTAAATTGCCGAAGGCCCAAACACGGACAGCCCGGGCCCGACAAAAGTCCATATACTTGGTCAGCTTTAAAAAGATCCGGTTCTATGTTTAGGTTTAGGTATTAAACAATCACCAAGTAATCCTTAACCAATTACCAAAACAAGAATCTCAAAAGCATCGTGTCCTTCTCATATATAAAATGTAAATCTGTAATAAAAATAGTAAAAAATTATCACCCAATGTCATCATTGTTAGTGCTAAGTATGGACAATATCGCTACATTAACGGCTAGTTGATGCATTATCGTAAAATGATTAATTATTTACTCGCAGAAATATAGATAATGTTAATTTGTGTCAGTACATACAACGATCAATCTACATCAAACACCCATCCATCATTGAAGGAGTGACCTCCTACATCCGGTAGCACAACCGGCAAACTGGCGCTCCGACAATCCAACCGCGCTCCTGCTGCCTATCTGTCCAAACCCATTTATGTTTGTAGATGTTAATAACGTTCACACCCCCACCACCGCACTTGAAGACAAACTCTAGCTGCCTCATCGCTCCTTTTTGAAGTTTTTATTTTATTTTTTATTTTGCAAGAAAAAGCAACAAGTGAAACTCCAATCCAAATGTAGGAAAACTAAAGCAGGGCAGCGACAAATTCCCGATTTTCTTCACCCAAAGAATAAAAAGGAAAAATAAAAAACGAAAGTTGCCTACTTCTTTCTTTTTCATCAAAAGCAGAGATATTTTCAGTGAACCCAACCACACACACTCGCTGGCACAGAGAGAGTAATGGCAGTCTCCATACCCATAGTGGCCATCGTCACCTCTCTGCACCTCATCGCCTTCGTTTTCGCCGTCGGTGCTGAACGACGCCGTAGCACGGTAACTCCATATCTCTCTCTCCTCACCCTCTGTGTTTTATTGAAGTTAAAAGCCCTAACCTTTTTTGTGTTTGTGTCTGTGAAGGCTAAGATAGTGCCTGATGAGTACGACGAGCGCACCTACTGCGTTTACGGGACGGACGCTTCTACGGCGTACGGATTAGCGGCGTTTGGGCTGCTTTTCGTCAGCCAGACGGTGCTAAACGGCGTCACGAGGTGTCTCTGCTGCGGCAAAGGCTTAGTGACTGGCAGCTCCACCACTTGGACCGTCTTCTTCTTCGTCTTCTCCTGGTAAATTTACCATTTTCTCCCCCCTCTTGTTTTGTAATTTCTTGTTTATCTTATTAGTAATTTAGTACACACTGGTCCCACTGGAGTGTCTTAATCTCAGCTTGAGGGTTGGATCAACGGTCAGAATCCTTCCATCTTTAGTAGAACTTAGAAGGAAGGAATCAGATTCAATCTACTGATTGGGTTTCCAATTATGACCAAATTACTTGTTCATTTGGTTAATATGTCACTCATCAGTTGTTTATGAGCCACCACCTGCCCTGCCCACCGCCGCCTACATGTTTCTTGTGATGGTGAAAATCTGAGACTTTTGCACTTGCTTTTAATAATTGCCACAGTGCCACTCTACGTTTAGATGATCTAATAGTTTATTGGAGTTGTTACACAGTTACAGTGTATTCATTTTTGTTTTTCATTTGTCTGGAATTTGGTAAAGAAAAGTTAAAGTAGCTTAAGTCATGATTTAGACCCAATTCCCTTACTTTGGCCCCTACCTTTACTTATCGTTTCCCCTTTATCGATCCGAGAGTGCTTTAATTTCAACATCTTTGACATTATGCATTGTGGAACTTATCAATGGATGATACAGGAGCATGTCCAAAACTTTTCCCAAAGTTTGGTTCTTAAACAATGTTATAGACGATATGGCAGTATCTTGTTAGAAATAAGCGTGGGGTTAAGTGGGTGTAGATATGAACGCATGAAACACTATCGCTTCATTAAACTACATTGGTTTAGAGTTGGGACTGTTTTGGTATCTCTAGCATTACTTACTTGGAATAGTGACAACCCAAATAAACAGTACGGATTTGGCGCATAACCTCCATTGTGAATTTTTTGTTTTTCCCTTGTTACTCCAGCGCGCTTGAGCCTTGAGTGAATGCTGTTCCCTACTCTCTAGTATTATGTTTGTGTAAATGATCCCATTTGCTTCATTTTGCTAAATCAAAATCTGAAGACTCTGAACTATGAATTAATTAGGACAAGCTTTTTGGGAGCCGAGGCATGCTTATTGGCAGGGTCAGCAAAGAATGCGTACCACACCAAGTACCGGGGAATCTTTAACGCAGATGACTTGTCCTGTTCCACTCTGCGTAAGGGCGTGTTTGCAGCCGCGGCTGCTCTTACACTGTTGTCATTGGCAGGGTCAAGTTTTTACTACTGGGCACATTCCAAAGCTGATACTGGGGGATGGGAGAAGCACAGAAATGAAGGCCTTGACATGAGCACTTCTAATTATGCAAATCATGAGCAGCAGCAACAGCAAACCAGTGGATTTGAGAAGGTATAGCTCTGGTATTAGCTCGACATTTTCGTTTTGTTGTGGGCCATATATGATTGTAATATGAGATTGAGTAGATCAGTTCCATAGTTTTGGTTGGTGGCTTCTTCTGTTGGAGGAGAGGGAAAACTTGTATGGGGCAAATATGAAATGGTCCTTCATGAGCCAAAAGACTTGTATATGCTATGTCATCATCATGTACGTTTTTTTTATTTGTTACGAATGTCATCATGTATGTTACAAGTGGATTTCCAATTATATTTTCCACTTATGCTGGTTTGCTTTTCCTTACATCCTGGTATTATGGCACTACCAAGACTCCTTTCCCATCTTTCTGGATTTGTGGTATGTATATAATTCTCTGCTTAAAATGCTTTTTGTATGACTCCTTTCCCATCTTTCAACCCTATTTCAAAACAATGTTACAAGTTCTCTTGACTGTCTATCTACTAACTATTTACGAAAGAAGTCCAATGTTAATGGGTTCATTCTAAGTTCTTGCCTCAGTCTAAGACAATCTTACCAGGACAAACAAAAGTCAAACAAGAAAGAACCAAACAAATTGAAGAATATTTTTAAAGCCATTACATGATCTAGCAATAAGCTGATAACTCCATAAAGTTGAAGATCAACCTCGGTGTTCTTCGCATTATCAAGAAAATAATACATGATTAAGAAAACCAACGGATCATAAATCAAAGGCCTAAGCTTTTCAAAATAATATCAAAATTAAAAAGTCAAGTCCTTTTCCGCAGCAGATTACACTCTGTGTAATGAGTTATTATTGGAATTAATATCGCCATGCGTTAACAGACGCATCCTCTGAAATTGGGAATTGCTATTTCCACAAAATGAAGTTCTAGATCAAAGCCAGGTAGCATTAGGTTATTCACTAATTGGACGTATATGAAAATTAGGCATATAATTAGGAAAGCCATATATTATATAAAAAGCTGCTTCTAAAAGCTTAACTGCAAGAGCAACAACAAAACCAAAACCAAAAATAAAAAGCTTCAACACAAACAATAACTAGGCATATACGTCCATCTCTCCCAAGTCACAAGGGCCTGGGAAAGCCAGGACCATTATTCTTTCTTAATACCAACACCACTCACTCCTATTGGCCAATGCTGCTACTAATCAAGATCATAAACAAAAACACAGTTATAATTAAGATATAAAGCGAGCATCAAACTTGAGATGATTAGCTAGGGCATGAGGGAAATGGGGAGCCACAAGTGCTTGCCACCTTCTTGGCGTTTGGGGAGTTGACCAGCTTCTGGAGGTTAGGGTCCTTGACATACTTGCAAAGGCAAGGCCTCTGCTCCTTCAGTTTGCCGCAACATATGGCAGAGGGAGGGCTTGAGGATGTGATTGCTGTGGCGCATGGAGCTAGCTCCAGTGGGCTGCAAGTAACTGCTGCCGTACACACCTGGCTTCCCCCAAAGACAAGAACAAAAGCTACAACGCACAATATTGCAACATTATAATAACACACTGATTTCATCTTCAGCGTTCAACCAAACAACCAATGTATATGTTATTATGTATGTTATGTTGCTGTTTGTAACTAAGAGTCAGAGAGAGAGAGAGATAGAGAGAGATGGGTGCAGTGCAGCTTTAGCTAGGTCTCTTGGCAATTTATAGAAGAGTGGCAAAGGATTGCGATCAGTTTGAGATTAATCGGAGAGATTATTATTTTTTAAATGATTACACTAAACTAGTAGGATATTAACCAAAGTGCCCCACCCCACCCATATGCTTAACATAACATGATTAGCGACTGACCAGGATTTACCTATTTAAATCACATTGCATTTCCCCTAATGGCTTTATGTTTTAAAGCGAACATTTCACTTTTAATATCTTATCATTGTGGCGAACGGGGTCTAGCTCAATAGAAAGAGCCTTGAGTTGCAGGACAATAATCTCATATTCGAACCCTATAATACCTTGTAGTTTAAACCATCACTAATATTCAAATATATATATATATATATATATAGCCGCTGTGATTATGATGACAAGCTCAACACCGAAAGATCAACATTTGCCATCTCTTTCATCACCAGTGCTAATTTCATTTGGTCAATGGTCAAATATTACTAGCCAGTCTAAATCACAATCTTCTTTTGATGTTAAAATGATGTTAAAATGATGCGAGTTTATGCATGCCACTGCCATTATGCCATATGTGCACTAATGATGATTGTTGGATGGAGCATGCTTAATTATCAGTGGCTCATGTGGTTCAGATCCACCGCACCCTTTTTTATCCAACTTGTGGTCCACTCCAGTCACAAAAGCCACGCCTTATTTACCACTTCCCTCGTCCAAATAATAATAATAATAATAATAAAATCTCAAACTCTGTAATTATTAGCAACACTAATTACCCTAACCACCATGTCAAAAGAAAAACAAAAATCCAAAGATTGGGCTATATAAATCGTTTGGCAATCGCATTATTCGTAGATTTTAGGCCCATGACAAAGCCCAAGACCCAAATAATTCATCCAAAGTTGTTCAGCCCAGGACCCAACTCCTCTTTTTTATTTTATTTAAATTTATAAAGAAAATCCTGATTATTGAAAGTGATGAGCTAATCAAATAATTATACGTGTATTAATGTTCGAATTATTTTCTTTGGTAAACTACAGTAAACTCCCCAACCTATAGGGTTATTTACGAGTTCATACATGATTTTGGGAACATTTACGAGTACATACTCAAAGTCACGGAAAACCTACAAATTGTCATCTCCGTTAGCGAGATCGTCATAAAATCAGTTATCTGCCTATGTGACATTTGTTGAACCTATTTTTAATTGACGTGGAGTTCCACGTGGACAAAAAATATTTTATTTTTTATTTTTTAAAATTATTTTAATAAATTAAACATATTAAATTAAACATTAAACATTAAACATTAAACATTAAAAAAAATTTTAAAAAACATACCCAGACTCTCTCTCTCTCTCTCCTCTCCTCCTAGCCCCCAGCCACCCAAACTTACTCAGGCCACCTATCCCAGCCTTAACACCTCTCTTGTTCCAGCCCAACCTGTCACCTCCCCCATGCCACAGATCTGATCGTTTTCCCCAAAACCACAAACCCCAAAACGATGATCGTTTTCCCCAAACCACAAATCCCACAGATCTGATCGTTCTCCTTCGCATCCACCATCTTCCCCACATAAAGAAGCTTGGCGTCGGTTTGCAGTGAAGTTTAAGTTCTTTTTGAAAATTCTCTGTCTCTTAGGTTTGGTAATATTTGGATCATTCATTTTGCTTGTTGAAATTTAAGAAGAAGGAAATGTGCCATTCTTTTATGAAGTCTGAAAACAAAGATTCCCTTAAAGTGGAACAGCATAAGATGATGCTCATGTTATATAAAGGAATTACACTAACAGTTTTAATATAGGCAAGATGATCTTTGGGCAGGGAAAAGATTAAGAATGGCATTATATGGGCAAGATGATCTCCGACGTAGCGAACCCAAACCCCATAACGCCATCTGGCACCGGTGGAGTCGTCGTCCCTCATAGGCCCTCGCGATTCCGCCGCTGCCCTTCTCGGATCGATCATCCCCAGTAGGCAACATGCGACATCATCCACTCGCCGTCTCTTCCTCCCCAGCAACTTAGGCTGGTTGCATAAGTGGGTTGCAATGGCTCGGAGGGTGTAGGGAGGGTTGGCTGGAAAGGAGGGGATGGAATGGGGCTGGTGCATCTGGTTTCTTCTCCAGGCTTCTCTCCGGTGAAAAAGATAGCGGCTGAGGATGGGGGCACAGGTGCTGGGTTTCGGGGTGGAGTTGGTGATGGCTGAGGGATTTAGTCAGGATTCATATTGTGGGTTGGGTTGGATTGGGTTGGAGAAGGTGGTAGGAGGACAGAGAGAGAGGATGACGGTTGACAATGGAGGGGGATATCGGAGAAGATGGATTTTTTTGTTTGTGTTGGGCTGCCATGGATGGGTGTTGAGGGAGGGTTGCGACGGGGGAGAGTGGTGGGTTCTTCTGGGTTGGTTTTTTGTTTTTTGTTTTTATTTTTATTTTTTTATAAGAGTAATGCTACACTTACCACATTTTTATCCCACATTTCTATATCACATGATGTGGAATGTCTATATTATATGCCACATCAATTAAATCAATTAAGTGTATTTTAATTAAGGCAATTAGAAAAACAAATACTGGAATAAATCATAAAAGAAAAGAAAATATTAAATAATTTTAATTGATGTGGCTGTCCACCTCAGCTGCCACATAAGATAGTATAAAGATATGGTATACAAATGTGTTAAGAATAGCATTATTCTTTTTATAATCAATTTTAAAATAATTTTAATGATTTAAAATTAGTTTTGAAAATTATATAATTATTTATTATTTATTTGTCCACCTGTAAGTCCACCTCATAGAAAAATGAAACCCACATTCGCCACGGAAGCAGATAACAGATTTCTTGGCGATCTCGCTAATGGAGGGGGCAATTTGTAGATTTTCTGTGATGTTGAGTATGTATTGGTAAATGTCCCCAAAATTGGGTATGGACTCGTAAATGACCCTATAGGTTGGGGGGTTTATTGTAGTTTACTCTATTTTCTTTCACAAAAATGCGATATACCAAAACCATTTATAGATATTTAATACAGCGTGAATTTGATTTTATTATACTATTGATCTGGAATAGGCATGTGAAGCAATCTTGTAAGCCATGCCAAGGCCATTCCTTTCTTCCATGAAGTGATTTTCTTTGCTACCAAAGCTTAATTAGGAGCACGCTTCTTTTTGTATATATAAAGACCTAGAACAAAACAGGGGCAGCAGCAAGCACTGTTGCAAGCTAAGACGCAGTGACATTGAACAGAACCATATCAACCAACCAACAATGTCCATGCCCATGCGTCAAGGGCCACTGCATGCCATTTTTGGAGGAGGAAAGGGTAAAATCTTACACAAACATGGTACCATGATTTGCTGCACTTTTCCTTAAATTGGTTTTGGTTTTGGTTTTGTAGTGGCTGACATATTGTTATGGAAGGACAAAACATCAGCGGCTACAATCTTAGCTGTGTTCACCATAATATGGCTTCAACTTGAAGTACTAGAATACCAGTTTTTAACTGTTTTTTGTGACATCCTCATGCTGGCTATGCTTGCCATTTTCGTCTGGCACAAAGGGGCACAACTAGCCAACCTGTAATGTTTTTTTCTTCTTCTTTCTGACAAAGCGATATTTTAAACTACTCTAATTCATGTTCCTTGTTAGGTATGGTTTTAGGTCTCCAAGCTTGGTCTCTTACATCTGGAGTCCGCCAAATAGCAATAACTTTCAACTCTCAGAATCGACTTGTAGATACTTCTTTCAGCAAATTAACTTCTTTTTGTTCAAATTCTTAGAAATTTCAGCCGGAAAAGACTTGAAATTCCTAGTTTTGGTATGCAATTTTACTTTTTCTCACCAGTTTACCCTGACCATTCTCTAAAGATTGACAATGATATTAAGTGCTCAATATACAGGCAATGGTTTGTCTATGGATGTTTTCAGCTCTAGGAGATTGCGTCAGCTCTGTGAGCCTTTTATATACATGTAATATCCCAGAACAACATAAATACATACACATATTTGTACTGCAGATATATTTATAATTTCCTTATTTGAGAGCCTAACCTAACCAGTTTCTGTTTATTGGTATGAAGGCACTCTCCTTATCGGAACACTGCCTGCTTTGTATGAGAGATATGGTGTTCCTATCCGAGAGGTGAAGAAATTGTTCCAAATGTTTGAGTCCAAAGTTCTTAACAAGATTCCAGGAATGGGGAAAGAAAGAGTAAATTAGATAAAGTAATTCATCAGATTATATATTCAATTATGGATAAGTATCAGATTAGGTTCTCTTGAGTATTCTCTTCTGCTTATCACTAGCAATATAGTATTGAAGTATTGAGGGTAAATAATCCCACATTCAAATTGACATGTTATGAGGAACTCAGTGTGGTCTTATCCATTAAAATAAGTATTTATGGCATGAACAACTTTACTTAATTACTATTTACCAGAGCCTCCCTTATTTGACATGGTAAAAATTCAGAATAGCATCAACAATTGGGTTTTTAAGTTCCCATTGTCGACAATCGAGATGGCTCTCTCTATACTTTTTCAATTGATCTAATAAAATACTATCGCTTGTTTGGTCAAACAAGTTCCCATTGTTATACAGTTATACTACACTCGATCCAACTGGTCACACATCATTACTCTAGCTACTATGTTACTTCTCTTCTAGAATAATCTAGAGGAAGACAAGATGACGAGAAGCTAGATATATGAAAACAAGACATGTTGATTGATTGTTTCCAAGACTCAAGAAAGCTTTGTTTGTATGCTGGTTAGTTTAGTGCTTGCCTTCTTTCATCCGGCAAACATCAAACACAAGCATCCACATCATTACGCAAACTCTAGTGTAAAGTTACCAACAAAGAAAAATGGCAATTCTACTGACTTGAATTATCACGGCCAGATGAACTGTCAAAATAGGGAGCGTGATCGTCTACTTGTCACTGACTGATGAAGGCGGTGTTACCACATGCTAGCCAGCACCTTAGACTTCTACAAAGATTAAACATTCCCAAAATCAAAAGTGAAACGCTGGAACAACACAATATATAAACCATATAAAACAGTAGATAACAGAAGAAACAGAGCATATAAAGAAAGAAAAACCATTTGACATGATTCAGGAAAATCTAAAGGGGTGAAATGAACCTTGCTTATAATTGGCACTCTCTGGTTGTCAGCAGAAGCTGCGTTGTTTGTGTTGTTTTGGAAACTAGACTCTCCTTGGTTTGCATAGTTGAATGTGTGAGAGAAATCTGTAGCAAATTGCGGCTGACCCATATTTCTGGACCTGGATGTGGTAGTGGCTGTAGGCATTACTTGCGAAGCAACGAATGGCATCGGCATTTGCAATTGGGGATTAACAGGAAGAACTCCTGGTGCAGACATTAGAGGGAACCCTGCAGTTGCTGGCCGTAATGGATTGAAGCGGGCTGAGGGAACAGACATGATTGGAAGGCCTGTTGTTGAGTAGCACATATTAACCATTCCCATTCCCATTCCATACGCATTGCTCGTTCCCATGGGCACATACGACATGAATTGAGGTGTTTGTGTGCTTTGCATCCCAGCCATGGACAAATTTGAAGCCTGGTACAGAGCTCCTCCCCCCATGGACATCATCTGATGTACATAAAATGCATACACAGTATCACTATTATTGAGTTGGGCAATTCAAAGTTTAATTGAACAGACATTTGCACGCATATAACAAAAATGCAGAGAGAGAGAGAGAGAGGATACTTGTATTTGAAGCTTGAGGGCTTTAATATGTTTGATGGCATCATCCAGCATTGAAGCTCGGTCTGACTAAAATTTGAAAAGCACAATTGGTTCAGTAACAACGAGAAGAAGGAAACAATTAATATGTAGAAGATGAGTCTCAGCTTGCTCATCATCCTAGTCAGCAGCATAATCTACAGAGTCATCAAACAAATAGTTCTGTGATCATACATACATACATATACATACATATATAATATATACTTATTTTATACAAACAATAAGTGCTGCACAAATTATGTTCCCGAAGTTGGAGACATGAACATTCAGTAGTAATTTTGTATTGAGTGGTAGATTATTTTCCTGAAACTTATTAATTAAACAAATCTAAAGCAAGGAGATAATTATTAATGAATGAAATGAAACCACCATTACCGTGTTACAGTTGGGTATAAGTTGCTGCAATGATCCCAGCTTCCCCCGGATTTTCTTCCTACGCTTCTGCTCAAAACTAATGTAATTAATAAAATATAAAGTGCAATTAAATAGTGTACAGCAGGCTTAATACCCTCTCAGACATATTATGTAGTTCAGCAGCACGTGTTCTTTTGGGCCGGTCGTCTTGCTTTTGGCTAATTTCTCCAGACACTGATTTTGTCTCCTAATAAAAAAAATTAAGCAAATAAAAGAGGAAGTTAGTAAAAATGAGTAAAAGAAAGTTCCGAAGGAGAAACTAATTGAAAGTAGTATTTAATTTAATTTGTACAGACAGACCATAAAACGAGAGGTGGTTTTTAGTCCACTGGACGATTCTCCCTTGTCGAAATCACATACGAAGTGTTTGTCGGATGAAAAAATAGCATTGGGTGTAATTGTTGGTTCAAGCTGAATATTGGACAAGTCTTCAAATATTTCTTGAAAACACTTGTGATTATGATCTTCTGCTGCTCCAGTTGCACCACTAGCACCGCTAGTATTAATATTCCAAACAGAATAATCATGATCAGTTTCAGTTTCAGTTTGAGGATGCGGATGATGATGAGGGACAACAGAATCAGGAAGCGGACCAAAATCTTCATATTGAAAACTCTTAGAAGAATCACCCTCTTCCGTGGTGGTGGTGGGGGCGGCCCAGTCGGGCACTTGGTGCGTCATATAATGAAGTGTAATGGGCAACCGCCACGTGGCTAGAGCACAGGGCACAAACGCAACGCACTCGGAGATATTATTCGGACGAACCGTCAAGAGAACTTGGTTTAGTGGTAAACTAATTAATGCAAGTGGCCAGGAAGATAGATATGGAATGAACAAGGTCACTATTCCCAGGTGGATATGTGTTGTTAGTTTCCGCGGGTGCCGCTTAATATTTTTCAAAGGACAATGCATGCAGAATGAGGATAGAGAGCGGGAATTCGAAGGGAGGGAATGAACCAACAGAAAAGTATCATTGGACTGCCTGTCGAACGTATGGTTGGACTTGGGGAGTGGCCCTTGCAGCTCTTGTAGTTGTCTATTTATAAGGGAAGTAATGTTGGGTTGCATTGCATTGCATGCGTGGTTGTGGTTGATATTCGGGTTTAGGGACAGCTGCCTTCACTCAGTCTGCTTCTCGTATGAACCCAGACTTCAGCAGCGTATCTCTTGGGGTGGTGGGTCCTCCTCACTACTTCCTTTTGTCCCTTAGTTGGACTACATGTCGGGTACAGCTCGACACACGTGGACATTCTATGACTCGTGTCGACTCACGGAGCTCCCCACATCAGAAAAATCCCAATCTAATTTACTGTTATTTTCTTCTTTGTTTTGTTCGTAACCTCCTTACTATTTATTCATCAACTTGAACCCTCTCGTTACGCGTACGATATTCAAAAATTCTAATGCATGTTACTATATTAAAATTAATATATACGCCGGCCAAAACTCAGTCTGAGTCTGAAGTTATATTGGAAAGTGTTCCACGTGAAGCTGACGAACAAATAGGGCATGCAGATGCAGTTGCTGTCTTGTGTGTGTCCACTTTCACTTTCACTTCCACTTCCAATTCCAATTCCAATTCCAATTCCTTACTTACCTAGGGCCTATCTCTATCTCTCAAACCCAGACCACAGCACCGTTCTTGTCTTGCGTCTTTATTCGGCTATCAATACCACATTTTTTCATCACATTGCTACCACCTCTTTAATAGAGATTAGCCCTACCTGTATATATGGAACTCACTTGGCCAATCAAAAAAATTAAACATATAGAATCAAAGAAAACAGAGATTAAGAATTCAATACGATAACTTGAAACTCAATAACTTAACATCCACAAATCTGAATATTTGAATTAGGGCACCATCCTAGCCCGAGCGCTCATTAAAATATGGAAGTTTAATAACCTTAGAACTATTAATTGCAGCTCTTTTTACTATTTGTCTTTGCCGTGACTTTGCTAGTTTTGATTGCTTGTTTTGTTTCGTTTTGTTTAATCTCTTGCTTTCTTTCGAATTGCAGCACCCTTTTTGAGTTCTTAGTTGTGTTTCATTTTGTTTTTATTTTTAGTTAGTGTTAAGTGGTTGAGTCTCGAATGAAGTTAAGTTAAAGAACACTCGCATTTGCATTACACTATACTATAAATCGATTCGTGTACTTGCAAGTTTTAATTTGATTTAAATTGATCTAATATTTAGATTGGCTTTTGATGTCATTGTCGAGGATGTAGTGAGTAAATATGATACAAATAGCAATACCCTTTGGCTATGACTCTGGCCTATGTACGTTCTCTTTGCTTCTTTTGGGCCTGCGTCCCTGCCTTGGGCCTTTATAAATTTATCTGTGCAGACCCAAAAAAATTTGCAATTGCTTTGCAAATATATGCCAGGATCAGGTCGGTCTTTTTGTTTAAAATATGAAAATAAATAAATACATGAATGGATTTGTCATGCCGACAAAACGAGAGTATATGAATGAATGAATAAATAAATATAGAGTTTTTATCATAAATGGTCCTTGAGGTTTACCAAATTTATTTTATTCTTTATGTTTTTTTTTTTTTTTTTTTTTTTTTTTTTTATTGGTCCCTTATGTTACACCTCACACATCAATTTGGTCCTGCTGTCAAGTTCAGTCAAAATTTTCCGTTAGATTGCTGACATGGACACCACATGGATTAAACAATATTTTAAACATGTTGGGTTTTATCACAAATAGTCCCTGAGGTTTGCCAAATTATCACCTTTACTCCTTTATGTTTTTTTTTATAGACATTTTTGGTCCTATATATATATTTTTTAAATTTCACATTTAAAATCTTTTAGAAAAATTTTTAATTAAAAAAGAGAATTTTCAAAACATAATTTGTTTTTTATTCAAACCCACTTAGCATGTTATTATTGGACATGTATTATATACATGTCACGTCATGTCAAATTCATTATTTTTTGTTAAATTGATGAAAATTTCAAAAGAACCTAACGGATTTGACGTGACATGTATGTGGCTACATGTCCAATAATAACATGTCAAGTGGATTTGAATATAAAAAAATTTATGTTTTGAAAAAAAATTCTCTTTTTAAATGTTAAACTATTTTTTAAAGGGTTTAGGGTTTTTCAACAAAACCTAATGAATTTGACGCTACATATATGTGGAGCCTATATATCCATTAATAATATGCCAAGTGGATTTGAATTTAAAAAAATGTATGTTTTAAAAATTCTCTATTTTTTTAAAAAAAAATTAAAAAGATTTTAAATTTTAGACTATATATTTTTGTTTTTAAACATTTCTTCATTTAGATCCACTTGACATTTTCTCATTGGCTATGTGTGCACCACATATGTGTCATGTCAATAATTTAACAAAAATATTCAACGAAATCACAATGGGATCAAATTGATGTGTGAAGTGTAACAACATAAGGACCAATAATGTCAAGAAAAAAAAATATAAAGAACCAAAGGTGATAATTTCGCAAACCTTGCGGACCATTTGTGATAAAACCCAAAATATTTAAAACATTGTTTAATCCAAGTGGCATCTATGTCAGCAATCTAACTGAAAATTTTGACAGAATGTGACGACAAGACCAAATTGTTGTATGATGTGTAACATAAATGACCAATTATGTTAGAAAAAAAAACATAAAAGACCAAAGATGATAATTTGGCAAACGACAGGGATCATTTGTGATTAAAAAAAAAAGAAGCCATAAATATATATAATAGAAATGCCAAATGACGCATGACATGAGATGAGATGATAGGAAAACCGAAGCGAAGACCTCACCTCCATTGTCAACAACACCACCTTTCGTAAGTAATTGCCGCAATTGCGGATCTCTAGCTTTATGAAACGAGACCGCTCTCTCTCTCTCTCTGTGAGACTTTCTTGCTCAATTGTTCTCATTGTATTTGTACAACTATGTATGCTTAAGTCATGATAAATAATAAATAAATAAAAACTACGTATGCTTATGATGTGGTGCTTCCTTGAATAATAAATCTACTTAAATCTCATATCACAATTTGGGTTGACCATATATATACCATACAGTATATATGCTATATTTATTTACACGTCTCCATCTCCAACACGGTGAAGTGTGTGATTGGCCACAATATTATGATACGAGGGCATCGGATATAAATGATTCTTGCCGTCCTAGGAAAGAAGGAAACAGAGTCTTATCGATAATATTATAGCAGTCAGTCAGCTTATCATCAATTCAAAGCCTTTTTCGAAAAACCTTATCAGCCATTTCTGCGCACACACACAGACTGAGACAGACAGACAGACAGAGAGAAAGTGGAGGCAGATAAGATAGCCATATCATATTACGTATGGTGAGGGACTGGAAAGAGTTGTTGGCAAGAAGAGGGCATGGAGATGGAGGTAGTGGGAGTGGGGAGATTAGTTTAAGCAGCAGCAGCAGCAGTGCAGCTTTTGTGATGCTGTTCTTGTGGGCAGCTTTCGTCACCTTTGCTGTTATCTCAGCCATCATCTTCTCCTGTGCAGATGGTGTTCCCAAAGACAAAGCCTCCTCCGCCACTGGTACCCACGGCGCTACGTGCGCCGCTGCAGGCTGCAGCGCAGGCTGCGGTGCTTGATCAGAAACAGAGCATCAGCATCAGTGCTTTCATCTCTTGATTTCTTCCTTTTTCTCGGCTATGATTAATTGAATTGTTGCTTATTTCAAAGATAAAAGTTGCTTTCTATTACAGTTACACACGAGTGTGCTTATCATGATCACGAATATATTTTTCCACCCAGGGCCTTCTTATCTGGGTTTTTTTTTAATTTTTTTAAAATTTCAGTGGTTGACATGTTGCCATGACAGCGTTTGTTTGGTTGGGCAAGTCACATCAAGATTAGATGTCTCTTCCTCTTCCTCTTACCACCCATATGTGTTTGTTCCCATCTACAAATTTCATCTTAATATTATCAATTCAACGAATGGTTTCTAATCAAAGAGACCACCTCCATATTCCAATAATGAATATATATAAAACACCAATTTAAATCTTATACACACACTCACACGCTTACAGGTTTTAAAGTTTAAGATAAACATTACATATGGATGGATACTCTAGTTCTTGTATCGCCTTTTATTCACTCAGGCAAGTCAGCAGCCATGCTTTTGCTTTTCTTTCAGAATCATATGTTGGAGGCAGGCAGTAGCCAATGCTTTGGTCTAAGCTACTGCGACATTTACTTCTCAAGTCGTTTCCTAATTTCAGTGGAGGATAAATCCATGCGGAACTTCTCTTCTGGTATTGAGACGAACATATCTCTTAACTCCTCTGGAATATCAAAATCTTCAAGAACCTGACAAGGTTTTATGAATAAGAATTAACAACTTCCATAAAGGATAAAAATGAGTCGTTGGAAAAGAGAAGGAAGTTTGTCAAGCTTCTAATATGTGAACATACCATGAAAACACCATCCACATTACGACCACCCACGAGAAAAGTGGACCCTGTTTTCTTGAATCCAACAAGTATCTCCAGCATCTTCTTGTAGTCCCCGTCATAGTATTTGGGCTGGAAAGGAGGAAAAATTAACTTCAATGCTTCCATTCACAATTCAAAGATTACTATATATCTCAAAAATCATAAATCGATACAAGTAATATTTCAATATTCTATTAAACCACCTATTAGACAGATTTGATTCTGTTAAGGTAGTGATTAAATCCTTCCACATGGAATCAAATCAGCATGCATATCCACATACAAATGTCACAAGAAAACCATGTATTATACAATTATAATTCGTTAAATAACATACATTAATCAGCCTTGCTGCTGTGTCAGCACCAATCACAAAAGCACTGCCTGGGAAAAGTTCAGCTTTCTTATAGAAGTATGGCTGATTGGATATAATTACTGTTTTTCCTGTCATTAAAAAAGAAAGATGATTGGATATAATTACTGTTTTGCCTCAGAAAATTTCACGCATTCATCCCGTATCATGACTTATTATCCCTACACAAGCAGGAAATTGAACAGGAAAAAGAATTGAAACAGATAATCAGCCTCACCAACGTTCCCAAACTGCTTGACACGATCTTTGATTTGTGATGTTGAAAGTGGAGGTTTGTCAGCATTGACTGCTGATATTTCAAAGCATGGGTAGCTATTGCCACATAAGCTGCATAGAAATGAGTGATGGATGAGCAGCACTATATACAAGTGATATGATACATACGATTGTGCATGTGCATAAGATCCAGAAGAAACAAAGCAAATATAAAAGAAGAAATGATAAATCTCCTAAGAAAGAGTCTTGTCATCATCGACAATGTCAAAATAAATTGTATGTGGGTGTGTGATGAGAAAGAGGGAGAGAGATCAACAATCCTTCATCTGGCCCTGCTGCAACTCAGTTGCAGTTTCCCAAAGAAACCCAGAAGAACAAAACATTGATGGAAATTTTAGAAAAAGAAATGGAATCAAGAGTTGCAGTTAAAGCAAGCTGTTGTACCTAGTAGCAACCTCCAAGAGCTTCATGTGACCTTCATGTAATGGATTAAAAGAACCAGACAGTATTATCTTCCTTTCTGCAGTTGACATGTGTGGCTCTGCAAAACGGTCGATGAAAAATAAAGTATTATGCACAAGCACAGGACCACACTGACACATGCATGAGTATGGTGCATAATTGTGCTAGTAAAGGTTAAAGCATACCACTCGAAAATGGATAAACCTTAAAGCATATTTGCCCATTTATAAGTTGCTCCAACTCTTCATCTTCACTGAACTGCTTTTCACATTCATCAGGTACTTCGGAGTCAGTGAGCTCTGAAACAAATGTTCCGGGAACTTTACATGCATTTGCAATTGCCTGTAACCAAATTGATAGAAAGGCTGCATAAGAAACAAATTTAAAATATGAGTTTCAGCAAACCACATTTAGCAAAAATATGAAACTAACAAAGGGATGGCATTATGCTGCTAAATATTCACTTCCTATATATAAGGTCTCCAGAGTGATTAGTAGAAATCTTCTCAGACCTTGAGTAAAAGATGACTTGCAACCATATCTTCTTCCTCTCGATTTCGTAAACCCTAGAATGATAAGAAGCATGTTATAAGAAAATGAAAAACTTGAAAATCTTAGTCAAGACCAAAATAAATGACAATCACCTTAGAAAGGGTCACCGTTGATACCCAGAGTCTGTCAGATGTCCTTGTTGACAAGTGAAGCCTATACATCAAGAAAAAAGCATGACGCTAAACAGGCCCAGGTTGACCAAGCATGAAGTAAAAGCAACATCAACAAAACAAGCCCTTATGGAGGTGTTATGTGCGTAGAATATCTTGGAGTAAAACAACAAAACAAAATACAATGATACAATGACACCAACCAATTGCAGGTGTCATGTTGCAAAATGCAGCTTCTTAGCAGGATCCTTTGATTATGTCAAGCAAGTAATAAACGTTCCCATTTTTTGTTTCTACCCTGATTACTTGGTGCCTTTATTCATGCCTGCCTCAGCAAATCGGCTTCAGACTAAGTTGTGAAGTCACTGCCATCATAAGAATACCAAAAGAACGGACAATTGAAAAAAGGACCCTGACAATAATCCTAGTAACTTACTGATGTAGGAGCATCTATTAGACTTTCCTAATCTAAGTGGGCATCAGCCAATAAGGCTAAGTTTTAGTTATATTAAATTAATAGGTTATTTTATTACTTGTTTCCCTATTCTTACTAGGATTTGGTTTAATTTCCTGTTTAGGTTTTAATTTCCTTTGTCAATTAGGGTTTCTTATTAAACTAGGAACAGGAATGCTTGGCTGGTGTATTTTAGTATAAATAGGCTATTTAGAGACTCTTGTATTTAGTTTTTGTTGATGAATATAATTTCAGACTTTAGTCTATAGAGTTTCTGTTGGGATTGTGCCCTAGAACTCAATTATCTTCGTTCCAACTTCGATTCTACTGCTTTATCCTTCTATTCTCTGTATTTTGGGTATGTTTGGGTCGCTGGACAGCAGTTTATAGCCGCTGCCCCGCATCACTTACGTGGTAAAAACCAATGCTGAGTTGCTTTATGAAACAATAACTAATGAATTTCTGTCACTTTGACGAACAGGTACACTTGTAAAGATAAAGAAATTTAAAAAGATTGGCTAAGGGCCTAAGACCATAACAACTACATATCAATGTTTGCACTTTCCCTGAACTTTCCAGCTACATAGAAGAAAACTGTATATATATATTGAAATTATACCTGTGCTCCCCGAGTTTTGGACGTGAGGTAGCCAAAGTACCAGTAAAACCCACACCAACAACCGGAGAACCTATTGCATAGAATAAAAATTCCACATCAGTTCACATGTTGCATTCACATATACCTATAAACATAAATTGTGCGTTCGTCAGTGTGTGTGGCTACAGATGACACCTAGTAAGACTGTGTTTGGCACTAGGGTGTACAGAAAGTAGAAGTTCCCCACATGATGCAAAGGTAGCTACACAATTAAGCATACAAAATTCATATCACATCGTTAGGTCCTAATAAATTCTTCTGAACCCCAATTCAGTATGCAAGTATAAGAGTATATCTAATGCATAACCTGATGAGGAGAGCTTGAGAGCGCGATTGTAGGCCAACAAAGCCATTTCTTCAGCAGTGTGTGAGCTACAAAACTGGTTCGGAATCTGCCCCAAAAAAGCAACCAAATTTATAATTTTTGAAAGAAAAAAAACAGAACTTTTTTGTTAAATTATACAAAAATTAGAGCGAGAAACAGAAGAATTAAACAAAAGGAGAGGACGAACCTTCCCGAGTAACTGGATCATAGACATTCTGGAGTAGGGCACCACGGCTTCGAGGACTGTGCTTGAGGCTCCAGGAACGGATAGCAGCCACGCAACAGCCTGATTTATATTACTAATTTTAATTAATTAATCTTCATGAATTCTTCATCATAATTAATTAATTAATCTTAATATGTATGTATATATGAGGAGAGAGAGAGAGAGAGAGAGAGAGAGAGAGAGAGACCTGAGAGGCTCCGCCAGAGAGATAGAGGACGGACTGCGTGGGGCTTGCGTGAATGGCTTCCACTACTGTTTTCAGTCCCGCACTGATTATCATACCTTCCCTCATTTTCTTCTCCTCTCTTCTTCCTTCAGCATCATCCATTTCCTTCCTTCTTTTGGTCAGTCTTTTCTTCTGTCTGCTAGTCCGCGCTGGAAGAGAGAGAGAGAGCCTGTTAAACGGTGTGGTCAGCTTCTTATTTATTTAACGAGTTTTTTAACTTTTACGCGACCATTCAGCTCTTCAAATTGCCCAAGGCCCAAACAGTCATAATGGGCTCTAGGCCCATTCCATTCCAATAATAAAGCTGAAGCCCAACAAAGGCCCATTCAGCCAAGTCGTTTAAATCGTTATTCTTCATTGTTGTCCGTTGTCAGTTGTCAGTGCACGACTTTGTAGGGTCTATCGTTGAAGAAATTGATATGACATGGGAGATTTCATCCGAGATAGACGGAGGTATTTTCGTGTAAGCAATCAATAAAATGGATTGTCGTAACTTTGACGAGGATCTTCGCCGCCTATAATTCAGCTAATTAATCACACTAATAAGATTAGTCAAGTAACGAACTAGAAACTAGAAAGAAAATCACTCACTATAAGCAGAGAAGAAAGCTGAGAAGAAAGCTGATTGCTTTTTCGCTGCTGAAAATTTGAGAGAAAAGGTAGCTTTAATGAAAGCAACTTCGTGCTGTAAAGCTTCTCTCTCTCTGTCTCTCTGTCTTTTTGTAAAACTTTGGTGGTGTGGTGGCCTCGAGCTGGAGGAGCCTAGTGGGCCTTGTCCTCGCCAACCCTTTGAGGCGTGAGCAGCATGTAGCCTAAAATTCTAGACTCTCCAACTTAATCAATAATGGTTGCCTAATTATGCGTCCTTATTTCCTGATTATGAATCTAATTAACAGAGTAACGGCATAAATAATGTAGTGGGTAGAAATAGGATACTGTTGAGTTGCACTGCAAGCAAGGAATCAGATTATTCATCCTTGTGAATCTGTGATGGTGACAAGACAACACCCACCAGCCAGCCCTACACAAATTGTCCATATGTTATATTATTAATTAGCATATGAGCATTGCGGAAGGAAGACCATCAGCGATAACTTCTGTGCTGTGTGTAAAGTAAATCAATTCATGTTACACAACGTTGTTTGTCTCGTCTCCAGAACACAACTTACCAACTCAAATGCAGCCAACGTAAGCTACATTGCTTTTCAAATTAGTTTAAAACTGATTAAAAAGGTGCATAAAAGAAAAAAAGGAACAACTTGGTCCTTGTACAGTATGAACCTTTGAACCAGAGCGGAGACCAGTTAAAGTGAGGGATGTCCAATGTCCTAATCTATTAAGCTATTTAGTTTACACCCCCCCCCCCACAGTGTTATAAAGTTTATAAAGTGGGGTTCACCACTGACAAACGGCTACTCTCTAGACTCTGTAATTCACATGTCAATTTCTCGCCATCTTTACTCACGACATTTACAACTGTCAATTCTGCTGTTCTTTTCTATTTCAATGCCGTGTCAGCAAAACCTTTGTCCATTAGTGTTTAAATTAATATTGGGAAGCATCAGTTTATTATACTAATTATAGAAATTTGGATTAATTGGCCTTTCCAATGAATAATATAATACGGTCTTCGTCGGAGCAGAGCAGGTAGTGGCCATAATCATCTTATGTTCCCTTAACGGCTTATAAACTCGTGTGGAACAATCATGACTGTCTAATGCACTGCCTGCCTGCCTGCCCTGCCTCTCTCTCTTTTTATTTCATTCATGCAAATATGTTGTGGTCACATGTGTGTTCTGTTCTTCTGTTGACGATAACATTTTTTCATGCTGTACAAATTACAAATCCGAAGTTTTTCTCTTCTTCTTTTTTTTCCTTCCTAGTTGATATTTCTTATTTATTTACCAACCAAATGGAAATGTGCCCATGAACGAAAATCTCGCGATAAATTATATTGCAGAGATTTGACAGTATCATTCATTACCATATGGATTCCCACACCGTCCTTCTCTTTAAGCCATTTTCTCTAATTTTCTATCTTCCCAAGGTCTTGCTTGCTGAGCCTTTAGCGTTCTATACTACGCTTTCTCTTCTCCCTCACTGTCAAAGCTTTCACACTTCCCTTCCCTCTTCACCTCCGTTGTCTCTCTCAGCTTTCTCCACAACCTTCACTTGGGCTTCTGGTACTGAAAGGTAATCCCTTTGAACTCCAAACTTTGTTATTTAGATTTGTTCCAACGGTCAAAATTTTCTGCTGGAAATGTTTTATTTGGTTTTGGTGCTTCTGCTGCTCTGCAACTCTCATGTACCGGTGGGTTCTTTGAATGATGAAGGCTTTGCGCTTTTGTCGTTCAAGCAGTCCATGACGGAAGACCCAGAAGGGTCTCTGAGTAACTGGAACTCTTCTGATGAAAACCCCTGTACATGGAATGGGATTACATGCAAGGAACAAAGAGTTGTGTCTCTTAGCATTCCGAAGAAGAAACTTTATGGGTTTCTTCCGTCTGCCATGGGGTCTCTCACTGAGCTCCGCCATGTAAATTTAAGAAACAATAAGTTATATGGAAGCTTGCCCCTTGAGCTTTTTGAAGCCCTGGGGCTCCAAAGTTTGGTCCTTTATGGGAATTCCTTATCTGGGTCTGTACCAAATGTTATTGGTAAGCTCAAGTACCTTCAATCCTTAGATTTATCACAAAATTTATTCAATGGGTCAGTGCCCTCCTCAATTGTACAATGCAAGAGACTGAAGACCATCGATCTTAGTCAGAATAACTTCACTGGGTTTCTACCAGATGGGTTTGGAGCTGGTTTTGTTTCTCTGGAAAAACTTAATCTTTCTTTCAATAAATTCAGTGGTTCAATTCCTAGTGATATGGGAAATTTGTCTAGCTTGCAAGGCACTGTTGATTTGTCTCATAATCTATTCTCCGGTGCAATCCCAGCTAGCCTTGGAAACCTTCCTGAGAAGGTTTACATTGATCTCACTTATAACAATTTAAGTGGTCCAATACCCCAAAATGGAGCTCTAATGAACAGAGGACCAACTGCCTTCATTGGGAATCCTCGTCTTTGTGGCCCCCCATTGAAGAACCCGTGTTCTTCAGGAACTCCAGGTGCAAGTCCGCCATCCTCAATTCCATTTCTGCCAGATAACATCCCGCCTCAGGATTCTGATGATAATGCTGGAAAGAGTGGGAAATCAAGAGGGTTAAGTAAGAGAGCTGTGATTGCAATAATAGTGAGTGATATAATTGGTATTTGCCTTGTTGGGCTGCTTTTCTCATATTGTTATTCCAGGATTTGGGCTTTTAGTAAGGTCAAGGATGAAAATGGGTATGGAATTGACAAGGGTGGAAAGGGAAGGAAGGAGTGCTTGTGCTTCAGGAAAGATGAATCGGAAACTTTATCAGAAAATATGGAGCAGTATGATCTAGTGGCATTGGATGCACAAGTGGCGTTTGATCTGGATGAGCTTCTAAAAGCATCTGCATTTGTTCTTGGAAAAAGTGGAATTGGAATTGTTTACAAAGTTGTGCTTGAAGAAGGACTTACCCTAGCAGTGAGACGATTGGGTGAAGGGGGCTCGCAGAGATTCAAGGAATTTCAGACGGAAGTAGAAGCAATTGGAAAGCTAAGGCATCCTAATGTCGTTACTCTGAGGGCTTATTACTGGTCTGTTGATGAAAAGCTGCTCATATACGACTATATACCTAATGGCAGCCTTGCCACTGCCATTCATGGTAAGCTCACCATCTCTTCTTGCCCAATTTTGCTGTTTGTACTCTTCTTAATTGTATTTGTATTTAGCTCGGGTGTTTATCTCAGATTTGTGGTGATTTTGTTGGTTTGATTGTTTTGGTGTGTCATCAGGGAAGCCGGGAATGATATCATTTACACCACTATCGTGGTCTATTCGGTTGAAAATCATGAAAGGAATTGCAAAAGGCTTGGTCTATCTGCACGAGTTTAGCCCTAAAAAATACGTCCACGGAGATTTGAAGCCAAATAACATACTGCTTGGACAGGATATGGAGCCCCACATTTCTGATTTTGGACTTGGACGCCTTGCAAATATAGCCGGAGGGTCCCCGACGCTTCAATCCAATCGAATGGCCACAGAAAAATCACAAGAAAGGCAACAAAAGAGTGCATCAACTGAAGCTACTGTAATTAGTCCGTCCAGTAACTTGGGATCTTGTTATCAGGCTCCAGAAGCTCTGAAAGTGGTGAAACCATCACAGAAGTGGGATGTCTATTCTTATGGGGTTATCTTACTTGAAATGATTACTGGCAGATTGCCAATAGTCCAGGTGGGTTCCTCAGAAATGGACCTAGTTCATTGGATTCAGGTCTGCATTGACGAGAAGAAGCCTCTTTTAGATGTTTTAGATCCAAATTTGATGCAAGACGTGGATAAAGAAGAAGAGATTATTGCAGTTTTGAAGATTGCAATGGCTTGCGTTCATAGCAGCCCTGAAAGGAGACCAATAATGAGGCACATTTCTGATGCTTTGGACAGATTGGCTACATCTTCTGTTTGAGATGATATCCTCCTGATAGTGGTGAGTTCAATCCACTTGTGAAGCTTGATGTTTGGGTTAGTTCAATCTTAGTGAATAGATGACCCGGTTATGATTGGTGTATGTGTGTATTTGGCGTAGGTTTTATGACAGTAGGATTCTCTTGTTTTTCTACTGTCATTTGATAGAGGTAGGTGGAGGTAGGTCTGCTGCAAGAGCATTGTTAACTGGATTGTGCATCTGTTGGCCCTTGATTAGTATATATTTTGTGAAGGATGTCTTCATGCTCTTATTGCAGACCTTTTGTATCTTGTGTTGTTCTTGTAGGTTAATGAAGTTGATGATTTCTTTCTTGGTCTATGCACATCCTCACACCATTACCTAATCTCTTAAGCATCATCTTTGTTCTTAATCTTATTTTAACTGTATGTCTATCAAATTGTAGGATTAGGATAGTTGAGTTTCTAGCTACCAAGCATGTAGCGCGAATGTAGGGATAGTGGACTCCACCAAACCATTTAGTCAAATCTGCAAGAAGATTCTAGCTGTCCTCTGAGTTTAATTGGTAATTAATGTGCTTATTTTATTGACTTCAACAGAGCTTCTTTTTGTCGGAATGTATTTGGTCTATTATGTCCAACTCTGCTTGCTATTTATTTACCAAGCTTTGAGTAGTGATTTTCACAGATTCACGTGCACGAGAATGTTTTGTGTCCGCGTGTCTGCCCATGAGTGACTGATAGATAAGAAGAACAACAGTGTTATTCAACATTGTTTCAGCTTGATGCCTTTCTTACTATTCAAAGCGCCGTGGCATTTGCAGGTATGGCATCTTTATGGATGCAATGCAGAAGGGTTTTTTGTGCGTACAAGACGTGCCACTGCTGGTTCTGTTTTAGGGTTTAGGACCTTAATCTAATTATTAATTAACTAACATTAAATTAATCTCTCAGATTAAATAGATGAACACACTTTCCAAATGTAATTGAACTGTTTCCAAAGTTAAAACTGCCTCCAAGTCAGAGATGCTCTCGAAGCACATATGAATGAAAATGCAAAATGGGAAAGGATAAATTAGTTAAATTTCAAATAAGAGGAAAGAAGAGCTTCGTTCTTTCTTGCAATCCTTAGCCGCTTCACGCATTCTACAAATTCCCTGTCACATTTTAAACGAAAAGCTTCAATGAATAACTTGGTTCAATACCATGCTTTGCCATAAATGTCAGATCTAAAATAACACACCTCCATGGAACATCACCAACAGTTCTCCAGTTGTCATCACTGTCCTTGTAGAAAAGTGAAAATTCTGAACCAGTCTGGAATAACCTTAACCCGGATACGGATTGTCTACCTGAAACAAATGAACCACTTGTTAGTTTCTGAGTGTAAAATCCTCCCTCCTTTGAGATTATTTGTACACCTACCAAACATGTCTTCTAGTTGAAATGCAAGACTTGAGTAACCACTATGATCAAGTATACAAACTTTTCTGCCAATGATAATCCCATCCATGTTCACTTTCACATAAGCCCACCTCTCCTTGCTTTGAACTCCCTCTGCCTCTTCATCACAATCTTCTGGGTTGTTTCTTGGATGTATAATGCTAGAATTCTTCAAATTCAGGTTAGCCTGTGGCCAATCTATCAAATCATCATATCCCTCCAAGCTTACCACTACACATAAACATGCAATTAGCACATGTCACAAAGCAGAACAGAACCATAAAAAAAACAAAGGAAAGAAGGAAATTTTACACTGCTCAGATGGATGGTAAGTTTCAGGCTGCAGAGCTCTCAGGCTGAGACCAAGATCAATTATGCCATCATTCTCTTTGGCTTCATAGTAAACTGACTGCAGGGTTGAGGGATTGAAGAGAAACCTCGATGCATTGGGATCCATTAAGATTAAGAATACATGAATATCCTCCCACCACATACAGCATTGGCTAGTACAGATATACTTATTTATACTAGCAAGCAGAAAGCACTGCTGACAATTAATGTGGCAAGCAAGAATAAGTGGACCAAAGGCATTTAACATGGAAGACAGAGAAAGTCTGCTTCCATTCTCAATCATTCAGTGTACTTATCTTCTTGTGCTGCTGCTGCTGCTGCTGCTGCTAGCCTGCTACAAAACATAAAAGTACAAGAAGTTAGGAACAAAACACTCCACAAGGACAAGGGATGGTCAATGTGATTCTCTGACAGCAGTTGGTTAGATTCTGCAACCCAAGCTTCTTACAAATAAAGGGTTCCACATTTCACGTCGGAATCCAACCGCAATCGGACACAGGAGACCGATTAAGTGCAGGATAACGTGGATTGATCAGTTCATGCATATATATATACGTGTTCATTTCAACACCATAGTATATCAAAAGTATCTTGTTGCTACATTTTGCGTCACGTGGACCTCTCCAATTTACCACATAACCATTTCACTGAGTTTACATTACTTGTTCTCTGAATTCAGCAAAATACAAGTCTTAAACGACAAGTCTCATTTTTAATTCCGTAACCTCTGGTTCATTTTGTTGGCTGGTTTCTATTGAATTTCAGATTGCTACTCTTGAAGGGAACAACGAGACTGGTCAGGACCCTACATCCCATTCCAGCATGCCCTTTAAAGTACTGGACATGAAAACACGAAGCACTGACGTAGACGCTGGGCCATTGGATTGAAACCGGAGCATAAAACCCTTTTAACGAAATGGGAATATAGGCTTTCTGGACTAAGATGATCCCATTTTTCAATGGCCATGGCTAGCTAAACTTGAGCAGGCCCAATTACCACTTGCCTAATTCATCGATGGGTGGCGAAAATGAACACCGGAAATTTTTGGTCAAGAAAAGTTTCATTACTCAGGAACACCAGAACTTAGGTAATTGAAATCAAGAGATTAATTTCACCCAAGGCAAAAAGAAGGCAAGAGATATTAAAATACAGACGCATGGAGTTCAAATCCATAACTGGGGTTGGTATGCGATACAATACCACAAGCAGCTGATAAAACGCTGAAAATACCGGAAAATGTAACATCAAATACTTGCGTTCCCTTTTGCTCATAAACACTTAAGAATGACTCTAACTTCAGCAAACAAACAATGACCCTTTCTGATGCACAAGGTTGACCAACAAATAAATAAAGTTCAATGCACAAGTGGTGATCAACTGTGTTTTACTACTATATGTCCTCAAACCAAAAAACAAAGAAAAAAAGGTATCTTCCTGTGTATCAACTTATGTTTGGGAATTTAGTGTTCTTCCTGCATGGAATGCTTCTCTGGCCCCATCATCCTAAAGTAAAGAACATGATCAGGACGTGCACAAATATTAAAGGCTTTCCAAGCCTGTTGTGAAATCAAGCTTACTCCAGTGATGAATTGAAGCGATTAAGTTTCATGGATTAGGTAATCATGTTGAGTCGTGCCGACTAAGAAATTCGATTATACAGGGATAGATCTGCTCCGCTGCCTGCACTTCAAAATATATAACTATAAACAAGTGGCTATGCAAACAAATAATCACTAGAGCACATCATTCTATTGCAACATAAGAGAGAGAAGAATATTCCATACCATTCGGCCTCCCACCAAATCATAATGAGCATAGTGTGGACCTCCAGATTCTCCAAAAACTTTATACGTAACCAGGTGTTGTGGAATCAGCTTAACAGTTTCTGGTCCATCAAAGTATCATAAGCATGAATCAGACCACCGCCCCAAACAAAAACCTAAAAACATAAGACATCTCTGATATGATTTTACCCTCTACAGCTTCAGGCGGGCATATTAGATCCTGATCTCCAGCAAGTGCCAAAATAGGGACACTGCTTTTGTGCAGATGATCCTTATACAAATAGGTACCTCTCCTGTCACGTAGTCCACCCTCCCTAAAAGCTGTTGTTAGCTGCAACAGAAGTTTTGCGGGTACGGTGCCTGCCAGTTGTAATTGTATCTTATGTTTATTACTAATTAATAATATAAAGTTATTCAGCCAACAAACAAGAAAACTATATGAGGTTCAAATAATATATTTAAGCTTTCCAATTAATACCACTGGCTTAGGCCCTTGGTATCCGAGGGACATGTTTCCTATCTTAAGGTAAGGATACAGGGTTCAACTGATCATGCACGAGAACAGATAACCTTAGGTATTCCTCTGTTATTGAGCCCACAGAACCATCTGCAACACTTTTTGAAGGTTCAACAAGTATAGAATCAATGGTTGACTTGTGGATTAGTCAGTAGAAGGCAGCCATGAAGTGACTCTAGCAATAATTTTTTGAATAACTAGCCCTAATTCTTATGATATTGCAAATCTTAGGATGAAATTAACAAAGTATATCAAGTCAGTAGGAATCTTACAAAAGTTATTCAGAACAAGCTTTTTCAACAACTCTGGATGCATCATGTCCTCTGCTGAAATCAGATTATTGAGCCACGAGAAAACATAAGGAGGACGGGTTGAGAGAGGATAAGCAGCTGCCAATAATGTTCCTAAAGGAATAACTGGGACATTGAGAACCTGGGCAGGATCTGCCTGTATGACAAGTTCCTTGACATTAGTTTCTTAACACTGTTTAAGCTACACTTAATCAGACGGTCATTGTAATTAATTTAAAGATGATCTACCACGACTATCTCTGCATCCACTTACAAGGGGTATGAGCAATTTGAGAGTTGATTTTGAAGGTGTGTAATCAAGTGATGATGCCAATGTAACAACAGCTGCTAATTTGGACTCTCTTCCTTCAGAAACTTATAAGATGAAATAAATGAAGGTATCAGATTCATATGCTCAAGCATTTCTTACAAAGGCTTGCAAAATGAAAATAGGCACCAAAACATAAGTAGGAACCAAAACTGGAAAACATTCAATCAATGCTACATAAGACCAGAATTTAATGAAGTTCTTAAAAAACAATCACAATTTCTAATTTTAGATAAGAGCACGTCATCAACAACAAAGGAGATATTTACAAACAACGCAATGGTCTGCACAAATCTTATTGTTGGACAACTAAAACCATTGCTCTTAAACAGTGCTCTTAATACGAATTAAGACGCAAAGGCACTCCACCCCAAAAGGCAACCAATTTTATTTATAGTCTAACATAATACGTTAGAGCTGTGCACACCACCCCAAAAGGCAACCAATCTTATTTATAGTTTAACATAATACGTTAGAGCAGTGCAATCCACCCCAAAGGATAATAAAGAAAAGAATATTATATGCATGGGAAGGAATGGAATCTCACCGCATCGTGAAAGCATTGCGTAAAGCAAGATACCTCCCATTGAGTGTCCAATGGCTAACAACTTCCCATCCTTTGGCTTACTTTCTGCCATTATGTACTCCATCTGTACGGTTAACATTGAAGACTATAAATTCATCTTGTAAAAGGTAGAAAAAGTTATTTGATTCCATATAAAAGAAAGGGTAATATCCGTAATCAAACTGGATGTTTCTTCTAAAGACTAAAATCAAAATGGGCAAACATGTGATAGCCTTCCAGCAAGATAAATTGTCACCTCACCACAGCAGGTACATCCTCTTCCAAGTAATGATCAAAGTCCCAATCATACTTCACTATCAAGTCAAGCTGTTTCTGAAAATCTTCCAGTGTGGAAGCAAAACGCTCCTGTAAGTCAAACAATGGGGGTGAAACTGATCGCTGACCTTCTTCAATGATAGTTACAAGCCTTTGACTGAGGTCCCTGATCTGGCTAGCAATAGATGAGTTTTGTCTTGTCTCTAAGAGGCCTGAAAGCTTATCGCTTATCTCATTAAGACGCTCGGATATTGTAGAATCAGCGAAAAGTTTTGAAACTTGGTCAAGTAACTTAGCAGCCATGATTTTTGACTGACCTTCACTGAGAAAGCCAGAGAATCTTTCTGACAACTGCGTAAATGTTTCTGTCAACCTAGTCACTGATTTTGATTCGTTGCCTACAGTAATTATATTTGTAACGTCTCCTTTGCCAGCTGAAATGTCATATTTTTCTTCTTGGGCAGGAGTCTCAGGTGCTGAGGCACCAGGAAAACCATTTGATTGGCTTTTTGTAATGTCTCCCTTGGTAGCTGAAATATCATATCTTTCTCCTTGGACAGGAGACTCAGGTGCTGAAGCACCAGGAAAACCATTTGATTGCTTTTCTGCAGAAAAAGCTGCATTAGTTGCACCCGCAGAAGCACCTTCCATCTGATCAGATCTTGCATGGGCAGACTGCTGGATTTCCTTGCGATTTGGTTCGTGCACGCTCAATCCAGCACCACGAACTTCGAGAATCCATGTCTCAAATCCTTGCTTTGACATGTTACGTGCAAAAGAAGACTGCAAATATGCCACATTCATCAGCAAACACAAAGGAACCAAACCCATAACACATATACAATGACATTGATAACTTTAGTCTTTAGAGAAAAATAAAAATATCAGAAGAGGGTCAAGGATGGTTGTGAAAGTAAATATGAGATTTGTCCAACTGAGAGAATATGCCAGACCAGTGATTAGAATTTACAATTTTTCTGAATAATCTGTTATAAACTAACAACAGTATAACAAGAAGAATCGCATAAAAGTTCTGAGCTATGCCGTAACAAGAAAAATGAAATTGATTTAGTAAATAAAAGAACAATTGAGGCATTTAATAATAATTAAATCGTGCAAATGTTACCTCAGGAGAGAGATCATATCCAATGGCATTGGTCCCCACCCCCGACAACAGCAACAATGGGTGATTCCTCTGAGGCGCCTGTTTCAGTAATATTCACTACTCAGTATCTAATCCTTGCATAACTCAACTCCTAAAAATCAAAATACACTCTTTTCACAAAGAAATGAGCTTCTTCTTTTTTTGGGCTTCTTTTTTAAGTAAATCTAGTACCTTGGGGCAAGGGCGGTAGCGCCAGAGGGCGAGCTTCCAATCGGAGTTTGGCACGGACACGTAGTGGAGCTCATCGGCGGTACAAATCGACGGCTTCTCCGGAAGCTTCACCGCGGCCTCTCCCGCACCGGTGGAGAAGGCTCTGAGCCTGAACGACGTCGTCCAGCACGAGGTCGACAGCGACAGAACCCGGCGCGCCGCAGAGGCCCGCATGGCCATGAGGTGGGGAGTGAGAGACCGAATTGTAGATAATGAAGGCGACGACGTCGTCGCTGACGATGATGAAGATGCTGCTGCTGTGGGAAGGAGACGCGCACAACGAATATCGTACTGAATCGTCGCCATCTGATGTTTTTGCCTTGGGTTTTGTCGATTTTATAATTCCAACATTTGTTTTGGCCGTTGAGACGGTGGTTGTGGTGATGAATCTGATTTGGTGCTCTTTCTCTCGTTGCGACAGCACAAGATTCGTCGGATGTAGGTGTGTTCAGATGATTCGTGGGCCTGAAATATAAATGTTGTTTGACTTCATGAGAAGCAAACCAAACCAAACCAGGGAGGGACCACTGCCGAACATTTTAGATTCGATTTTTTTATTGTTTTTTATTGGAAAATAGAATTTAGATTCAACTTGGGGCAGGTGGATTGGATAAGAACACGTTCAACTGATCCCATCCTCAACTGTGATGAATGGAATGTATGGTTTAAAGGCCCAAAAAGCAAGTCTCAGCTATTGGACCTCAGCCCATTTGTCTAACGACGGCCCAAATACTCTTTCTTCCTTTCTCTCACTTTACAGAACAGAACCAGAAAAAGCCTAAACGAGCTTCCAACGCCTGAAGCCGCCATCTCTCTGCTGAAGCAGTGCCAAGTTTCACCATGACTAGTGGATATGGTGGTGGGAGTGGGGTCGGAGTGAAAGGAGTGTTCATAGGAGCAGGTTGCAACAGAATAGTGAACAACGTTTCATGGGGTGCTTGTGATTTTGTCGCTTTTGGTGCCCAAAACGCCGTCGCTATTTTCAACCCCAAGGTCCGCTCCTTCTCTTTCTCTCATGCCTTCCCTTCTCTATGCTTTCTGAACCCACTTTTCCATTCAAAAACTAATTCCTTCTTGTCTTTTTTAAATAATAAATAAATGGCTGCAGACTGCTCAAATTTCGACTACGCTTCCGGGACACAAGGCTGCTGTGAATTGTACCCAGTGGCTCCCAAGTAACAAGTTTGCATTTAAAGGTACCTTTTCAAAGAATTAAAATTTGATTTTAGTGTTAGTTGGATTCAAGTTTACTGTTTAAGTTGTCATTGGGTTTCTGAGTACCTTTGTCGTCTGTGCACAGCTAAACATTTGGACCGGCATTATTTGCTATCTGGAGATGCCGCTGGTGCCATTATTTTATGGGAGTATTCTGTTCTTGAAGGGAAGGTAAAATCTTGTTGCTGATGGTGTTCATGTTATTGCAGTTCTTATTGTTAACTTTTGGTGTTTAATTAAATTTTACTTCACAACTTGTTGATATAGTGAGGTTACATTGAATTTTTGAACGTAGCTAATAGTTAGTTGAACTGTGTGAAAAAGTAATTTTTGGTTTCTTGGCATTTCCTCTCGTTTATTTCCTAGCTAGTTGGTGGATATGTTATTTAATTTCAGTTTTTAGAAAGTGTTGTATTTCATTAATCAGTTAGTTGTCTCTTATTTACTAATATACTTGAAAGACTGGTTTCCTATTGAAATACGATGTCTTCATTTACTCTCTTAGCTTTTGTTTACAGTGGAGGAATGTACAACAAGTACCTCAGTTGCACAAGAAGGGTGTCACATGTATTACTGGAATTATGGTTTCTCAAACTGAGGCAGTCTTTGCCTCTACTTCTTCCGATAGTACGGTTCATTTATGGGAGGTTGTTTTTCCATCTACTAGTGGAGGTGAGCCCAAAGTTCACTGGACTAAATCAAAGTTGTTTCACTTTCATGCATTTTATAGATATAATATCTAGATTAATTCGCATCATTAGTTCTACACATTCTGCCCATTTCTGACAATGTTGAAGAAAGGGTGTACAAGACAATTTATTGAAATGGAAACATCTTTCCTCCAAACTCTTCTTTAGATACATAGGTTCACATCATGCATTGACACAACCATTTGTTGAAAGCTTTAACTGCTCTCAAGCAAGAAAATATCATGTCTTTGTAATAAGTGGTACGACTGAAAATGCTATCACAATGAAAGAACTTGCAAATTGCATGCAAGATATGACTTTGCTGTGTTGTTTTAGGTGACTGTAATTTGTTGCATCTGGATTCTCTGTGTGTTGGTGTAAAACCTATGGTAGCGCTTTCATTATCTGAGTTGCCCGGAAGTGCTGGCTATTTAGTCCTGGCAATGGGAGGACTGGATAACAAGATTCACCTTTACTGCGGGGAGAGGAGAGGAAAGGTATTCTGATTCAGAATTATCACTCTTACTTTCTGATTTATTTCAGACTTGTGGTGCCTTAAAATATTTTAAATTTTTTCATTTGCACATCAAGTTTGTTCGAGGTTGCGAGTTGAAAGGGCATACAGATTGGATCAGAAGTCTAGATTTCTCATTACCTGTATGCACCACTGGTGAGGCAAATAACGTCCTACTTGTGAGTTCTTCTCAAGACAGAGGCATACGCATATGGAAGATGGATTTGAGGGATTCGTTGGACAGCAACCAGAGTGCTTACAGGAAAGAAAAAATAAGGTTAGCATCTTATATAGAGGGCCCTGTACTTGTTGCTGGCACAAACTCATATCAGATATCATTGGAATCTCTTCTAATTGGACATGAGGACTGGGTGTATTCAGTGGAGTGGCAACCCCCATCAACTGCATCTCCAGAAGGGATTGCCTACTGTCAACCCCAGAGCATCTTATCTGCATCTATGGACAAAACAATGATGATTTGGAAACCAGAAAAGACTTCTGGTATCTGGATGAATGTTGTTACTGTCGGAGAGTTAAGTCATTGTGCTCTGGGGTTTTATGGTGGCCATTGGAGCCCTAATGGAGATTCAATTTTAGCACATGGATATGGTGGATCTTTCCATCTCTGGAAAAATGTCGGTACTGATTTTGAAAATTGGCAACCACAAAAAGTTCCATCTGGGCATTTTGCAGCAATAACAGATATTGCGTGGGGAAGATATGGTCAATACTTGCTGTCAGTCAGTCACGACCAGGTGATATGTTGTTCATATTATAGTAAACCCTAATGAAATTTTTGCTGTCTTAAAATGATGCAGTTAGAAGATTTTGGCTCAGATTCTGCACTTTTTTATATAGAATTTATATGCTGTATCATTCAGGTTTCCTATATTAAGTGCATTGAACTTGTGAAGCTAATTTCAAATATGGAAAACATCTAGAAAGTTCTCCTGCTAAATTTTTAGCACTATCTTATGATATTAAGAGTGGTATAACTTTGGATTACATGACACCTAATTCAACAGAATTAAACAAATTTATGTTGATTTTCATGTTACTTGAAGTCGAAATTATGATTCAGAATCCTTTTAAAATATGCAGACAACTCGAATTTTTGCTCCTTGGCAAAATGAGGCGTCTCTAGGAGACGAGGAATCTTGGCATGAAATTTCTCGCCCTCAAGTTCATGGTCATGATATTAACTGTGTGGCCATCATCCAAGGAAAGGGGAACCATCGTTTTGTCAGTGGAGCTGATGAGAAAGTTGCCAGGGTGTTTGAAGCTCCTTTATCTTTCTTGAAGACATTGGGTCATGCCATTTCACAAAAGTCTAGCTTTACTGAGGATATCCAAGTAGGTGTTCAGATTTTGGGTGCCAATATGTCTGCTCTTGGGCTATCACAGAAACCTATTTATGTTCATGGTGACTCTCTCTCTCTCCGCTCTCTCTTCCTCCCTCTCTCTATCTCTGGTAGGCCTTAGACACATTTAATTGCTTCATTTTTTGCTCATCAATGAATTGAAATCTCAAGAAATGAACAATAAAGTTGTTTGTCTCTGTTATACATACTGGAAGAGCAGCAATAGACAACGGACTGGATTAGTTTTGTTATAAGTTATTCTTATCCCAGTGTGATGTAGATTTCTTTTTTCCATAATATTAATGTAATTTTTTTTCTTTTTTTTCTTGTATTTTTGTAACTATCATGCTTTGAGAATAAGTTTGTATATTTGGAATAGTTTTATGGGGTTTTATTTTTATTTTTTCTCTTTGTTGTCAGCTGAGCAGCAGACACCAGACAGGAATCTAAATGATAACCTTGATACTTTCGAAGCCATTCCTGATGCAGTTCCAGTTGTGTTCACTGAACCTCCCATTGAAGATCAACTGGCATGGCATACACTGTGGCCAGAGTCACACAAACTTTACGGTCATGGAAATGAGCTGTTTGCTCTGTGCAGTGATCATGATGGGACACTTGTTGCTTCTTCATGTAAGGTATATGGTGTCACTGTACTGCTGTTATATATATGTGAACTTGGATATTCTTATAAAGTTCCTAAGAAAGAATCACTTTAGGAAAAGGGAGCACTTGACTGGTGTGTAGATTGGAGGAAATTATTTTAAAATATTAAAGAATTGGATTCTAAATGAATTGATACATTATTCCCATACTGTACGTGATATTTATTGCAGGCCCAATCAGCAGCAGTAGCGGAAATATGGCTATGGCAAGTTGGTTCATGGAAAGCAGTCGGTCGCTTGCAGTCTCATAGTTTGACAGTGACACAAATGGAATTCTCGCATGATGACAAATTCCTGTTGGCTGTATCAAGGGATCGCCAGTTCTCTGTATTTTCAATCGATAAAACAGGTACTCTTTAATCCAAGTCCTGGCAATATCTAGTTCATTGCTGTGAGTTGTTCAGGTGTTAAATATTTTAGGAGAGAGGTTGATATGATATTATGAGTGTTATTTTCAATGATCACCCATCAAGAGCAGACATTGCTTTCTACGATTGAAGCCCTTGTTAAACTTTTCATGATACATAGTTCTTCTGATGTCCGTTTAGGCACCGATGAAACTAGTTACCAGCTTGTATCAAAGCAGGAGGCACACAAAAGAATCATATGGGCATGTTCTTGGAATCCATACAGCTATGAATTTGCAACTGGCTCGAGGGACAAGACAGTGAAGATCTGGACTGTGGGAAAAGACTCTTCCGTTAAGCAGCTCACGACTCTGCCGCAGTTCAATAGTAGCGTCACAGCCCTATCTTGGGTTGGTCTCGATTGCAAGAGCAATGACGGGCTCCTTGCAGTTGGAATGGAAAACGGTCTCATTGAATTATGGAGTCTATCTGTTAAAAGAAGTGAAGATGGAGTAGCAGCAGATGCAGTTGCTGCAGCCCTTGTTGTACGGCTGGATCCATTGATGTGCCATGTTTCTTCAGTAAATCGATTGGCATGGAGAAATCGCAGGAATGAAGATTCCAGTAGCAGCATACAGCTTGCTTCCTGTGGGGTGGACCAATGCGTGAGAGTGTTTGAAGTTAACGTTAACTAACCAGATTATTGTGTTTTTTATATGTAAAATTAAATTTTGTAAGCCAATATTAATGACCAGTTCTAATTTAGTAGATTCTTGCATTATACAAGTTGAATTGAAAACTAATAAATCTCTTCTAGTGGACCCGACGCTATTGGGTCGTCGTCGACACTCGGGCGCCATGCAATTTTGGAAGTAATCTGTTTGGCAAAACTTGCCTATTCCCCGTTCATTGCCCCTTTCTTTATTTCTCCATGTAATTAGATCAATTCTAGTGATTCCCGTGCATTGTGTGTATCAAATCCAATTCCAAGACAAGGCAAAACGATTCTTCTTTTTATTGGAATGTGACATGAGATGAGAACTGATGGCGCCGATATCTTCCTCTGACAGGCAACGCTTTCTCTCTCTTTCACGTACTTACTCGATTGATGCCCATACGCCAAACTAGGGATCAATTCAACATATTGAATGTTGAAAGCGTCAAAATAAATGGTCCAAACGGCGACTCTAAAAAGTTCATGTGGTTGAAAAAATTACAAAAAGATCGTCTTGATTGATTTGTTGCACAAAAAGATCATGCTAAATGACATGACCCACCTGTGTTGAATTTAGACTGGAGCAGGAGAGAAAAGGGGCAGGCACCAGTGACAGTTGAAAAAAGTGCTAAAACACGTGTTGGCTTAAATTATAATCACAGCAGTACAGCAACAAGCTGTGTAATCTCTCCCATCCCAAGAACAAAACGCAGAACCTCGTACTTAATTACTAATTAAAGCATTAATTACTTGGTTAATGAAACAGAAGAATCTAAGCACTCTCTCAGTGACAGTCTCTGTCACTGCCTACTCACATGAGAATCAGTGAGAGACGAATACCATGCGCTTCTTGTGGAGATTTTTGGATTTATACGAGGAGTTGGGGTCAATTTTTGATGTGATGAGATGAGATGGGATGAGATGATTGTGTGTTTGTTTTCTTTTGTGAGCCAAACTTTTCAAGATGCACGACATCAAAATGTCCTTATCGTTTGATCTTACTCAATTCCACATAAGATTTGCGTCCCCATCTTGGCAGATTCCATTACTAAGTTTAAAGGCTAAGCCACACCATTTCCAAATCTGATCCTCAGCTAAGCTTTGCACCGAAATCTTGTTTACGAGGCCCTCGTTGTATTAGCTATTTCTTAATCTGACTTCTTTCTTATCTTAATTTGCCAAAAACTTCAAATAGCAAATATGGATCTACTTGGATTGGAGATTCACAAACAGGAAGCATGGCAACATGAATTCAATACTCTTGCTACTTATAAAACATTTTATTCAGAAACTGATCTGCACAAGCACACAATATAAATATATTGTTGAAGTTTCCAGCTTTTACAGTATAATCTGAGACCACCTTTTCATTTCCTATCGAGTCTATGACAATGAGCAACGATATCACATACAAGAAAAGAGTTGAAGAGACGACCAAAGTTCCTTATTATCTATCACAAATACATACCACAACCAATTACCAATAACAAGGCAGACGCTAGAAACGCAGATAATGTAAACATAAAATCCAAGCCAACTTCTCCAAAATTGTTTCCTTCTTCTCAAACTGACTGACTAACAAAGGCTGTTCAGTCCTCATCTCTGCTGCTTGATGTTGTCAGTTGGAAGCTGGGCAGAACCTTCCGGCAGCACCATGGCAGCGGCCGCTGTCATGGTTTGGTACTGAGAAGGTATTGTCGGAGCCAGAGGCTGTGTATAGTATATCTGGGCATGAGAAGGCTCAGCATATTCATACGCATAATTAGCAGCACCCCCTGAAGAAGGAACAGCAGATTGATGAATCTGAGTGGTGTAACCAACATATTGTTGCTGATGCTGAGGAGGAACTTGAACCACAGAAGGAGCAGCTGCGGTTGCTGTTCTGTACACACCCGCAGCCATATCGGGTTTCGCAATCTGGGCATTCCTTATCTGGTTGAAAGATGCAGAAGGAGAGACCATGGCGGAATTTGGAGGTGTTTGGGAGCGGCTAGAAGGGATAGAAGTAGCAGCTTCATTGATATTGGATTGCTGCACAGGCAAGTTGGTGTAAGGTTGGGCCTGTCTGGCAGGCATGTAATAAACCTGGTATTGCTGCTGCTGCTGCTGATCAAGCTGGGGGTGATGATGGTGCTGATGGTGTTGCTGCTGCTGGGAAGGATATACAGGGTAGTATGCCGGGATTGGAACAGAGCCAGGGTGATGCTGGATGTAATGTGTACCAGCGTGTATAAATTGCTGTTGCTGTTGTGCTTGTTGGTGTTGCTGGTGTGCTTGTTGGTGTTGTTGTTGCTGCTGCTGTTGTTGTTGATGATCAAATTGGGCTTGCAATACATACCCAGAATCATGAAGCTGTTGTTGCATTTGAACCCGAGTGTTTGGATCAGCCATATTCAATTTTGGATCCACAAGGTTTGCAGGAAACCTGGTATTTGCAGAGGGTATTTGAACAACTGGGTCTTGGTAAATTACAGGTTTTGGGCGAGACGCATTTGAGAAACTACTATCGCTGTAAAATTGAATCAAACATAACACAAGAAGCAAAAAAAAAACACTAATTAAGAACTTGTTGATCATCACAAACAACAACAACAACAACAGTAATTTAAGCAACCAATTTACTGAAAACATAAAGGACTAAAGACTGAGCATAAATTACCAATCAGGCGTACCTTGATACTGAATCTGGGGATGGCAAATCAATAGATTTGGGCTGAGACTGAGCGGGCAGAGTCTGTGGCTGAAGCTGAAGCTGAGGCTGAGGCTGAGGCGGTCTTCGATACCCAGCCGGCGCGCCGTGATCCGATCGCTCGTCGTCCGACACAACACGATTCAAGTACTCGGTGGCCGAACTCAGCGGCGCAGCAGAGGCCACGATAGTAGTCGGCATCGGAGGAGGCGGAGAAAGCACCACGAAGCTACCCTCATCTTGCTTCTGTCCACCACCACCAACAGTCATCTGAGCAAACTGCTCCTCAATCCCCATCTTCTGATCCTGCACTCTAATCCCACCACCACCTCCGCCGCCGCCACCATCTTCCACGTGGACCCTAATCGGGGGCAGGTTCGCAAGAGAAGGCGACGATGACGTGGACCCAAAAGATGACGAGTTTTCGAGCATCGGCGAATCGGGCACAGAGTGAACGTCCTGCCCACCACCACCACCCTGTTTGGCATTCTTGCAATTCGCAGGAATCGTAGCCTCGGCGTCTCTCGAAGCCGAGTCCAAATTATTGGCAGCGCCACCGGAAATCCCATCGTCGTCGAGACCGAGCAAGCAATTCACGGAGGCGGAATCGGAGAAGCCCCGATTGAGCAAACCAGACGCGCCATTGAGCGCGTTCAAGAACCAGTCCTCGGACTTGCTGGCCGGCATATCGAGAATGGGCCCCATCGATTGCGTCGATTCGGGCTTGAGGGGAAAGAGGAAGAGGCGGAGGCGGGAGGGCTTGGAGGAAGAGTTGCTGCTGTTGGTGGCCGTACGGTCGTATTCGTCGATCATGTTGTCGAGGTCTTCGTCGGTGGTGACGGAGATTAAGGAATCAAGGTCTTCGCTGGGGAGCTGGTACTTGAGGGTGAAGGGGCGGCCGTTGAGAAGGGTCTTGGAGAGGCGGTTGGAGAGGTCGGAGAGGGAGGTGTGGCGGTCGACGACGACGATTCGGGTGTCGCCGCCGACGTAGCACAACGACTTGTCGTGCGGGCGGGGGACGATGTGGCCGCCGTAGCTGCACATGAGGCGGAGCCTGGTGGTGGGGGGGGAGAGGCTCGTCCCATGAGTCGGTGTTGCGGGACCTAGGCGAGGAGTCGACGGAGTCGGCGTAGTTGGGGTGGTGGGGCTGCAGCGATGGGGCCGCCGGTGGTGGGTCCATGTTGGTGGTGGTGAGAGAAGTGGAGAGAGAGAGAGAGAGAGAGAGTGTGTGGGTTTTTGGTGGGAGGTGGTTTAGAATCTTTAACACTCTTCTTCTTCTCCTTTCTGGGGGTGGAGAGAGAGAGAGAGGGAGCTAAAGAGGGGTGATGTATGGGTAGTGGATTCTCTTATAGTTACTCCACACCTGGTCTGGTCGCTCCCAGGCTCCAGCTGTTTTATTTTTCTTTTCTTTTTCCTTTTTTTAATCTATAATTTGTTAAATTGGTTTGCTAATTATTGGGGAAAATGGATTTTATTTTTGTTAAGTAATAAATTGTAACCTTTTTTTAGGCTTTTATGGGGGAGAGGGAAACGGGGAGGAGATTGTGGTTGCACTGTGGGAAAAGGCCAACTTGGAAATGAAACTGTGTGCGAGTCCAGATGGGTTGACAGCTAGTTTACTGATTGGCTCCAGTTGGGGTGCGAGGCTCTCTCTCTAGTGTGGGATCTGCTAGCCTACATCCATGTTTACAGTAAGTAGTACTATGATAATCATATTTGAATGTTCCGAGTGCCATGATTATCTTCTAACTTCAAAATTCAAAATTTGAAATCCCCTTTTTATTTCGCCCTTTATAATTCTTTTTTTTTTTTTTTTTTTTTTTTTTTTTTTTTTTTTTTTTTTTTAAAAAAAAAAAAATATTTTTTTACTTCTTGTTGTCGATTACTTAAACATTCCTAAATTTACATGCAAAGGACTTTGTATTGCTTTAAGTCACTCTAAGTCTAAGTTGAATTTTTTTGTGAATTGAAGCTTCATATACTATTTTTAATCATCTTTTGAATGCACATTTATGTTGTATGGCTCCTTGGCATAAGCGTTGTTTTTTTTTAGATAATTAAAAAAGTTAATGGATTGCTGTGTTTCTTAAAAATAGACTCATTATCTTCTTCTTCTTCTTCTTTTAAATATGAAAAAGTGTGAATTTTTTTTTTTAAAATTATTTTTATTTAATTAATAATTTCAATTCTTAATATTTGCATTAACCAAATGCATTTTCTTGTATTTTGGAGGTTTCACCATTCTATGTCTTTTGCTTTATATATATAAATAGATTATGATATGTGCAAAA